ATGCTACTTGAACCGACGGGCGACCGCAGCGCTTCTTCAAACACGCCCAGGCACGTTCAACCGGAGGAACAGGCGAGACAGGTTCGGCAAGCTGGGGATGACGCTTGATGAGCGCAAGGTTGGAGGGGACCGAGGTGAGCGCGAGGGCGGTCACGGGTGGAGTGGGTTGCAAATGCCAAACAACAACAACAATAATAATAATAATCTCTGGTAAGACAAGAGAACGCGAGGCTAAGAGGCTAGAAGGACGGGAAGCCCGCTTAAAGTTGGCAGAGTGAGCCCCAGCGAAGCGGTCAGCAGCGGCTCTTGCAAGTAGGGAGGATTAGTTAAGGTCTGGTAAGGTCTGGTAAGGTCTGGTTTTACTCCTGAGGGAAAATCGGTGGAGGAGAACTTGGTCGCTTGAAGGGGGACGGGCGCCTCTTTTTTTCTCCCTCTTTTCTTTTTTCACCTTCTCTCCTCCCCCTGTTCCTCGTCGCTGGAGGCTGACGAGGTGACCACCACTGACCACCACTGACTGCCCATCGGGGGGGCCGCGCCAGCCAGCCAGAGCCGGAGCGAGCCACGTCCCACGAGCCCAGATGCGGCTCTGTTTGGACGCATGCCGCATCCACCCTGGCCTGTACGTCTGATTGGCTGTTCGGAAAAAAGAACGCTAGTCCTCCTGGGAGGCACTGGGTTAGGTAAGCACCAGCCCAGTACCCAAGCAGGCAGGTACCTACCTCTAGTACCTCCACTAGTACCTAGGTACCTAGTTACCTACCTAAGTTACCTAGGTAGCACTGGGTGGATGAAGTGTCCCGCTGTCCAGGCTGTGTCAACCTGCATTATGGTTGTTTGCTGGCAGCTGGCGCCTACACGGCTCCCAAGGCCAGAAGGAAGTGCAATAAAGAAGTGTTAGCGTCTAACTAGTTCCGCTTGTTGTCTGATGTCTACTGGCTCATGGACTACGGAGTAGACCTGGCGCCCGCAGTGTTTCGCCTGTCAGTCGGTTTTTCTCTTGACGAAAAAAAAAAAAAAAAAAAAGCTCATGTGCGGTTTGGTTGCCTGATTTAAGGTGTCAACAGCCCATCCCTCGCCTTGCCCTCCGGTTGCTCGCGGCTCGTACTGCGAGGTCAGGTGAGGCGGCCCTTCGCCGCAGACAACGTGATCTCCTCTCCACAGTGGCACACCAGGAATCTCACACCGCGTCAGCCCGCCAGACATTAGAGCAACCCCTCCCAAAGACCCAGACCCAGACCGGGCTCATCGCGGAACTCGGTTGGTATGAAAAGCCGTTGTTTGTTCAAACAGTCCTCTCTGGGATGTGACTTGTCATGTCACAGAGCAGCAACAGCAACAGCAGCAGTCATGGCGGCTGAACTCCACGAACGGTATCTGGCTGATCGTGCAGTAAGAGCCAGTCTTGACTATTAATTGTACAGAGGACCTATCTTCATGGTTATTCCTCCTACATATGCCCTCCCGGGTATGGTCTCGGGTTACTGTGGTACTGTAGAGGTACGGAGTATTGTTCAGTCCGATCTCGTACTCGGTTCTGGATGGCAGATCCCCCAAGCTTGGTTTCTTCCACTGCAGTTGACACCTCAGATCGTGATGGATGATTACAAGCCGCTTGGGTCTTCATATCAGTCACTCACTACTAACTAGCTTAGTTAGGTACTAACTATCTACCACCAGGTTCCTTCCCCTCCTATATGACCACAGAGAAAAGGCAATGGCGGGGCTGTGGTTCTCCACAGAGACAGACAGAGACGTGGTGGTTTGGGAATCCGAAATTTAGCGATAGGGTTTTCGCCCCAAAAGCCGCTGTCCAACGGCCTTGCGGAAAATAGCCATTAGGACTCGAAGTCCTCTGTACTTGAAAACCAGAATCAGATTCCCTGCACCTCCATGCACAAGAAGCCCTGGTAAAGCACAAAGCTACTGGGATCTGCTCTCGATGATTGGTTCGCTCCCTCTCATGCTGGCACAGTCGACTGGGGTCGTTGGTCCGAGCCAACCGCCAGCTAGCCGTTCAGAATCGGTCTGGAAAACCGGCCTTTTCACGACATCAGGCATCAATCATCACCCCGAAAACCTGCCGGCCAAAACAGAGCGTGGCGTTTCAGGATTTTGGCGTCATTCTGAGACTGCCTCATTTCTGTCTCCGAATGAAAAGTACGCGGGCCGCCCCGTGTCAACCTTTACAGGTTTAGCTGGTGTTTTTCTCCTCTCAACCGTCCTCCAACTCACTCCCAGCCCCTTCATTTATCCCCCACGCTCTGGGACTTATCTCTGGAGAGATCAGCAATACCTCGGAAAATCCTCGTCACGGGGTCCTGATTGGAGGGATCGTAAGTACTCTGTACCACCACATCACAGAATGATCGGGCAACGGTGTGCCTTCTTTCTTACGCTTGCCATTGTAAAAAAAAAAAAAAAAAAAAAAAAAAAAAAAAAACCTAGGAGGGAGCAAGGTGCAGAGTTATGCAGTGGTATGACGTATCAGCCTCGATGACCCCGCCCACTGTGGTGAATGGGATCTTCAAGCGCATCCCCGGTAGGCGTCTTGCGGAGCCGCACTCAATACTCTTGCAAGGTGCGGCGACAGTTTCCGGGTGCCATATGCCTGCTGAGTGCATTGCGTCTCCTTCTTATTGGATTGACATCATCCCTGGGATTCTGGCGCCTGCGCATGAGTTGTCACACAAGCCATGCTACCGTGGACTGACTCTTTGAGCGTCCAATGAAAAGGCCGTCGGGTACTCGTGTATCACCCTAGGAGCAGAAAAAAAAAAGAAAATGGACAGCGATTTGAAACAGGATTGTGTATGAGGTATAGTATAGTGCACCACATAAATCATCGAATATGATCCCTTTATTATCCTCTGTTATCTACATGGGTATTCAACCGTGATACATCATATCACAAATGACCCTTGGGGGATGACATTTCCTGGACCTTCTTCACCCGCTCCCATGCCTCCAAGGCAAAAGGCCCCGTCCTCTTTGCATACTGCACGGCTCGGGCGCTGCTGGCCTGCCGTAACGCGTACCGGGCGGCTATACCTTGCATTATCACGGAGCTTCGAAAGGCGAAGAATGCGTCCCCCCACAGCACTTCGGGAGTGGGATCCCATCCTGCGGCGGCGGTGTACCACCGGATACAATCCTCCCGCCGGGGTATACCCGGCACCGCGCCCGGCTGGAAGTCCTTTGACTGGTGCTCTGTGCTCTCTAGGAAGTACGGGCTGGTCAGGTTGCAAAGGTCCGATAACGGATGTCCAACAGTGGCCATCTCCCAGTCCAGGATGCCGATAACCCGCGGCTCAGTCTTGTGGAAGACCATGTTATCAATCTTGTAGTCGCCGTGGACTAGCGTGCCCCGATCCCGCGGCTGCGTGGTCTTGTTACTGAAGAATTGCACCATGTCTGCGAAATGGGGGAGCTCCCCGACAGGTTCCTTTGTTTCCACGTCTACCGCCTGGGCCTGGGCCCGCGACACCGACGTAAAGGTAGCGATCTGGCGATCGTAGAAGCCGCTCGGCTTTCCGAATCGTTCCAGTCCAACGGCTTGGGGGTTGACACGGTGGAAGGTGGCCAAGGTCTCGATCGCGGCCCGCCATCTACAGCAAGTCAGATCATCAGTTCTTCGGATGTTCAACATATAAAGCAATTCAAAAAAAAAGGGGGGGGGAGGAAGGAAAAGAAAAAAGAAAACCTCATACAAAGCAGTTCGATCCCCCGGGCTAATTCCAGGCATGGCCGGATCGGTGAACATGCGCCCGTCAAGGAACTCCATGATATAGAAGGGAGTTCCGATCACATCGCTGTCCTGGCAAAGGCAGTAGGCCTTGGGAACGGGGACATCGGTGGTCTCCAACGCATGGATGATCTTGTATTCGCGTTCCACCATATGTGCGGTTTTGGAAAGCAGGGCTCCCGGAGGCTTTTTCCGCAACACACTCTTCTGCCCGTCTGCACCGGTGAGAAGATATGTCGGGTTGGATTGACCGAAGCTGAACTGCAAGAAGAACCGTCAACCCAGCAATTTTCGGTCTGAATTCTATCGGTACAGTGAGTGCACTTGCCTGTTTCACATCTAAAGGTGTCTTGATACCCGGGACGTTCTGATCGATGTACCGCTCCAGCGATGGGACATCAATCGGTTGGCGCACCGCGCCAGCCATGATTAGTATAAATGTCTGAGTTCAATTCAAAATCTCTTCCAAGATAGCTTTTGCATAGAAAATCCAAGTACAAGTACTCTTCTACAAGGGTTGAAGACTAATCGGCGGCTATTGTATAAACATCCTGGGAGCATCGCTCCCAAACCCGGGGAGCCGAGGCAAAACCTTGGTCTGAGCTTTGGGGGGGGGGGGGGGGGTTACATAAAGCGGGGATCCAGCGACCGGCAGCGACCAGAAGTGCAGTTTATAGGTTTGCATGCCAGACAAACATGCCAAGCCGGCGATCGACGCGAGGCGCGTTCCTTCACCGCTGGAACGCGTGAAAGAAACCAATTACCCTTTCATAATTTGGTTTAATTGACACTAGAAGTACTCCGTAAACTCGCTCGCTAGTTCTTTCTAACCATTCTTCCTTTGAAACCATGACCAGAGAGACCACACCTCCTCCACCAGGCACCACCACCAAGACCACCACCAGCACTACTGCCATCCCCCACGAACCCCCGTCTCTGCCTGCCTCTCCGCTCCCGAAAAGACCCAAAGCTATCACCATGGCCCTCGACACCGCCGTTACCACCCTCGCACAACCCCTACCTCCTCTTCTAGTCAAGAAGCTCACCGAAGCCGGTCGCGCACCTACCCGTGGCTCAGCCTTTGCTGCAGGCTACGACGTTTATAGTGCAAAGGAGACCGTCGTCCCTGCCAAGGGCAAGGCGCTCGTCGATACGGGCATTGCCATTGCCGTTCCGGAAGGCACATGTAAGTATATATATATATATATATATATATATATACATACAATACAATGTATGAAGAATTAATGTTGTTTGATAGATGGCCGAATTGCCCCCCGCAGTGGCCTCGCGTCAAAGCACTTCATCGACACGGGCGCCGGCGTGATTGATGCCGATTATCGTGGTGAAGTCAAGGTTCTGCTCTTCAACTTCTCCGATGTCGATTTCACGGGTACGTGGTTGAAAAAAAGAATAACTTTCTATATGGTTGCTAACTCCATCGCAGTCAAGGAAGGCGATCGGATTGCTCAATTGGTTCTGGAGCGGGTGAGTACCTATTTATGCTTTTATACTTTTTCCCTCGTGCTAATACAGGTAGATCTATACCCCTGAAGTGATGGTCGTCGAGGAGTTGGAAGAAAGTGTCCGTGGGGCGGGTGGATTCGGCAGCACGGGGAAATAATTTCATTTGATATAGTTACAGGAGAAGAAGAAAAAGGATAGGCATGATTTATGACCATTAAATGAGATACTAGGAAGACCGCTGTGCATTTGAGAATATCAATGTATATGTAGGTAGTCGTCACTCCCTCCACTCCTGCACCTCAAACTGCACAATCGGATCCCGCAGGTATTGCACGTTGCGCACTAGACGGACCTCCGACGCCTTGGTGAGAAGAAGGTATGCGCGCTTCTGCTCCTCGTCGGAAGAAGAAGAAGAAGAAGAAGGAGAAGAAGAGCGCATCTCTGCATCACGCGCCTCAAGCGTCTTCTCCAGCACGGTGTGCATACTTGCTAGGACTTTTGCCGTGGCTTGAGCGAGGGGCAGCGCCGTGGCGGGCACATCGTCCGGGGAGACCCAGGACTTGGTGGAGCATAGGGCTGGCCCGGCTGCGGCGACGGCCTCGCGTAACCGCGCGACCATCGTGGCGGCGAACATGTCGCCTGTGCCGCTGAAGAAGCAGTCCAGGGCTGGGACGTCGATGTGGAAGAGACGCGGGGAGCCGTCCGAGCGGATTGTTGATCCGATGACCGTGAGGGTCGAGGGCCCGTCTTCCGTTGAGCTAGGGTTGGCAGAGACGAGTTTGGCAAGTTGGACAGAAGTTATGATCACATGTGGCACAGAGTATATCTTGTGGATGGCCGTCACGGCTTCCGCGAGGCTGCTGAGAGATGTGATTTTGATCCCGGAAAGAGTTCTTGACGTGTTAGATAAAATATCTGTATAAATAAGAGGGATAAAATACTTACTCCGCTTCGAATTGATTGGGAAGGATCAGATCAGCGTGATGCATGATTTTCTTATATGCAGGGACCACGTCGTCGTTCACATACAGTCGTCCCTGGTCGCCCATGACCGGGTCGAGAACTAACCAAGTCAATCCACTGTCAAAAAGAAGTTGGAAAAGAAGAAAAAGAAAGAAAAAACCCCCACCCCAAAAAAAAGAGCCAGGCTTGCCCTCTGCTTTCTTTTGTAGGTCCATGCCGATGGCCCCCACTGCTTCGACCGCGGCGGCGCTGGGAGCGTACCCCGATAGCATGACGTCGAAATCAGTGAGGTAGCTCTGCTTGAGGCCATGGTAAAGATCCTCGATCTCTTGAGCAGTTGATCTTGTGCCCTTGAATTGTCTATAACCAGTGTGATTGCCTTGTTTTTTTTTGGTTAGATCCTGTTAGCTAGATATTCTCAAAGCGGGGTAAGAAGCTCCTCGAGGCTGGAAGTAAGTTGGAGAGCAGGAGACTACGGAAAGAAAGAAGAATCATGGTCACCCTCCAGGAGAGGGCAGGGCTCACTCACTGAAGTGGACAGTATGCACGGCAGCGACTTCGCATCCCAAGGATTGCATCACAAAGGTGGCCATTGAGTTGCCGACATAGCTAACGCCATTTTGTCAACGAGGTCCAATTCCGCTAGAGAAGCCAGAGCGCGATTGAGAGGAAGCAGTTCATGGAAGTGTATGCCATGCCAAAGATGGAGAAGCAGGAATATTACTCTCGTTGCTAACATGGCTTCGAAGAGCTGGTTCCAGACGCATTCGATTGGATTTGACGTACCCATACACCACCTTTTGTTCAACCAAAAACAGTCAATATGTTAGCAAAGCCATAGAGACGAAACATATTGAAAGCGAAAACCCCCGTATCGTGACCAGTTGCCAGGAACGAGCGCAAGAAGATATGACACATACATGACTTGCTATCGCAAGGACCCGGGTCTCCGGCACGAGCAGGTCCGAGGTCATTTTCTATAACAAAATTCTATTCCACGAGTATAGTGAAAGCAGAAAGCAGTCCAGTCTATCATGCAAACAGATGCAGCGTCTGAATTGGTGAGGTGTGTTTTGCTTGAGCGCCGATGTTGCCAGCAACTGTGATCTCTAAGGAGGGGCATCCATTTTTCTTATCAGCTTAGTGATTATGATTGTGGTTCCGAAGTGGCGGCAGAAAAAGAGGGAAAGGAAGCAGGCGTAGAACTATATATTGACTATTAACCATCTTATGTAGTACAGAGTACGAATAGATATAGTTACCTAGGTAGTTCAAGGTACTGATTACTATTTCCCCTTGAAAGATTGGCCGTCGTATTTAAAAGCACATTCGTGCAGATATCGGTTGAGATGCAAATAAATTCCTTGGCCCGCAGGGCCAGGAAACTCTTATACCACACAAGTCTAGTTCCTCTCTACTCCGTACACCTTTAATCTCCAGACGATGTGTTCATGTAGTAGGTCGGTTGAACCCCAGCGTCTTTGGTTCGGTGATCTTCGATTACCGGCTGGTATTCTCGGGCAGGTACTAACTAACAGGCATTTATCTATTGTTACTGCTGCTATAAGTCAGCTGGTGACATTCTCCAGGTTAATCTGAGTGCAGTCTGTTACTCACTTTGCAGATTGACGGCCTATCATGTCTTCTTCTTACATCCGAAGGGCTAGTTCGCTGTCAGCCAGGATCTGCAGACATTTCATTAAACAAAGTCGGATCTACACGGCTAGTAGATTGCTTAATGCAATGCAACAAGAGTCAGTACATGATTCGCAAATCAGTACTTGATAGATAGTAATGGCTGTGTTGAGATGATGTTGTTTTGTTGCAGGAGGTAGAATTGAAGTCAACTACCTAGGTACCTTGCCCACGGAGTAGACACTGGTGACTGTACCTGAGCAGGTCACGCGAGATGACCGAAAATAAACCGAGCTCGCGTCGTTCCGTCGTCGACTTACGCTCAACAACAAAAGGCCTCTCCGCTTCTTATGGCTACAGACGACTTCTTTTATAGGTTCTCCAGTGATTATTGCCTCATCTTTACAGTGCGTAACTTGTTACAGCACCAGAAAAAATTCTCAAGCTACAACCTACCTCCCTGCCCTGGGGGAGGGTTCCATGGCAAGGCCCAGGGGGGCACTACTGTACTGGTTGTTTCTTGCAAGTTGTTCAGCATGAGAAGATCCACAATTATCCTGCGTTCGATTTCTTACTGACTACGGAGTGTAGGTAGAGTTCGAGTAGAAAGCACTGACGGTCGACATCCGAGGAATTTTGAAGACTAAGACGCTAAAAGCCCCACGGTTACGCGGTGGTCTCGAACGTGGCTGTCGTAGCGTCGTTGTGCCTGTTATCGAGACAGGCCCGATCGATCAGCACGGCCGAAGGCACAGACAGAAGCGATCGAATGGTCTCGCCCCCCCGGCCCCTGAACTTTGAGTTTGATGCCTTGCCGGGATATCTGATGAATTCCAGCGGACACGGAAGGGGAATAACTACTACTGTCAAACTAGTCAACTATCCGTTTTAGCAATGTGAGTGACTAGTAGTTAAGTTACAACTCCTAGTTAGTTACGTGGCCGGTAGTTAGTTCACTAGTCAACTACTGAGAGCTAATAATGATATGATTTAATGCAGGTTCAAAACCGGAATCCACATGCTTGTCTATAATACTGTTGATAAGCCCCGGACCCGACTAACTCGCCATTAATAGCATGAACTATGGACCGTTTGTCCCTGGGTGTGAACCCCCCCTGAGACGAGCGGCTTTCTCATTGGAGTCACGGCTAGTGCCGTACCCTCCTGAACCCCCAGTCCGGGCTTTCGTCGTCTGGCCATGTGCCTTGTATCTCCTGAATGGCTGAAACCCTTCCCGCCCACCTAGCACCTGCTGCCCTACTAGCCTTCGCCGAGAGCCACCATTTCTAGGAATTAGAAAATACAGCCGGTCTGCACCGCTGCAGCATGCCCGGATGGTTTCTCTGGTCAGTACCGACAGTCGTCGCTCCGTCACTCCATCGCTCCATCGCTGTAAGGGACGACGATTGGCATAGCATGAAGTCGTTTCTTCCATGCTCGGTCACTCACACCACCGGCAACATGTCATGAGCACCTCCTCATCTTATCATCGATAATCTGGAGGGCACTGACGGAAAATCAACCGTCGTTGACGTCTCCTTGAAGGGCAACACACCAATCTGTATGTTGGAGAGCTCATGTCATTCTTTCTGCCCCCCGTGGCTCGTCACTCATTGAAATCCGCCATGACCACCATTTTGCACGCTTCTCCACACTCTTTACCCCGTGGGAGGAGGAGCAGACGTTCATTATCTTATATCGCCGCAATGCCTGCCAAAACTTCCATTCCTTTCCACCTTGAGCAGGTGCGGCCATTTCAGTCGACTTTAATATCAACACCATCCCCTCGAGCAAATCGATATATTGGGATACATCATCTGTTATTAATCATAATCGCCATTCTAGTCTTCTTGACAGAAACCTCATCTGCCTTGCCCGCCATTGCGCCGCACACTGTGCGGACATCTCTCCCTCCTCTTGAGACCCACTCGTCTAGCATCGATGTGCCTGTCGAACAAGATCTTGCGCAAAGGGCACTTGAATTGACCGACCTGCCTCGCGAACAAGGTGAACAAGACCTTGCAGTGGATACCGACAGCCCGACCACTTCGGACGATCACGACGACTCGTTATCAGTCCTGGTACCGAGGTCATCCAACACGACGGCATCAGCCACGGCCAGCAGCACCAGTACCAGTGCCACATCGACTGCTACCTCTTCTTGGTCGATGCCCAGCCCTTTCGATACAGGAATTGGGACCAATTTCACCGTCTCAAGTTGCCCCAAGTTCTTGAACAAATTGATAGCGAATGAAACGATGATTGGCTGCCATGCTGTATCTATGTTGCTGGAGACCTCGGACGCTTTCTTCGAGATGCTCACATCAGCCGTGGACCTCACACGTGTACTACAAAAGTCCTGTAGTGTCTCGGTGGAGACTTGTTCCGAGGTACTGACTGATTTCGCCTCGAACCTCGTTGAAGATAGTGCCTGTGGACAAGATTATGAACTAGGCAATCCTGTGGTGAAGGAGGCGTATCGATCGATGGTGGCCTACGAACCTGTCTATCGGGCGACGTGCCTGATAAACCCAAGCACAGAAGACTACTGCTTCGTGGACGCTGCCTTGAATACCAGCAATATTGCCGATTATTACGTCTACTTCCTGCCCTTGGGCACTGCCCTCACCAGCTCGAACCACCCGACATGCAACAAATGCTTGCAGGCTGATATGACTGTCTTCAGCGAATGGGCAGAGGTCAAGGGGCAGCCTCTGACAAGTGTCTATCTTGCTGCTGCTGCTCAAGTGGACGAGAGGTGTGGGGACGATTTCGCCACGACTAACATCACCGTCGCATCGAAGGCTTCTATCAACCGTAGTGGGTTGACGTCGCGGCAGCTCGATATCCCACTACTTATATCTACCTTGGCACTCAGCTTGGGGGTTGCCATTCTAAGACTATTTTGACACTTGCTCTGCGCTTACATACACACACACACTCTCTCTCTCTCTTCACTATCTTTTTCCAAATACACGGAAAACATCCTACCTTGATACAGATAGACCCTCTTTTCTTTCCTACCCTACCGGTTGACAATGAACCTGCGTCGCCACTCCTTTATCTGAACTCCCCACCAGCATGGTTTCATGGTAATGTCAGCGTTGCATACTTGATTTATTCTCTGTTTCTTGGAGCCGCCTGATTGATACATATTTGTACAATATTGTACAGAATAATGTTTTAGAAATAATATTTGTGATGAATGACTTCAGTCAACTAGGTAAATTCAAGAATGTTTATTTTCTACCCTCAACAGTCGTGAGACGATATTCCCATGCTTCTATCAACTTAAATATCCATCGTATTCTACAAGATCTATGGTAAAGCATACGCAGTCTAATGAAACACTCCACTGTGGATTTGAATATGGAAACCGTCTTGTGTGTTTTTTCTTCTCCTCTTCTCCTTTCTCTCATCAAACGTGGCATGGTTAGCATCATATCAACCGGTCTAGAGCATTGTCAACAATTCTGGAAGATGGGGGTAGGAAATGGTATAAATCAAGGTATATCCAGGAAAACAGGTCCAAAAAAAGGGGGGGGGGGGAAAGGAAGTTGATATGATAGGACACGCCCAACAAAAAGGAAGCATAAACACAGAATAATTTGAAGATTCGTACTTCGTTGACAAGAAGCCGACAAGAGCTCAATAACTATGTATCAGGAAATAGGGGGTCAAAAGATGGGTATATCTGACAGGCGAGCGGATGTCAAATGCACGGCATGTTGAATAAAATCTCGCAATGCTCCAGCATGTCAAAAAGGTTCAAAAATCGAAATAGATTAGGGGGAAAAAACAGGGAGAAAAAAAAGGGGGGAGGCAGCGCCATACAATGCAAATGCAATGAAAGCTGATCAGCTCTTTCGGACGTTGCCATCCCCGAGAGCGACACCCACCAGGCTCTGATGAATACCAAAGGGCATCGAGGCCTGTGCTTTCGAAGCCGAGACAGGACTCTGTGCGGTTTCTCGATCACGCTTGAGGCGGAAGTAGGCGAGCTTGGCGAACCGGCCGAGCTGTGCCCAGAAATGACGGCCAGCCGGATGAGACGCGATGCGATCCAGAAGATCCACCGTGCTTTCGCGGACGGTATGGTCCGGGTGGAAGAGACCCATGCTGAGATAGAACAGGCCTGCGTTGCGTTCCGGAGTGACGGTAAGAAGCTGGCAGATCCCCGCGTAGTCTTTCACAGAGTGGGCGAAAGCAAGATAAACGGCGCCGGAATCTGCATGCGAGAGCTTCAGTTTCTTCAGGCGGTCGTGGTGGTGGTGCAGGTCCGGCCTTTTGATCGGTCGCGCAGGGTAATACATCGACGCAATATCTTGTATAAAACCGTAGTACGAGCGTGTATTCCTCCATCCTTCAATCCGTGAGACCGAGGCAATTAGCTCCCGTTGCTTCGAGCCCTCGTCCGGCCAGACATAGCCATGTCCGCGCAATGTGGTGGGATTGAGGGGATCTGCTTGAAGCCCGCTCGGGCTATCAGGCGATAGTTCCTCTCCCGGCCCGATGACGAACAAATTCGAGGTTCCATAGACAGCCTCCTCAAAGGCGGCCGCGACACGCGTGAACTTGATGATATACTCGCGCCATTTGGCCCGGATGGCATTTTCACCATGACGGTTGGTGATACCGCGCTGGATATCGTCCATGAAGGCGTGGTCACCCGTCGGATCTGAGCCCGAACCCGACGAGCCTGATGCAATGAAAGAATTCTGTTGTTGGAAATAAACAAGTCCTTCCGTCACTGGTGCAGGTTCAATGCGGCTACTAATTTTGATTCGCCCGGTGGGCAGGTCACAGAGGAGATCCCACCACTCTGGATGGTTTGCGAACGTGGGGTTCGTTACGCCAGCAATGAACCCCGGAACCTTGAGCAAGTCATCGATCTTTGTCAAGTCTGTATATGGAAATGCATGCCGGGTGAAACCACGCAGAATGCCACCAGAGGCAAGTGCACAGGCAGCAAGGACGGCCTCCGCCACCTCACCCGAGGGACGATTGTGCCCCAAGAAGATGACCCGCTTCTGAGTGAGCATTGCATTGATTAGAACAATAATTGGATGGGTGAATGCACCGTTTGTTGTGAGGTGAGGGTGGAGGAGAAAAGGTTGAGGAGACGCTGAATGGGGGGCCGAGAACGTCTGTATCAGTTTTATCAAGGAGAAATCTCCCACGGTCTCGGGCCAAATCACAGTCGGCACCTTCACGGGTATTGGTATGTCGTTATAAACCACTTTCGACTCAAATTCGTGGGTATCCCTGGGAAGAATGTACCCTGCAGCGGCCCTCTTCGGTGATACCGGGCTTCCTGGCTCGCCTATCTCCTCGCCCTTTGCTAGACGCTGCTGGATGATCCCTTCGAATTTCTCGATAAACATGTCTTTAGAGTCTGTTGCTTGCAGAATTTGCCTTTCTAGCATAGAAAGCTTGGGCATGAGAGAGAGGTCCATAGCGTTCACCGCATGGTAGAGGGTAGCAAGGGTCTCGGGGTACGGCGATTTGAAGTAGTCTTCGAGTGCAAGTAGAAGCAAAGGCTTTTGGATCATGAGTTAGCAAGCGTTCTCCAGATGGTAGGCGATATTGGACTGGCGGTCCTACCTTGTAGATATGAAGGAATGAATGGCGAGTGCAAATGGCCATCGCCTTCACTACTGCGCCTCTATTGTACCATGGTGAGCCTAGGCAATAAATGGAGTGAGGGCATAGCTGGAAGAAAGTCATACCGCCTGACCGTATTATCTTGTTTCGTATTCACAAGGTTAAGCACATACATCAATGGAGGCCCTTCGCCTCCATCTTCATCATCGCTGCTTTCTGCGGAGTCCTCTGAACTGTCGAATTCATCTCCATTCTCTGCATATTCGTTTCCCTGCATGCTTGGACGCCTCTTTTTCTTCTTCTTCTTCTCGGAATCAGAGCCCTCGTCCTCATCTGCGCTCGTGTCCTTATGCAAGAAGAAAATGGTCCAGTCTTGGCTTCGAACATGCGTCTGATCAGGAAGCATAAGCTCCGCTAACATGCTCTCATCGCCACTGATCGCCGCAGGATATTGATGCTCCATGATCGGGCCCCGGTCAATATGGAACGAGGCTACTAGAATATATTCCACATGTCGTTCCGGCGAGTCGAGCGGGTATTGCGACTTGTGTCGCCGCGGTCTGGAATTTGGGGCGACATGGTCGACAGAGCGTTGATGTACCGCAGTGTGAGCACCACTGGGCGATCGCCTGAGCAAAGATGTGGCAGGAGACAGTCTCGGTAGGCCATTCGTTTTCGACGATGAATCGGACGAGGTTGGCTGTAGGCTGTTCGAGTCGTTCCCAGAAGGGCGCAATGGCAATGCGGTGGCCATTTTTGGGGCGCGCAGATGACACAGAGAGGTGTCCTCCTGGTAGGCAGTCTACCAAAGAGGCATAATCATCCAATAAGTCCGAGGATTCCTGGCTAAGTAATGAGCATCTATCCTTTCATCTTGCCCACGAGGGCAAGCAAATCGGCGGTTCAGGGGCACGCTGGAACGGGGCGAGGGGGGCCCTCCCGCACGCACACACACACGCACAACCAGCAATCCACCACAAATATACTCACAATTCATCCAAAGAGAGCAGTCGAAAAAGACAGGCCGGCGGCAGGTGTTTCCATCCTTCCACGCTGGCAAAAGACGACCGTCACTCAGAACCCCCTAATCACATACCGCCGCAACCCGTCTTGGAGAGTCGATCCCGCTCCCCGCACGTGCTCCGGCCCGACTGTATTGCCGATTCCAGGTCCGTTTGTTTACATTGTTTACACCGCAGTGAGGATATCACTGCAGGCAACAGACGGCGATCGAGGGGTTTTCTTTTCCGTTTGAGAGATTATTTGACCTATCCTGGTCTTTCTGGACTCCAATCCACTGGCATACAGCATCACGCCGATTATCTGCGCTGGAAAGTCGCTTCCGGCGGTCACAACCTTAGTAGTAACAATGGTAGGAATGGTTCCCCGCATGATGGATTACGCTCTGTGTGAGGAAGGAAAGAAAATTGACATCTGTGAGCAGGTTACTTCAAATGCCCCCTTCAAGCCATCGCCTTTGTCGTTTGGCTCGCCGAGAGCCTCACCGTTTCGCCGCCCCTCAACCCCAAACTCTCCGCCTTCCATTCGACCCGGGACCCCTGGTAGCTCGCCCGGTCGAGGATACACTCCGGTTGTATCGCCAAGCAAACTCCATCAGTCATACACCGTGGAGGATGAGGACTCGAGCTCTAGAAGCACCGAGCCAATCGCTCAGCCAAAGTTCCGAGAGATGCCTCCGTCTCCAACAAAGGGCGCCGATAGTCCGAGCAGTCGATCTCCCATGATGGGAAATAGATCCACCCCCATGATGGCGGCAGGGTCTGGAGACGCGGTTGGCAACCTGAATGCAGCGCAACTCAGAGAGATCCGCGAGGCATTCCAGGTACTGGATAGGGACAATGACGGGACAATCACCCGGGACGACGTCACAGATGTGCTTGCGAATTTAGGTCAGTGAAAAAGAATACTATCATTGCAGACGATGTATCATTGCTGAAACCATATTCCTACTTGACAGGTCAAGACACCGCCGCGATCAGCCAGTTTTTTCCTGGAACTGGGCAGACGATGAATTTCCCAACCTTTTTGAACACCCTCTCCTCGCTCATGGGATCATTGTCCTCCTCGCAAGAGCTCCTCAATGCCTTGTCAGCGTTCGACGACGATGACAGCGGCCAGGTGGATGTGGCGGAGCTGCGAGACGCTCTGCTCCACACCGCACCTGAGGAAGGCGAGGAGCCCCTGACCGAACGGGAAATTGATGATGTGCTTGCTGGATTCACCGGCCGTCGGGCCTTTGGCAAGACCACAAAGGGCAGTGGGCTTAGTGGGAAGCGGGGGGAGGTGTTCAGGTACCAGGAGTTCGTCGCCAGCGTGGTCGGGGGCATGGAAAACGGCAACACAAACCCGAAACGGGAGACCGGCGCTGCAAAGAGTTGATGACGTACCTACTGCTTGACGATCCCAAGACTCCGTAATGTGTTTGATACTGGTCATGGCGTTTGAGGTTTATTTATTCTATTTTTTTGCCGAGTCATGATGTTTTGCCGGGGCAGCTCTGGAAGCTAGGCCGATCAAGGGTACACAAGAACAAACAAATATACAAAGTAAATACCCCGTATCGATCGACGCAGATCTCCAACAGGTCTTATTTGAACGTAGAGCATCGCATCGCAGCCCATGCAGGAGGTGCTGCAGGCCTAAACCGGTCGCCAGCCACTCGTATTGTTGCATTCTGGTCCTTTTAGTGTCTCGCGCGGCGCGTGTCCCCGCATTCCTTTTTCGGCAAGCAAAAGATCCCGTCCAGCTTTCCGCCTCAACTTCAACCTCACTTCAACCCCCCCCCGTGCTCGCCGTCACCATGTCTACCCCCCGCTGCTGCGACTAAGTTGGGTCGTTGAACCAAGACGATGATCTCGCGTCCGCCCGTGCTGGACCCACCACGCTTTGGAGAATAAACGAAACGAAAAATGTCTTCCAGACCGACCCATTCTCAGCTCAGCCTGGCTGCCTTTGCGGCACCGCAGTCACCGCGGACGATGCGAACCCTCCGAAAGATCCAGTCACACCAGGTTCTATCAACGTCATCTTCCGCGTTTTCCTCCCAAGCGGTTCATGCGTCTGTGCCGAGGAAAGCCTCGGGTTCGGAAGGCCTTGCGCCCCCTATAGATTTCAACACCACACATCGTACACGCCCCCGCCGAGGCCGATCAAACAGTGACGCTGGAGCTCAGGACAGCGGTGGGAGTCAGCCAGCAAAACGGCCGGCACGGAAGACAGGCTCTGGTTTTGGGGTTCGGAAGTCGGCTCTCGAAAGCTTGTTACGTGACGGGCTGCAGAACGGCAATGTTGTCGAAGGTCTGAAAGAGTTGAGGTATTTGGTATTGTCAACAGGAGTCGAGGCAGATGGGGATGGTATGGTATGTGAACGAAAAAAAAAAACCACTCTTCTGATAACTTGTGATGAGTCTATGTGTTTGGATGCTGATTTTTTAGTCTGGCTATCGGATCTATCTATGGCTTGTTCTTCTCGAAGTCCCCCCTCTGCCGACCGACGAATATCTCTCTCTGATTCATCGCGGTCGCTCCCCGGCCTATGCAAAGATCCGCAACGATACGTTTCGTACATTAGCGACTGACCCCCTATTCAAACGCCGTGTGACAGAAGCAAGCTTGATACGGCTCCTAAACGCCACTGCATGGAAAATTCACGATGCCAAGGCCCAAACAAAATCACTCGGACCGTCTCCCCGAAGACGAGCCAGGCAATCGTTGGTCGACACCCCTCCCAGTATTGCCGAAGAGACTTTGTACACTGCCGGGGAAGACATGAGCGAGGCAGCCATGTACGTCCAGGGCATGAATGTTCTGTGCGCCCCATTTTTATACGCGGCACGCAGTGAGGTTGAAGCCTTTGCGCTGTTTCACTACTTTGTGACTCGCGAATGTCCAGGCTACATACGAGGTGCAATGGATGGAGTGCACAAAGGCCTTCGGCTGGTTGACAGATGCCTGGAGATTGTCGAGCCGAAACTCGCAGCGTATCTGTTCTCAAAGGGAATGCATGCCGAGCTCTACGCCTTTCCGTCCGTCCTGACCCTCTGCGCCTGTACACCTCCTTTGCCAGAGGTTCTCCATTTATGGGACTTCTTATTCGCCTATGGACCTCATCTGAACATTTTGTGCATCGTCGCTCAGTTGATTCGCATGCGGGATACCATTCTCGATAGCCCAAGGTCAGAACTGTTCTTCTTTAGTTGCCATATTTCTGTCTAACTCCAGCGCAGCCCGAACAAAATCCTTCGGTCTTTTCCACCTCTTGACGCCAAGGATATCATCGCATTGACTGTCCTGATTGTTCGCAAGATACCCGACGACCTCTACGCAGAGTTGATTGACCATGCCAAATGACGACGCGATGAGTTATACTTGTATTTTATTGCCGATGTTACTATTGTGATTGTATCTTTTTTCCCCCTAACCATACGCTTTGCCTACTAATAATGCTTTATGAGTTCTTTTTATCTACAGGGCGTTTGTGACTCTTCTGACGATTGAATGATGTGCAAAGCGGAAGAATGAATGCTTACCGCAAGAAAGGACCTGATGAAACTAATGAATGTACACGAAGAGATCCTATTGTATGCATATATTGTCATTTCATGTGGTCTATGTCTATGTTTTTTCAAGACTGTTGTTTATCTATAGGGTATCGAATTTAAATGATCTTTTTTTTTTTCGTCCGACGCCTCGGCGGTTATCACTCTTTCAAAGCTGCTTCCCAAACACACCTCTCACATTGACAGAAACCTCCCAAGGCACCGCAAGCCCATTCTCTCCGGTCCGTGACCGCCAATCCGATATCACAATAGTGATTGAGGATCTCGGCATCCTTCCGGATTCCTTCCAAGTCCTCGCCGCGTCGGTCATCCTCCGCCTTGCCAGCCCACACGGCTCTTTCCGACCTTCTCCGCGCCATGAAGGTGATTTCCCCACCCCACTCCCAGCGGACATTGGGATCACAGGAATGGTTCGCCAGGCACCACAGCGGATGGACGGCGCAGACCTCCGGGCCGCCATCCCAAGTTGAGAGACGGCCGGACGCGGTGCCGCGGAACTTGGCATACAGAGTGTTGAGCACCCAGGTGTCGTACCGGGGTAGAGTGGCGAAGGGGTCGAGCTCCATCTCCTCCAGGATACGCGTGGGCTGAAGGATGTTGAGCTGGAAGGAGAAGGGCAGGGCGAGGGGATTCGACGCAGATGGCGATATATCATCGTCCAGACTGTGGAAATCACCCCAGATGTACTTGACTTCTGGGAGGTCGAGCGGGTGGACATCCTGCGTGGCGGCCATGGCGATCGCGCGGCCCAGCAGGAGCAGGTACAGGTAGTCCGCTTTGTCCTTGGGGTCGGGGATATCCTTGCCGATGGAGTCCAGGCCGTCGAAGCCGCACACGGCGCTGTGGTAGACCTGTGCTGCGCGGTCATGACAGTCCTGGCTGCAGAAGATGGTATCGTCGCAATCCTCGCAGGCGACGGGGGGTGTCTCCGACGAGAGCTCCGGCAGTGGTGCGTTGCATGCATCACACAGATCGTCGTGCAGCCGATTGGTGGCTGTGAGGAGGGAAGATTCTCGCAGGATGATCTCGCCCGGGGAAATGTCCTCCTTGGCGAAGAGGCCCAGCTGAACGGACACTTCTCCCTCCCCTTCTTCATTGTCCTCTCCCTTGCCAGACATCGTCCCATGCAGCGCCGGGAGCGCCACAGCGCGCACCTCACACTTGGGCGCCACTTCCTTCAACCGGTCGTTGAGCAGGCTCAGTGTCTCGGCCGCCTTCCGGTCCGGTTCATGCTCGTTCCACGGGTACAAGACCCGTCGGGCGTACCCTTGGGCATTGAGCGCAGCAGGGTCAACATCCACCGCGTCGAGATTCTCCACGGCGTCCGGATCATTCCCCCCCTGTCTCTCCAGGTACTTCCGTTTGATCAGCCTCATCTGCTCACGGAGACCCTCGTCTTCCGTAAGATCTACCCGCGACAGACTCATCCCACGCACGCAGAACTCGTACGCATCCCTGAAACAGCCGCACCGGACCAGACTCCGCACAAGCAGCGAGTACACTTCCCCAATCACCGCGTCGTATTCTCCTTCGCTCACAGCTTCGAACCCTCCATCTTCATCTTCATCTTCATCGTCATCTCCATTCCCCTCGCTGGCTACCGCCTTTCTAGCATGGTATTCGTATCCGTCCGGATCCACCACCGATTCCAACAGCGAGAGAGCCCGGTACGCATCCGCAGCCGCGAGGTCGGGAAAGCCCAGGCGTTCGTGCACCCGGCCGCGAGCGAGGTGCAGGTGTGGGTTGTGAGGGTCGGCGTAGAGGGCTGTCGTTATACTTGTGCGGTCTTCCATCCTGTAGCAACAGTTTCATAGTATTGAATTATTCCAGTGCACGTCGTGTCCCGCTTGATAAATTTTGATCGCGGGGGAGTCACGTGGTGATAGCTACAGAGTATGAGAGTCATAGATCATAGAACATGAGTAGACATCAGGCTAGAGAGATCTAGTTCCTTGTCTGTCCAAAGACATGGTATCGCTACATCGTTGGGAATCAGGCTTCCTAGTAGATATTCATTCATTCTAATCTAAGCCCTAATCTTCTATCCTTGATGACCGAGATGACTGGAATATCCTCTCCTCCTCACATAACCTATGAAACATCAGTATGGCTTAAAGTAGATCAGTATAGGACTACATACGCTGCAGTTCTCGTCCTGGATGACCGTATTCCCACCCGTGATCCCACCGGTGATGCCCGTCACGCCGCCGGCGGTGGTCTGTCGCTCTCTTAGCGTCGCGGCCAGTCGAGCCAGCATGCTCCTCTATAAAGCGTTAGACCAAGACCAAGAGACAAGAGATGAAGAAGAAAGACCTACCGTGATGAAAGCTTCGCTCATTCCGCCCTGGCGATCGACGTCATTCTGGCTCATGATCCGGTAGCTATCGTCTAGACGCTTGCAGCTACGCAGCCCGCCAACTCGCCGGGCGTCTCCCTGGAGCGAATTGGCCGCATTATCGGGGTCGAGGATATTCAGGCCCTCGCGTGCATCATTTTGGGCTCGTCGGTCAGAAGAGAAGATTTTGATGGTCGAGTCGATTCCGGAGACGGCCATGGTAGGTTCATACGGGTGGCCTGTTGACTGTTAAAAAAATATATAAACAGAGTAAAGTAGAGGAATATACCTTGCACGACATTGACGACCTCTCCATCCCCCTCGAGGATGTTGACTAGCTTCCCCGTTTTCCGCTCCCAGATGAAAACGTGTCCGGAATCGCTCCCACTCACGACGTACTCGTCATCCAGTCCGAAAAAGTTGACATCCTTGACCGTTTTGATATTGCAGTGGCCGCGGAACACGCGCGTATGCGACGAGCACGGCACGTCGAGTGCGACGTCTTCGCGACGCGTCCGTCGTAGCCCGTACCGTCTGATGAAACGCTCCTCGGCTTCCTCATCATCATCGTCGTCGTCGTCGTCGTCTTCATCTTCACCTTCATCTTCATCCGAAGTATCGTTCATTTCATCCTCATCCTCATCGTCGCTCTCACTGCTATCCTCGCCTAGTCTCATGGAGCTCTCCTCGCCTCCATCCGAGTCTTGTGCCTCGTGATGTCCAGTACGACTGGAAAACATGAGACTGATCCCTTGAATGGGCTCCTCATCTTCTTCTTCGGGATCGATATCTTCCTGCATGCGTTCAGGAGACTCTGGTTCTTCGTCATCCCCGTCATCTCCTTCGGTGGTTCCCAGGAGGGTAGTTTGCAGGCCTCCAAAGGCCCGATTAACAAACTCAAAGTTGACTCCCGTCCCCACTTCCATCAAAACACCCCGGGCGACTTTCAGCCCCCAGAATCGTTTCGTTGCATTGCGATCCAACGCGCGGACGCGAGGAAGGCCCGCCCCCATCTCCGTGTCCTCCCGGCCGGTGCTCTCCGTTCGGGCGGCGGTACCCTGTAGATCCTCCAGGGGCAGCCGGACCGCATTCCCAAACGCGGTGACGGCGACCGCCTGGGTAGGGAAGAGGACGCGGGTCTGATCGGTTTCGAAGCGGGACGCATCGACATTCACGACGGGGGAGAGTCCAGCCAGATCGCGCAGATACGGAATCAATCTCTCCTCGATGGCGCTGTCGTCCGCGCTCTCGGGGACAGGAAACCGGTTGCGATGAAGCCGTCTTTGCGATGCCTTGTGCTTAAACCCTTCCAGTAGGGCAGACCGGCCGCCCTCAACCCACAGCAGGATGGCGCGCAGAAAGTCGTATCCGAACTGCGACGCCCGGTCGATCGTATCGGGTTCGGCGGGGGCAAGGGTGATTTCATGGAACCCATCTTCCGGGTCAAGAAGACTGCCGTGCTCCAGGTTGCCTGCCTCATCGCTACCAAGAGCGGCCGGGTCAAGCCGGCCCCCTAGCACTCGTGAAACGGTGCCCGCGGCCTGGACGAACCGCCAGGCGGCCTGGCGGTTATGCCGCAGGGACTTTTGAAACGCTACGACGTCCTCCGACGGGTTCACCGGGTACGTCCAGGTGCTCATGGTCTCCGCCATCTGGGGCAGACAAGCAGACGCATGCGTCAGAGAGGCCGAAAAGGAGGAAGTGAACGAGGTCAGGTCCTCGTTGCGATCCTCGACCGCCTCGCGGAGGGTCGTTTCCAGAGAAAACAGAGACTTGCGGAGGCGCACCAGGCTCTTGGCAATCCGCAGGCTGACCCGTTGGGCTTCATTCAGCAAGGAATTTCTCGCCCTCTCAATGGCTTCCCCTTCTGGCCGGGGCGGGATGGGGATCTCCTCGGCCTCTCCGTTTGCGTAGCGAACACGGAACGAGAGATTTTCACTTTCGTCCGCGTCGTCGTCGTCGTCGTCGTCGTCGTTGTCCTGCTGCTCCTGATTTTGCTCCGGTAGATGGCGCCGCGGTGGTTGGTTTCCGCTACTGTTACTCAGGGACGAGGAGGAGGCCCCCTTCTGCCGTTTGCGTTTCCTGCTTGCCCCCGAGGCTTTGCCCTTCTTCCGGGCCGACGAACTTTCAGGTGCCGACGAGCCTTCTGGCATCTCGCGAGCATCGGGACTCCGGATGAGGTCGAAACTGTAGATGTGCTCGCCGGACCAGCTCACCACCATCTCGTTCGGGTTCGCGTCGCTAATCTTGCAGGCGGTGATATGGCCGTCGCTCTGGCTATGCATGCGCTTCTTGCCGCCGGGGGCGAACCGGCGCACACAGCGGGTCGCATGGCCCATGAGCTCGTCCTCGTGAAGACTGGTGCTTGTGGCGAGGCCGCCGCCACCACCGGGACGACCTTGCTCGGTCAGAGTATTTCGGCCCAGCATGCGCCGGTCATGGAGGAAGCAGTGCAGGTGGGCGCCGCCCAGGGCAATGTAGTGCGGCTGGCTCGGCGAGCACGAGATGGTATTGAGATCGAGATGGTAGCGCTTGTAGCTGATCAGTGGGGGGGGAACGTTGGTGTCGTCATGCTCCAGGCCGGGCCGATAGGCCATGAATCCTTGCCCACCGCGTGGAGCCGGGTAGGAGGAGGAAGGCTGGCGTAGGTCCCATTGACGCACCTCGCCATCCTCGGAGCAGGTGAGGAACAGGTATGGGGAGGACTCGGTGACGATGCGCTTGACCCGATCGGCGTGGCTCCGGTAGACGCGTGCATTTGTGTTTCCCTCGCTCAGGTAGCGGGCACCGGTGAAGAAGTTGTTGAACCGCCGGCTCCGCGCCGAGGCCCGGAAGGCCGAGGTGGCCGCCATATCCCCGTTGCGGGCCGCATACTCGATGTCGAAGACGCGCACCTGCGAGTCGCCGGCACACGTCACCACGGTCCGGTCGTTGGAATGGGGCATGAACTTGACGGAGAAGATGTTGGCCTTGTGGCCCGTGAAAACGGTGGTGTTGAGGGCAAAGGGCGCGGTCGAGGAGTCCGGCTGGTACGAGTAAATGTTCAGATGGAGGTCGTCGGAGCCAGAGGCCAGGAACTGTCCAGAGCGTGACCAGCTGACAATTAGCTTCATCCATAATAATAAATGACAGCCATTTTCTTTCCCAGTCAGAGGGAGAAATACCTCAGTGCATTGACACAACCGGTATGCCCACCCAGTTCATTCACAATATCCAGCTCCTTAATCCAGTCCGACGAGCCGTACAGGCTGCTGATTCCTGCCCGGCGAGACGCATCTCCACATTCTCGACGCCAGAGCCGCTGGTGTAGCTCTCCGCTCATGGTGATAGACCCAACGGGGGTATTCAGTCCTCCTTCCCCTAGTTTGTGATGTACCTGTAGCAGAACGTCGACCTTTCACGCTGGGACCATTCTCGTTGTCGGTCGCCTGGGACGGGAGGACGAAGAGGATGACGTCAGGAAGAACAGATCGACGAAGACCGAAAGCGAAGTGCAAGGTTACAATTAACAGTAGCGGTATAGAGAGAAGAAGGAGGATAAAGAAGAGAGGAGATAATTAGGAAGAAGATAAGGAGAAGTGAAGAAGCCAAGGCAGCTAGTTGCGAGGCAAACCTGGTCTTGCACTTGTCAATCAATGCTGGAAATCCTGGAAACGACTGGTCCACCGAGATGACAGGGGACAAAACAGAACAGAAATAAAGGCCCTCAAATCAAGATAACCGAGCGCAACGGCTGTGGACCTGCTGTCGAGATTAAATTGGTAAACCTGGATGCTTTATGGGCGGAGTCAAGGTCGATCATGAAGGAATGAGGTGGGGAGAGGTCGAGCCAGGCGTGGAAGTGGGGAGAATCTTGATAAGCATGAATACCTAATTTTTATGGTACTTGTATGTGTATGAATCTAATTAATAAGTTGAATATGAGCTTGGCTTCAATATGAGCTTGGCTAATTCATCAATAGCATTATCATATCGTCATAGCTACATAGTATGTGTAACGCTGTAGAGCTTCACTCTGCAATATCACCTCTTCCACACCCCCAGGCGGGTTCTTCTCTCCCCCGGCACGGCAGCCAGTCGCCCAGCCAGTTGGCTCACCCATGCCCTCTCCCGCCCGACCACCTTCGCCTCGATACTTCGTATCGCGTGGATCTCGTCAATCATCAAATGGATCGTCTCGTTCATCGCCGTGACCGTTCGGACCAGGGCGGAGTTCCCCCACCCTGACGACTGGGTCAGAACATCAAGACCCTGCATCTGTCGGGAGCACAGGTCCAGACGGGATGCGAGGGTCTCGAGTTCCGTTTGCCATGTAGGCCCCATCGACTCGATAAAGAGAGGAGCTATAGACGCATCGCCAGTTGAGCTCTTTTCGCGGGCTTGGATCAGTTCCTCGTGGTGTCGGAACCATTGCTCAAATGCAGCTACCGCCAGCGTGTATCTGCCCCCTCTCCGGTCCGTCAGATCGGATACCTCCTGTACAACATAGGAGAGCAGTTGGATTTGTTCCACAACACTGCTGTTACTGCTTCCACTGCTGCTGCTGAGCCACGCGCTCAGTGCCTGCTGGTTGAGGCTCCGCTGGGCACTCTTCTCCGCCCCCAACACAGACCGATAGACGCCCGCGACCGAGTCGTACTTTTTCCGCAGGCTGGCTTCGGATGTGACGCGCCACTCTGTCTGCGTCTGCAGGGCAGACGCATGGAACAGGCTCAACTGCAACAGGTCGGTCTGCAGGGCGGCAATCTCCGGCCACGCCGCGGGGAGCAGCAGGCTTGCGTCGGGCTCCGAAGAAGCGCTGACAGACGGTGTCGGCGTTGGAGGCTTCGTCGCCGTCGGTTTCCGCGGCGAGAAGCTCTGCTGGTACGTCGTGAAAGCCTTGGGCCGCTGGGTGACCGGCGTGGTAGGGACTGTCGGGTCTGCATGTTTCTTCGAGGGTGGGAGGACGATCTGGTGACTCCGGTGTCGCGCGTGGCCCGGAAGGGTAGCAGCGGCGGAAGAGGACTTGGTCGAGGCCGAAACCACAGGTTGTCGAAGGGAAGATGACCGCGTCGTTCGCGAGCCGAGCGTCGCAGCAGGGAGAGGGGGAGGCGGCATCTCGGTCCTCCTGGTCGGCGACAAGGCTCTGGTCGTTCTAGTTGGAGACGGCAGCCGCGCAGAGCCTTTCACCGGCGAGGTTCTCAGTTTGGGAGCCGTCCCTAGTTTTGAAGTCGAGATTGCACTGGGTAGGAGGCTTTGTCGACGGCTCTCCACCGATCCTGTACCCGGCAGGGCACTTCCCCCCCCATGCTGCACTTTCCTGGCCGCCGGGACATCGACCCTGAGGATCGATGAGCTCCTTTGAGGGAGAAAGCTCTTCCTCCTGCCACCATAACCATCCTTATCGGTGCCCTTCTCGAGGCTGTAACCCGTACTGTTTGTCGCTTCGGTCGTAGTCGGGCCCGCTCCCTGTTCTCCAGACTCGACGATCGATCGCGGCAGAGGCTCGGATATTTTATCCGTCGATATCGATTTGTTTTGTGTCGGGCGAGCTATAGTCTATAGAGTCAGCCAGGAATTCATTTTAAACGGTGTTTGGTGTTACCTGTTTACGAGGTTCGCGCAGGGATGATGAACGCGTCGGAATGGGCATGGCGAGACGATGTCATGGAAACCGAGGGCTTGACTGAAGAAAAACGCTATATACAGATGTCTTGAATAATTAAATCAAGCAGTTCTCCTGTAGTACAAGACGGAGGAATAATATGGTGACAGGCACGTTCGACTGCTGAGGCTTGGTGGGGATGCGGTGAGTGGATTCAGGATCGACAACAGGTTGTTGCTCCGCTACGGAGTATACGGAGTCTATACTACTACCTAGCATTGGAATAGAGAGAAGAAGTACTGATAAATGTTCATTCCATATTACTAGAAACTACACATGAGATACGATGACTTTTTCTGGCTAAGCAGCAGCAGCAGCAGAATCCAGACTAAAAGGTATATGGAGTATATTCGAAATGCTTTCTCTTACTACAGATTTCCACGTTTCGGGAAAGCAACGCCGTTGACAGCCGGGTGGTCGGCGAACCAGCTCACCTTGTCTCCGGCGTGGTGATTGATGAGGGCAGAAGGCAACTCGCGGCCCTCCTCGGCGTCGAAGATTTGCTTCATGATGGTCTGTTTTCCGGCGCCCGTGGCGACGAAGGCGATGTTGAGGGCATGGGTGACGACGGGGAGGGTCAGGGTGATGCGCTTGGGCGGAGGTTTGGGCGAATCGCTCAAGCAAGCGACCCAGGCGTCCTTCTCGCGCAGTAGTTCGTGGCCGGGGAAGAGACTGCAGGTGTGGCCGTCGGGCCCGCAGCCAAGCAGGATGAGATCAAAGACGGGCAGCTTGACGCTGTCCTTGGCGGCAAAGGAACGCATCAGCTCCTCCTGGTAAAGGTCGGCCAGCTCTTGCGGGTCGTCGTCGTTGGCGTGCTCGGCGTCGATCGGGTGCACCCTGGGCGTGCCCTGGTCGGCGGGGATCTTGTCCAACAGCTCGTCCTTGAGCAGCCGGTAGTTGCTGTCTTCGTGGTCGAGAGGCACGGCGCGCTCGTCGGCGAAGAAAATGTCCCACTTGTCAAAGCGCGGCGTGTCCTCCTGGCTCCCAGTGCCCGGCGCGAGCAGGGCCTTGGCCAGCACGCTGGGGAGCGACCCGCCCGAGACGGCGACGCGGAAGACATCGTGGCGGGTCACCGCGGTATTCTGACACCCAAGCACATAACTCCGTAACGACTGGGCCAGCGACTGAGCATCCGGGAAGCTGTAGAGGGAGGGAGCGGAGCTTGCCATCGTGGCCGTGGGTGGTGGGTGGTGGATGGTGTTTCTTTTGGACGGGCGGCTGGGAATATTGGTCTGGCGGGGTAAAAAAAGGGAGGGAGGTGGTTAGCGGGGCAAGGAAGACCTGCTACAACAACAGCATCAACAACAACAACAAGAAGTGAAATCAAGAGAAGAGACGCATAGAGATCCTTCTTCTCTCAAAGTGAGGTAGATAGATTATGATCTATCTCGAATAACTAGGTGTTGAACGACGTTCTTTCGTGCCTATCAAATTAGTGTTTGTGGATGAAAAAGGGTGACGTCTGTCTATCCCTCCATGGAACCAGCTGGATCTCGCAACGATAAGCCAAGAGCTCCTCTCTCTCTCTCTCTCTCTCTCTCTCTCTGTCCCCAAGATCGGTTCATTCTTGACGATTTTGCAACCTGGTAAATGCTGACAGAACTCGGGTCTTTCCCCCCAGAACTAGAGCATAACTGTGGCCTGTTGTACTCCGGAGGTCTAAGGGACAAATATGTCAGGCTGATGTCAGCGTGCTTTGTCTAGTGCAACTCCCAGGAACTCCGTACTCCGTACTCCGGGATAATCTGATGAGGGGAATTATAACGGATGAGTTGGCGAGGTGGGAGTGGTGTGTTGACAGCAGCTGGAGCACGATTACAGCATTGTGCAGGCGCCACGGCCGGGTTGGATGGATTCCGGCCTTCCATCTTCCTTCGATTCGTACAGAGTACTCCATAACTCCTTCTGCAGAACATACTCCAACGGTTTCAAGTGCTTGTACGGAGTACAGGGAAGCAGTTCACGGGTAATCGGCCTAGACTCTACCCGGATGCCTCCGTAGGGCAACTAGGTAACCTAGGTACCTACTAATTAGGTAGTACTCTGTGGGATGGTATGAGGCAATTACGCAGCGTCACAAATTACTATATACATTTAGCACCCAAATACCCAAAGTGACTAGTTGCTCTGTGTCTGAGACTGTGTTACTATTCTTGCACTATTATTATGCACACTATGCTGTATTGGGGAATTAAAGAATTCTTAGTGAGTGAGGCTGACCCACCTACTATGACTACCAGCTGTAACCGAGACAGGGCTATGACATAAGGTATGTAGCAATCTGTAGTTATTCATCAATCTGTATTCAATCCCCTCACTGACTTCTATGATAGCCAGATAAAGACTAAGGAGTAAGGAGTGACCACGTAGTCTAGGGAATTAATGACTACCTTAAGTATTTTTCGTTTCATCCACCTGACAGCGGAATGCGAGGGACGCTGAAACTTTGGCGGGTCCGCAGGGCAGTTCGTGTTGCAGCCACGCCTGAGCCGGTTAGGGCCGCAGGGCGTGGCTGAGCGTTTCAGTACGATGTACAGTGTACCTACCTAAATTAACTCTAGGTACCTAGGTACTAGTAGTCCTAGTGCCCAGCTGAAATCAATGCACAGTCAGTGTACCCATAGTCTTTAGGTACTAAGGTAGTTACCTACTTAGGTACTTGTAGCCTTACGAAGTTGTACCCAAGGTACTCGATAGCACAAGGTACGGAGTACGGAGTACCTACCTAACCTAATCTATGTAATTACCTTAGGTAGGTACCTAGGTAGTAACCTGTAAGATACAGAGTACTCCGTACCAGGAAATACATACTCAATACAAACCTAACTTGTAATGGTTAGTCTCGTCAAAACCGGCTCTGCCACATCTCGTGCCCAAAGGGGTAAGGTCTCAACAAGTGGATGACGCGACGACTGGCGAGTGGTGGGAATCCCGGCCTCAGTCAGCCATTGACGCCGTCTCGCCCAGCAGGCTGCCCTCTTGGCCAACAAGGAAGGGAGAGAGAGGGTCAGGAGGATGATTACGAAAATCGCTCTTCTCTAGCCTTATATAGTAAGACTACTACATAAGTACTAGAGTAGGACCTGGAGTCACTGACCTTCAACAATTCAACATTTTCCACTGTTCCCCCCCCCCTCCTCTAAATCCACTTCTGACCTATCTCGGAATATCCATCGATCCTTGGCTTGGTAGCTGGTTGATCGCAGACTAACTAGTTAAATGACGGCCCAAGATAACTAATTAACTACCTAAGTTAATTAGTTAATAGTCACTGACTAAGGCGTCCGGTGGAACCAGTCGATCCCCGTATTCTGTTTGCCTCGCTTGGCGTCGGAGAGTGGCATTTATATCCTGCCTCACTTCTCTCCGTCGCTGCCTACACCAAAGTTAACCTGCACCTCGACCACAGCCACAATATAATATATATATATATATATATATATATATTATTTGGCAGCCTGAATACAAGAGACAAGCGATAAAAAGATTTGAATCGACGCGATCTCGATACACACAAGAAACTGTTCTTTACCACCCTCGACTGATTGCTCAACATGAGCTCGCCCTCCGTTCAGTTGCACCCTCCCTCGTCCGCCAGCTCCCAGGGCGTGACGCCGCGCTCCTCCTCCGAATCCGCCGTCGGTATGGGCTTCGACATTGTCCGCTGCTCGCGCTGCCAGTGCTCGCTCAGCCTAGACCACCCGTCGTCGCCGGGTGTCGTCCGGTTCGGCATGAACTCCTACTACTGCAGCCGCTGTGCTTCCATGGTCGGCTTTATCCGCTGAAAGACGGTCACCGGAATTACAATACAAAAAACCAACCATCCGAACCCCAGAAGAATGAGGCAAATCAATCAATCTCTTTGGACCGCACCATCCAACTCTTCGAATTCGACTTTTTGCAGTGATTCTATCGGAGGAGGAGAAAAAGAATTGGGAACCCCGATATCAACCGCCACCACTCCACTCCCGTGTCTAAACGCGATTCAACGCCTACGCTTATCTCGCAAAGATGAAACACAACCCTTTGCCCTGATCCGCAATCCGGCGGGAATCTGAATACGGAGTACTTCTAGTGGGCTATCAACCTGACGGGAAAGGATACCAAATGGATAAGACTTGTGCGGGCCACAAGTCATCTTACACGGGAGGAAAGAAACCCTGTTGATTCTTTTTTCTCTTTTTTTAGCGAAAGGTAGCGGGGACTATCTATTTTCCATCTGAGCGTTTGTTTTCATATACCCTTGTCTTGAAAATGTAGCATACTACATAGAGCGTGTTCTACCAACTTTGAATCTCACTTGTATCCAAATATCAGAAGTTTCTGTCTGAAGTGGTGACTGCATGATCTAGAATCCTCACTAAACTTGTATGAAACCAGCATTCCCATCTGTATCAGCCTGCAGAATGAATCAAAGTCTTACCTGACACCAGTACTCCGTAACTACCCCTTACTCAACTGAAGATGCAGATCAGGGTCTTCCCGTTGACTGTAACCGTATAGAGTAACTGTAACTCTGTAAGTTCCAGGCTAACCTTGAATCAGCATAGTGTTCCTATTTAGGTCAAGCGCGGTTGGGAGTGTATAGAACCTCTTTTGTCCTCTTCTCGCCTGGGACACGTTTTCCTCCTGCTCATGAGTCATCAGTCCTGTTCTTTTCATATCTATGGACCGTGGTGTATAGAGAATGTACCACCGAGCTTGGCCGCTTGGGGAGAAGCATCTCTCCGGTGTTCTGAGTCCTTGAAGATGGGATGTGCAGTCCCGCCTTTTTTGTCCTGGCAAGTTGTCATTAGAGGTAATTAGCTACCTAATGCTCTATGGCATTATCTAGGTATGCTCTATTCTATTCAATGTGTTGTATACATTCATCCAAGTGTACTATCATAGTTTGCATGCTCTAAGATTATCTCTACAGAAGAGTATCACTGGGAACTGATTTCCACTCTTATAAACCCTTCTTGATATGTTCTCCACGGGTTTTAAGAGGTAAGGTATCTGGATACCTGGAAATCCTACCTTGAGACGACTGAGATGAGATCTGCTCCAGAGGATGTGTTCTTGGGAGAATATCAAAGACTCTTCTTGCCGGGGGATATAAGCCTTGCGATCGGACAGGACCATTCTACAACAAGACATCTATAGTACGGAGTACTCTGTGCTGTGACAATGGAAAACGGCTGAATGAGTACCCTGCATCCATGATTTGATCAGATAAACAGGGCACAGCGAATAGTCTGCATGAAATGACGGCTTGGACATGCTAACATGACAGCCTTAAGCTGCCCTTCTATTTGATTACGTGGTCTTACTCCGTACTGAAGTACTCCGTAGTTACTTCGATTCCAGTGAGATCTGTTATGACTGGAGAGTATCTTTGAAGTATACTCCTTACTCTGTACTCCGTACTCCGTGGTGACTTTTTCGAATATGGTAGATACTCCAGAAGTGTAACAGGATTGATAATAATAATGCCACTCAACTAATCAACCTACTTCGTTCAAGGGTCTAACCATCTGGCAGTCAGGTGGGACGCGCCCCTTGCTTCTCACTAGAGTTCGGGTGCAGATCTTACGAAGCTCCCACAGGCTGTCGATCCTCGAAAAATTTGCCATTTGTGGATGTATCATGGAGATCGCCTTGTACAACTGCGAAGAACGAAATGATATTGTGTGAAGTAGATATAGTTGTAAATTGTAAACTGTAGGTATAGACAGGTAACCAACAGTTTAGAACTCCCTACATGCTAACTGGTTTATCTCGAGTCAATCGAAGAGATCGCAAGAAATATACTAGTCCCCTGATCCTGGTTAGTGTGGCCTCGATACTCCGACTCTGTATTGATCGGATCGGGATTCGAAGATATGGAGAACGTCAGTCGGTCTTGTCGGAGGATTCCTGACAGGTGTCTATCAGCCCTGCATGGCATAGAATAATCTAATGACGTGTAAACTCGGCAATGCTCCTTCAATCGATGAGTCATGATTGTATCTTACCTCGCCTAGTTGGGGTCTCGAGTCTCTTAATGCTATACAATAGTTAGCAGCCGCCTCACTGTTGCCCCTCTCCCGTTAACCCCCAATTAAGCGGTGACTGGTAGCTAGTGTCACTGGTAGGCTGTCGTCTGCGCAGAACTGATGCCTCACATGCAGCCTCCAGGGGCATCCCTGAACGTCTGGCCGTCACCTGGGAGATATTATATCCTCCCAAAGAAAAACCCGCTGCTGTGTATCGGACCGACCCTGCTGCTCATCGCCACGAAGAACAGGAAAAAAAAAAAGAAAAAAAAAGAAGAAGGAGAAGAAGCAAAAAGCAACGTCATCGAGCAAGCCCGCAGGGCACTGCGTACCATAGTTATCCTCATTTGAACCACGACCAGTAGATTGGCCTTGCTCCGCGTTTCCCCTTCGGTCGATCTGGCGGTGTAACGGCCAAGTGAATCACCCACCCAGAGCCAGAAGGGCTTTGTCCTCGCAGATGGCCTTTTCTCAGGTCGCATTGGCAGGGCCGTCCTAGTTAACCAACAGTAGCATTAGCAACCGATGATTCAGAGATGCAGAGAACAGAGAGCAGAGAGCAGAGAGCAGAGAGCCCGGTGATAGGGTGCTCTCGCAGTTCGATAGATCTCAAACAGGAATAAAAAAAGAACGTCGAAGACCAGGGGAAAAAAGAAAGGAAAGGAAAGGAAACGAACACTCATCCAGTATGATCGGACTCCTCGACTCCTTCTCTCTCGTTATTCGCCCGCAGCTGCATCGGTGGCTTCGTTTTACCCTGCCCGCACCACCAGCCTCAATGCCTTGTTCAACAGCGTTTAAAGACTCCGACGTCTGTCTCTCTGGGGCCCGTTGTTTCTGTATCTAGGTCTCTTCGCTTGTCTTTTGCCTCTTCTCTCCTCTTCTCTCCTCTCCTCTCCTCTCCCTCTTCCCGTCTTCCGTCTTCTCCCTCTGCGGCGTTCTTTTCGTCGGGTTGAAAGCACAGCGAGCCATGCCCTCTCCCCGGGAGGGACGAGCAACCAGGTCACGAGGGTCCGAAGACGAGTTTGTGCTGTTTCTCCAAGGAGTAAGCAAGAAAAGTCACCTGCTTTCCCCCTCCCTTCCCCCTCATACTGAACCAAGTTTCATGACAGATCCCATCCCAGTGTCGGTGGCAGGAATTGAAGGATCTGGTACGCCAGACGGCCTTGCATATTCGCCAGGCGGTCGTCTATGATGACCAGAATGGGTTTCCCACCGGCTTGGGCCAGATCATCGTGAAGAACGAGGATGAGGCCTGGCGTACCTACCGTGAGACCCCTGGCCTCTTTTTTTTTTCCCCCATGAAGCCAGACTAACAAGTCTAGAACGTCTATCTACTAACGGTTGGTATGGCCAGAGTCTGGTCGTCACTCTGGCCCGGACCAGCATGCCCACACAGCCCATTGCTGGCCCGACCAAGAGTCCCTCGGCGTGCATGATGCCTTCGTCATTTGTGTCTGGGTATACTACTCCCCCTCAAGCTCCGCAGAACCTGGCCATCCCATCTTCTCCGATGACCCCAGAGTGAGTTTTTTTTCCCTTTCAATAGCCCATGTGTTGATGAGGCATATCACTGAGACGCAACAAGGCCCCCTATGCCACCTAGCCCTCCGTACTCGGGATCCGAGTATGTACCCATGATGAGCCCAATGGGCATGCAGCCCAGTTTCTCCCCGCACCAGCGCCATCACTCCCAGCCATTTATACCCATCTTTGCAGACCCCTTGGTGCATACCATGCACCAAGGTGGGATCCCGCCGTCACCCATCCTATCCGTACACCAACCGAACATCTTTGTCGATCAGCCTCTTCCCTATCCGCCGATCCTTCCCTATCCTCCCCACCACCACCACCACCACCACCACCACCCTCATGGACCCTCCCCCCTCCAGCCTCTGCAAGATGCACAGCTCAACAGCATCCACATGAATGGGAGACCGCCGCCGCCTGGGTACCCGCACAAAGCAGGTTTATATCATTCACATGCCTCCTCCTCGCCGCCGACCTCGCTCTGCCCTCCTCGCCGCACCGTCTTGGTGCAGAATCTCAGTCTCGACGCCAAAGCCTCCGAGCTCGAGGACTTCTTTGCCGACGCGGGAACCATCGACCGCTGCCATATCCCCACTGACCCGACCACGGGCCGTCCCCGCGGCTACGCGAAGATCACCCTCCGCACCGCCGACGAAGCCAAGGGTGCCGCTGCCCTTTACAACAACACCTTCTTTATGGGTCTGAAGCTCCGCGTCCGCGTCGACCGCAGCAATGCCACCATCGCAGAGCCATTCTCCGGTTTCCCCCTTCACTGGCGTGCAAAGACCCATCTCCCTCTCCCTCACCCTCACCCTCATCACGCACATGCCTATTCCTATAGCTACAGCTATGCTCCTGGTCCCTTCTGGTCCGACCTCCCAGAGGCCAACGGCATCCCTCTCCACCAGATAGATCCATCAGTCGAGATCACCTCCTCACCCAGCCAGAAAGATATCCCCTCCTCGTCTTCCTCTGCTTCCTCGGCTTCTTCCTGTGGCGATCCCCCGAGTCTACGCCAACCGCTCGTGGTGAACGGCTCGGGCGTCGCTGCCGACAAGGGTGGAGGAGTCGTGAACGATCCTGTGTGATCAGATTGATCCCTTTTTTAAGTTTATTTCTGCTTATATTTTATCATGTTTTGCATTGTGAGCGTTTGAGGTACGATATTTTGTTTTTTGAATTGTGATTGTAGCATCGATTACATAGCGAATGCATTATGATGGATAGATGGTCTACTCACCTAGGTACAGTCTAGGTCTATACAGCTAGCTAGTTACTGAAAAAGTCCTTTTTTTAATATCATGACCTTGCAATATGTAATAGATCCATTGGGTAGGCATATTGAATGAACATATTATTACCTAGATTGAATGAGCGCTATGCATTCAAGGTACACTGAATATTGAATAATTTACCATACAGCCAGACAGGTCACACCGAAATGTTTAATTGTGGTCATCAAGGAAAGAAGAGAGAAAAAAAGATATATCCTTCTAATACATCACAATATATTGCTACATCCCAACTCCTGTGGCCCAACCGAGCTACCTCCGTCGAGGGGGGGAGAGAGACCGTGAACGAGACCGCGACACCGAGTCTGAGTATCTCCTCCTTTTGTCGCGAGCGGGGCTGGGCGAGCGGGATACAGAGTATCGGCCGCCGCGTCGGGGAGCGGAGGTCCGAGGCGCGGGGGACCGTGATCTCGAGACGCTCTTCTCGACTCGTCTGCGTGGAGCAGGAGACGGAGATCGAGACGCCGAGGAGAAGCGTCTTGCTCTTGGGGCGGGCTCGGTCCGACGAGGCGGCGGTGATGCAGACCGCGACGGGGACCGTGAGATACTCCGGTTCCTCCGAGTGTAGGAATTGCGATCGTGGTCGGCACCTCTGCGAGGGGCGGGCGAAACTGACTGACGGGGCGGGCTTCTAGAATCGTACGACCGCCGCCGAGCACTTCGAGCGGGTGTGGCGGATGCCGTTCTCCGATCAGCCGGTGACCGCGAGCGGCTGTACGAGACCGAGCGACGGCGAGGTGCCGGGGAGCGCGACCGTGAGACGGAGGCCGTACGGCTTGGCGTATAGCTTCTGCCGCGGGTCGACCGTGACACAGAGCGGCTGTACGACCGGCCGCGGTCGCGGCTTGGAGAGCGCGAATACGTGTAGGAGCGGCCGCGGGAACGTGAGCGAGCGGAGCCGGTACAGGTGGAACAAGTGGAATGAGATCGGACAGACCGAGAGTCGGAGCGGGCAGCCGGAGCCGCGGGCAGTGCGGGAACTGTTGGCTTGGGCATATTCTTAAGATGCTCGCGCATGTCCTCAGTAAGCATACCCAGACCAATGCTTGTGAAGTAGTTGATCGAGAAGCGAGTGTTGCGTGGGTTGTCCATGGGGAATAGGCCCTCGAAGCTGGGTCGGAGAATGGCATCTTTGAAGCGTTCCTGCAGCTTCGCTAGACCGATATTCTCACCCAGATCCTGGAAGAGAATCTTGATGAAAATGCGGCTGCTTGAGGTTGTCTCCTCTTCATTCATATGGATAACCGACATGGCATGCCAGCCGATAGCATCGTTGCTAAACATGTGGCCAAAGAAGCGAGCAATGTTGCGGAGACGGTTGGTTTCGTAGCGGTGGATCGTGTCGTAATATTTGGCAAAGGCTGCCTCAAAAAGATCGGACCAAAGACGATTGATCTTTGAGAACCTCTCTCCGATCAAGCCGTAGAATTTGGAGTAGGTCCGCTCCTGGGAGCAGCACTCGATGATCATGGACGGAAGCTCGGGCTCCAGACCAGGAGGTAGAGTGACCTTCATGAGTTTGTGACAACATTCCTCGAAGTCGATACTCGACATGATGGTCAGGTAGATCGTTCGCCGGAGGTTCACCAGGTCTGTATTGCTCTGGTCTTTGATGTCCATCTTCTGTGCCTCCTCGTCAGACTCCTCGTCAGAGCTTTCATCCGATGCGTCCTCATCCTCGTCCTCCTCGTCACTGTCTTCGCCCAGGATCTCGGCCTTCAGTTTCCGGTATGCCTCCTCATGCGCCTCCCACTCCGCGTCGAACTTGAAGATGTTGAGACCGTCCTGTGTGTCAATCTCGTCGTCGAGTCCGAGTCGATGAGTGATCTGATCTTCCTCCTCCACGAGATCTAGTTCCTCTTTGATGGCGGGATTGTCCTTGTACCTATCCTTGCGAACCTGGAACAGCACTTCGATCATGTATTGAACCCTCTTGTCAATATCGGCTTCATGTAAGATGCTTCTGAATTGATCAAAGACAGCCAGCGCGATGGGGCCGTTCATCTCCTCCATATGCTGGCCCACCTCCCTGGTGAGCCCGACCGCAATTTCTACGCTGTCATCGGTCGGTTTGTGAAGCAAGAGCAAAAGGATTTGAGCTGCAAGCATCTCGTGGGCGACCTGCTGATTACACAGGTGGGCGATGAACGTTGTCGACGAAATGCAAACAGCCTTGTCGTTCCTCTTGAACGCTTTGCGGAACTGCACAATCAATCGACTCAGCAAAAGTTCGCCGACCTGAGGCAGCTTGGTATTGACGATTGCAGCCATCGCGGCATAGATGGGCGTAAAGGGTAAACTGGCAGCCTGCGCCTTCATGATGCTCCGACAGAAGAGACCTCGGCCCCGAACCAGGTTTTCGCCGAAAAGTTCCGGAACGATATGTTTGATGTTTGAAACGTTGACCTTGTTGATGAGACCGTTGATCGACTTTTTCAACGCCTCCCAAGCCATCCGCTGGTATTCCTTGCTGGTTTTGTCTGTAATCTGCGCCTGCAGCGCACGCAGCCGAGCAGGCGGAATATAGGTACCTCCAGAGCGCATATTCAACAGCTTTTCGTACTCGGCTTTTGCTGCGGCTTGCTTTTCTTGCTCCGTCATGGGTTTCCGCGCCGCTTCCTTTTCCTCGTGCTGGCGGAGACGTTCCGTGAGTTGACGCTCCCTCTCCAGGGCACGATCCGAGTCGAGGCTGGGCGCACCGGCTGCATGGTTTGCAGCACCGCCAGGCGGCGAGCGGCGGCGATTCGGGGAAGGGGAACGTGAAGGGGGAGAGCGCTTCCGCGACCCAGAGGGCTGCGGAGAGTACGCAGCGCCTGGCGGAGGCGTAGGCACTCGGACCGCAGACTGAAGAACGACAGGGTCCGCCATGGCTTCTCAGCAGACACTCTCTGCGTGATCCTCTCGGGATGGTTGTGATCGAGAAACGCGAGGTTGGGGGAGTTGCAGCCGCGACCAGAAGATGTCGGGAATGAAACTTAGCGCCACATCACGTGACCGTAGGAGAGGCCAAGTGGACGAGAGGAGGGAGTTGATATGGTCACTCCTCCTCACGACAACCCACTCAGCTTACAGAATAGAGCTGCCATCGGTCATTATGGTGAGTGTTGTTGGCCTCGGCCATCCTTTCAAGTTCATCTATGAGCAGCAGCTGAACGTTCCCCGTTAGCTAGGCCCACTCGTAGGATCCGCCATGCTTCTGGTCGCGACTGCGATCTTCCTCTACTATACGGCTTGGACACTCTTGATGGTATGTTATTTTGTGATCCCTATGGAAGATCGAGTCACTGACGCACTGCCAGCCGTTTGTCGACCCCGGACACCCTCTCCACGATCTCTTCCCTCCTCGTGTCTGGGCCATCCGCATCCCCGTGATCCTGACTCTCCTGGGTTCCGCAGTGGTGGGCACTTTTATAGGCATTGTGATGATCAACAGCAACAAGAAGAAGGCAGCCAAGGCCAACAAAGCTGCGGGAAAGAAGAAGAATTAAAAACGGAGCGGCCAACTGGAGATCCATTAATACCCTCTGTATACCACCACTTCAGAGCCCCTTTGTTGCCCGATATCGACTGCAGGTCGGCTGTTGCTTCTCCCCATGTATACCAGCTCTTTTTATCTTCGCCATAAACTTGTATTAGATAATACCTACAACCAAATCCATACACGCAGTGTCTGAGTCAGCCCGGTCGTGGATTCTGGACTCTTAGACTCTTTTTTGAGTCCTGGTAATGTCGTCTCTGCATCGTCATTCCACCTGAGGTTCCAAGGATTCCTCCCTCATGAAATACAGAGTTTACACTCATCTTTGAGCGAGTGACCGCGCGGGTAGAGTCGGAAACCACCAGATCAATGTATGCGCAACGTCCTCTGTCCACGGAACAGAGCCATCACGTGAATATGGACGTAGTTGTTTGCAGTGTTTGCCACAGTCCTCAGCAAAGCAGTCGTACTATGTACTATGCAGTTAACTAGGTAGTTACCTAGGTACTCCGGATGTTCTGTGAGGTAACTACCTAGGTAAAGGCTAGGAGGTACTCCGTTAGGTACCTACCGTACCCCTCATGCAGGCTCCATCATTCCTCAAGGGGTTCGGCGGTGGCTCAGCTCAGTCCGCTGGAAGCCGCGTTTGATCTGATCGGCCTTATCCCCAGGGAAACTGGTTCATGGTCCGTAGGTGAGTCATGGGATGGTCGCAGGAGACATGGCGCTCGCTAGACCCGCTGCTGAAAGGAAAAACCTGGTCTCTTGAGTCCGTACCGTAATCTGTATGCCTGGAGCTGTCGTCGACGGACGGATCGATGCTCCTGACCTGATCCCGCCGCGCTTCCCCTCCCCCACCCGCCCCCCCTCTCTCTTGCAAGGACCCCTAAACAACAATCACAACAACAACGCTGCCAAACATCACACTTTCTTCTCTCTAGAGTTTTCAAATTAAATCGTACGACCGTACGCTCCTCTGTATTTAACTTAGTCTGGCAGACAAGCTCTGCTATCGCGTCTGTCAGGCTTACACAGAAGCTCCGCGCGTCTCTCCCGCGGTGAAAGCGCTAGATACGCTTCCCTGGACGCTGGACGCCTCAGTCTCTCCAGTGTGGTCCTTTCGTCTCATCTACGGTCCGCTGGTGGTCTCATCGAAGATTTTCAAGTCGAGTGCATCTCGGCTTGGAACAGTTTGCGTGACAGAGACCCGCCTGTCATCGACAAAGACGACGTGTAGTCGTCTCTCTCTACTGGTGCCACCCGTTCCTGAGGCTTCGTGACAAGTCTCGAGGACGGTCCGGCCTCCTGCTTCTGACTTTGCCTCTCGGAGGCTTGTTCCGTGCAGAGCCATTTGAATGCCCCCGGCAGCTTCTGACGAACCTTCCTACCAGAACAGCCAGTCCTTTGCCGACCAGAGTCCCCTTTCCCAGGACCCGAACCGGCCGAATCCAGAGCATGAGTCAACCGGGAAAAGCAAGAAGAAAGGGAAGAAAGAATCAAAGGGAAAGGATAAAGCGGCCAAGCAGGCTGTCAGACCACAGCATGAAGATCTGTAAGTTGCTTTGATGAATCCGGGCCACACCCTCCAGAGATGAATGGTCTGATGACGCTGACTTGGTCTGGATGTCTAGACTCGAGCCCGAGCCCCCTTTGAAACCGGAGCCGTCTTCATGCCCGAATCCTTCTTTCAATATCCCCATGGATAACGCGCTTGGTTCGCCCGTGTTGGGTGCGCTTGGGTCGTTGGGAGTGACACAAGAGAGCGATACCGCCTATCGTACGGATACCTGGACCAAGTCCATACCTTTTGGGAAGAGCCCTCCGTGTGATCCCATCGATAGCGACTTTGCCAACGGGTCACCGTTTAGTCTGCCTAGTCATGTGGAGCGAGCTGGTGGCTTCAGCCATCCATCGTCGGCTTCATCACCGCCGGCCCGGAGAGCGAGGCCCTTGAGCTACGGGAATGGCTACTTGAGCTCTGGCCTGTCAAGGCAGCAGTCTACGGACCGTCAGAAGAGCCGTTCGCTCAACAGCCCATACCAGAACCCGATTCCTCTGCCTCATATGCCGCAGGCGCATTTTCACGGGGCTCCTGAGATCGACCTTCCCCTTATCTCTGCCCCGAATCGGACGGCCGCAGAGGAAGCCTACTCGTTTTGCGCTTTCGACAGGATCTCAAGTTCTTCTTTCAAGACCTCAAGAATGGGCGGAAGCGTTCTTCTCACCGGCACTGACGGTGGCTTGGAAGTGCTCGCCATTGAAGACCGCAAGACCCGGCCTATCGGACAGCTCTCTGGTCTTAACGGTCGTGTCGTCGAGGCCAAAATTTTAGACTGGGGCGTTCTTGACGGCCCTCTTTCATCGTCTACGCCTCATGTCGCTGTTGTCATCCATGGACCTTGTGCTCGGAATGAAGTCGGAGGGGGAGCCCCCTCATCTGCTGGCTCAGAAAATAATGAGGCTCCTTCCATAAGAGGCGCACCCCTAGACAAGGTATCGGATGACGCGGTTTATTACCAAACAAGAGCCGAGATATACTCATTACGGACTGGAGGACACATCACAACTCTCTTCACCAGCAAGCCCGTTCCTTGCTATGAGAACATCCCCGGAATGCCTGTGTTTGCGCCACCTCCAGTAGGGAATCTGAAGTTCTATGCCAGCAGCAACCATCTGGTCTTGGCATCAGGTGTCAGTGGTGAGGTATACATATATGGCATTTCCCCTTCTTCCGCTTCCAACGTGTATCGTTGTCTCGGGAAGACTTGGACCAGTATACAGTCTCGAGAATCTCGCCGGTATTCCACCTCATCCAGCTCTACGGATCCCGATGGCTCCCAGAATGATTCGCCCAACAGCGCTCGCGGGTCAGAGAATCCAATTCTATCTCTGAGGGGAAGATGGCTTGCCACTGTGCCTCCGTCTGCAACGTATCGAGCCTCACTTCATGGCAGCGTGCCAGCATCCCTGGTCCATGGAAAGATTTATGGGCTGGAGACGCGTAGCCCACCATCCCGGCCAGCGGTGACTTGCACAACCGACCTTGGAGAAGGGGAAAGTTTCTTCAACAAGATGGCTCGTGGCGTGACCCAGGAGCTTGTGCGGGGGGCTCGCTGGATGGGGGACCAGGGACTTCAAGCCTGGAATAACTACTGGAATAAAGACCAGCCGCAAAGCCAGAGCACGGCCTTCCGACGCCCCTCGTACGCACCTGATATGTCACAGCAAGGTTACAGCCCTTTTCCCCCAACTCACGCGCAGGACACCCAAGCTGCCTCGCCTGTTGAGCCCGATCTTGTGTCCATCATTGACCTGAGGAAACTGGAAGATGGAGCCGAGGCAAAGAACGCATTCATCAATCCTGTTGTTTCCTTTCAAGCCCCCAATGGGTGCAGTTTTTTGTCTTTCTCTCCAAGCGGTCTTATGCTCCTTACAGCGAGCAGAAAGGGCGATGTTCAATATGTCTGGGATCTCATGCAATCGAAGCACTGCCGAACGGGAGCTTTCATTACTGCAGATGAATCCTCGGCACCCGGTCCGAATGTACGCCAGGTCGCTCGCTATGCACGTCTGACAACGTCCACCATCGTGGATGTTATCTGGACTGCTCCTCTTGGTGACCGACTCGCGATCATCACCCGGAAGGGAACTGTGCATGTCTTTGACATGCCGAGAAGTGCTTTCCAGTGGCCTCCATTTCGTCGATCGAGACCTATAGTTCGCAAGCCACACACTATCGATACGCCTACGGATGAGGTGTCGGAGCGGACGAACTCACCCAACCCACTTTCGGCGGCAATCAAGCTGATGGGTGGCACGACTCAGCCCATCATTGCTGCTGTCCGAGGCCGAGCTCCATCGACAGGCAGTGCCTTCCCTAGTGTGGGTGGGTTTGGGATCACGTCTGCAGCTGGAGTCCGCGGCGGCAAAGCCGTGGCTGCGGGTCTAAGCAAATCAGTGGGCGCAGCCGCTGGGACGATGAACACACTCCGGCACGTCGGTGAGAACCGACTTCACCTGTCTGGGCTGTCGCGAGACCCAGCTGTGTCGCGGGTAACTTGGTTTAGCAGCAAAGGCCAGGTATTTCTTGGCCTGGTGGACCAAGGGTTCTTCAGGATGTACTCGGTTGTGTACACGGTTTCCAACCAGAGATCCCGATTGTATCACTCTGTCATTGGTACCAAGGGCGCAGAAATCAAGCTGCCGGCTTATATGCAGAGCAGCTGTGGACCCATGCATATCTCTACCTTCAATCCACACACGACTGTGAGTGCATCTTTGGCCTTGCCGTCATCAATCCAGCATCCGTCTGCTGCAGCCAAGACAAGGTGTCAGCCGCTTTCTCAGGCGGAGATTGAAACCAATGCCCCTTTCCAGCCATTTCATACCGATCAGAGGGTGAGCCTCCATGTGCTCTCATCCAGTAGCGAATCCCATCGCTCAGTCGACCACGATCCTCCCTCCGAGCAGTGGGTCTTTGGTGGGGAGATCGCCATGTCTAAGATCCACGTTCGCCCGTTCAGTCCTACCGATGATGAAGGAGATCACCACAGCCCGGATGCCGGGTTCGGGGAGATGGAGAATCTCATCAGTCTTGGAAATAGCACCAGCAACGTTGAGGAGGTTGTCATTACGACACGGCGGAAGAAGCGAAGCTCCGCCCGGTTTTCTCCCTCGGCTCAAGCTGACATCGACGACGGTTTCTTCGAGAATGACTGCGAGGTCCTCGATTTTGCTCGCGATCGCGTCTAGTTTTGAATTCTTATTTTTTTTTTTCCCCTCCCTTTTAGAAGTTTGCTCAATTGGGCGTTGGGATGGCGCACTTTCCAGTTGGATTCTTGACCCTCTCTCTCGACTTTGCAATATACCATTCATTCATTCACATGCATAGGCATTATTATTGACATGCCATTGTTGACATAGATTGCTGTTATACTTCTTGTCTATCGATGATACTGGTGCTCCCGCAGAGGTTTTTTTTTTTTTTTTTTTTTTTTTTTTTTTTCTTCTTGATATTTGACTACGTCGCTCAGTGGAAGGAAGGCAGGGCAAATTGATAGACGGTGGCGATAATACATAAATAAGACTACTAGTAGCTATACTAGGACAGATTGGTTCTTTTATTACTGCAAATCGTAATTGATAAAAGGTACTATCATGATTCTCTCGCCAAATCCATCTCCTCCTCCCACCACCCGCGAAACTGTCGCAACCGATCCGTGCGAAGCTTGGCCATCTCCCTCCCGGTCTGCGTCTTCATCATGCCCTCCAGCCGCTCCAGCTTCTCTCCAAAGTGCCGGATGGAGTTGTCCATCTCCCACACGCCCCCCTCGGGGACCATCTTGCGGCCCTGGGCACCTAAGAAGGTAAAAGTCCGCCCGATGCCGATAGCACCCAGGGCGTCGAGGCGATCTGCGTCCTGGACGATGGCGAGCTCTGCGTAGCCGTGTTCCCCTTCTGTTGCGATCAGCCTCGCGACCCGGTCCGGATCAGCACACTCGGTCGTAAACGAGACGTGCGAGACGATGGTTTGGACCCGTTCGGCGAGAAGGGGATCCGCGCCATGCTTTAGCAGGACGTGTTCGACCATTTTGTTGGGGTTGAGTTGGACCGACGCATCGGATCCAAATCCCGTCACGTTCGAAAGGTACTTCCGATCTCCTATGTCGTGGAGGAGAGCAGCCAGCGTCACGACGGTAGAGTCATATTTCTTCTCGGGGAACAGGCTCTGTTCTGCGCGCAGAATGCTCTGCGCCAGCGAGACCACGCGGTGGACGTGGGCTGGGTTGTGCGAGGGGTCGTGGTTGCCCATGCAGGCTGTCACGAAGGAGGCCATGCATTCGATGAGTTGTTTGGGATCTTGACTCATTTTCCTTCGTGCTTCGTCTGTTCTTTGATATCTGTGGTATAAGGTAGACATATAATAGGTAGGAAGTAGATTGTTGTGTTATGACCAATGGATATTCGAATATTATTAAACTTTGTGGGGATAAATATTGCCATTTATATAGATGACTCGATTCCGTATGACGACGCTTAGATACACTATATGTAGGCAGATCTCTGTTAGAATATACTTAGAAGAAGATGAAGCTATTCATCACACTCGTAAAATCCATAAATTAAAAGTTCATACTTTGCCGAACGCCTGTGGCGGCCCAGTGTTTCGTCTATCCTATTAATAGAATGCTTTACGTTGCTTGACTGCGGAAGTCTTGGTTTTATGAAGGTATTTAAGAAGGAGAACTCTGTATATTCCTTGAATTGTTCATTGTACTTGCTAGTATCTCTACAGCTACTCAAAATGTCTCAAGACATCAAAGTCGACAATCCGTTCCAGCCGTTGATCACGGAAACAAACAATGATCCGGTATGTTATATATCGACAGTGAGGAAGACAAGTACTAATAATATATATAGGCTCAATTGCAGTCTCGCTACGAAACCCATCGGAATGGCAGAAACGCCGCACAAACCGCCCAGATCCTGGATACCGACCACTTCGCCGGATGGAAGCTCGACACCGTGTTGATGCGGATGGAGGGTCCCCATAGAGAAGAGGGGTTTGTTGATCCTCGCAACTGTCTGGTCTTCTGGGCACGACCTACAGCTGTGATCCGGGAGATGATTGCCATGATCCAGCGGGAATTGCAGATTGTTGCGCCGAGTAAGAAGCATCTTTTCTGTCAAATCATCATGATATATTAGTATTAACGGTGGCTCTTTGCAGCGCTGTGGACCATGCCGAACGACTGTCTTCATATGACGATTCTCGAAGCGGCGCATTCCCTGACAGAAGAGCAAATCCAGAACCTGGTCACTATTTTGGAAACATCGAAGACCGTCTCTACGTCGGAGATTGCCAATTACGCGCTGGCTCATCGCTGTCGGGTCGTGAAACCCATGATCAGCTTTGACGCTTCTGCAATGGCGCTCAGCTTTGTTCCTGCGGCGGGAGAAGGAGGCAGTGGCGATGACACTGCTGATGGGTACACCTACCACGATCTCCGGCGGGATATATTCGATCTGGTTCGCAAGGCTGGCGTGCGCGTGGAGTCGAGATACAGCGTCCCCTCGGCACATATCACGATCGCCCGATTCATTACTCAGAACGGGTTTACCACGGAGGATAACCAAGTCGATCACAGCAAGGTGAAGTTGGTCATTGAGAAGATCAACGACCTCAACCGCAAGTTGCAGGAGGAGTACTGGCCACAGGCAGACGGCAGTATTCCTGCTGGAGGAGAGTGGAAGCTGGGACAGGAGAGAGGGCTGGTTATTCGACGCGGGAGGTTGTGGTATGGTGGTGGTGAGGATGTGCAGGTTGGAGAGGGATTCTGACGATCTGTTCTACCAGTATTCGGGTTTATTGGAATTAGATTTCAACAAAAACAACATATCGTCATTCTACACTCGAGATAGCATTAGGTATAACTGATAAAATACAGGTATGGAGGTTTCCCCGTCAAGTATTCCCCGATATTCCAAGTGCTGCCATCACAGAACAAACGCAGCCAGGACCAAGCCAAACAGACCAGCTGCAGAAGCACCCAGCTGAACCTGGCTGGCAGCGCCGGTCTGGGAGGTGCTTGAGCTAGAAGCAGTGCTGGTAGCGGTGCTGGACGAAGAGTCGGAGCCTGTAATTCATGTTAGATTATGATGCGAACGCTTTGACAACACTTCACACAAACTTACTCGTAGAGGCGGAATCCTTCTCCGATTTGCCGTTGCCAGTGGCAGTGGCAGAGGTATCTTTCACCACTGCGGTGGCAGTGCCGGCGTCAGTAGCCGTGGCCGTGCTCTTGGCTCCAGGCTCCGTCGCGGGGAAGAAGTCCGACGCGAAGCAGCGCGACTGACAGTCGATATACTTCTGCGTGTCGCTGGGGGTACCGCTGCCCTGAGGGCAAGCAGCGACACATTGGTTTGTGTTGTTCGCCATCTCGCCATTCGGGCAGGGGACATGGTAGCACTGAGCGGTGCAGCAGACGTCGTTGTCACCTATTCCCACCGATCAGAATAGGGTCGTTTTCTATGACGATGGAGGAAAAATCCAGGAGATACTTACACTTGGCAGCGCAAGACGCCTCGGGAGACAACGATGAAGTCGAAGTGGCTCCGGAGGTGGTAGCATCCTGGGCAACGGCCAGGGCAGCCAGCGAGGCGAGGGCAATGAGATTGAACTTCATTCTGTGATATGAGAGTCACTTTTCTGCTAGAGAAACGTTTGTAAAAGACAAAAAATGGTGATTATAGAATAGAGAAAGAATTGGAGCTGGCCAGCAGCATAAGAAGGGGCGAAGCGACTTGTGTCCATCAAAACAAACAGAGTCCACCCCTTGGAATGTTAAGGGTGATCTGAGCCATTTGGACCAGTCAAGGGGATCCAGAGGGGGTTTCTATTTCTCTTCGATTGTTTCTAGATGTGCTGATCGCCAATAGGTTGTTGCTGGAAACGTGTAGGATTGGCAAGTTCCATATCGAATCTCTCGACATGTTTCCTTCCTACTGTATTAATAGGAAGTTGGCCTCCAGTCAAGCCTACAGGGCGGAGATCAGCCAGTCTGCTCGGATCCAGAGTGTTATCGATAAAACATTCACGAGCTATGGAAGCCTATGTCACATACTGTAATCAACACTGCCTTGGAAGAGCAAGGGATAAGCAGCTGACTTGAGCGTTTGGTGACTTGACCCGGTACCTGCTTCCGCGCAAGGAGTCGCCTTTATAACATATCTTATTTGAGACCTTATTGCTATTGTGTTATATAAGTCGTATGAGATGTTCCAACGCCCCTAATCAATTTGGTGCATTTGATTCTGCTACACAATAAGAAGACTGGTTGAATCTAGAGCTCTTCAGACACTGAACCGAGGACGACGGTTCGCCATAGAGCATCATATCGCCGTCTTGAGGTATTGATTCTGCACCAATAGATCATCAGTTGAACAGAAGATATTAAGGACCATCTTATTGAGCTTGAACATACTCATAAACTGCTGTGGTCTAGTTAGTACCTGGCCTCTGCTGGGATGTGTGAGTGATAACACGGTCAAATAAGTAAATTGATCGGGACAAGTCACATGATTTCGCGACCGCGACGCGTCACCGCGAGCGAGTGTCGTAATAGTAGAAGTCGTAAATAGAAGGGAACAAGTCTGCATTCGATTTAGACGCCCACCACCGGAGCTCTGGCCCGTGAGGGCTCACACTTGACGTACTCAAAATGTCTGATTTTGACGAGGACCTCTCGTTCAATTACTTTGAGGACGGTTCCGATAACCAAGAGGACAACGATTCGTCAGTGTCTCACAACCCCGGCGCTCCTTTTGACGAGAACGACGACCAAGACTCCCCGAGACCAGCGAAGCGCCGTCGTTTAGGAGCGAACCACAAAGAAGATGGCGGAGAGTCCTCCTCTTCCAAACGAAGGAAGGGGGTACGCGGTTTTTTCGACGAGGAGGCATCCGTCGGATCCGACTCGAGTGAGTCCTTTGACTGTGATTCATTGCCGTCCCCGCATCAAACGTCGGACAAAGAACTGGGCTCGAAATACAAAAGTTTTGTTCCGAAAAATCTCAATGTCCAGGAAAACATCTTTGTCACCCAGTTGACACAGCCGCCTTCGAGCCCGGAGAGAATACGGGGGCCTCGATGGAAGAAACCAGAACCAGAACCAGCGCCAGAGCTGGTGGCGACGCCGGAGCTGGAGCCCATCATTAACAACCAGACGAATGGAGCTGGTAGAAGCGCGCACGGCGGAAATCATAAAGTGGAAAATTATGGATATGATGAAGACGAACTCAGGGCAGCGATCGCTGCGTCCTTGGATTCCTTCGAGAACGAACAGCCGCATATGAGCACCAAATCAAACGGACGGTCCTCACAACGCCCTACAGCACTGCCTACTACTGCACCGAAACTATGCTCGGAAGATGTTTCATTTAACTTCGACGATATACCTGAAGATGCATTTGATTCGTCTCCATGCCTTACGCCACCGCGGACAGGGAATGGCATCACGCCTTCAATGCCGAGTGCTTCTAGAGCGGCAAGAGCACCGAGTACGCAACAGAACCTCCGCCAGACAACGTTATTCGGTATGAGTTCTCGGGCATCTGGTGGTATGTCGCAGTGGGCAACCCAGAATTGCTCTCCTCCCAATAAAGAAGAGCCGCCTACCCACCACAAGCTGAATGACGAAGCCATAAAAACTTGGGTATATCCGACAAATCTGGGGAAAACTAGGGATTACCAGTTCAACATTGCGCAAAGGGGGCTCTATCACAATCTGCTGGTGGCTTTGCCCACTGGTCTTGGTAAAACCTTCATTGCAGCAACTATAATGCTCAACTGGTACCGGTGGACAAAGAATGCGCAGATTATATTCGTGGCGCCCACGAAACCACTGGTTGCCCAGCAGATTTCTGCATGTTTTGGAATCGCTGGGATACCGCGGTCCCAGACGACTATGCTCACTGGAGAAGCAGCGCCGGGAATACGTGCTGAGGAGTGGCAGCAAAAGCGTGTCTTCTTCATGACACCTCAAACATTGATCAATGATCTAAAGACTGGGATTGCGGATCCGAAACGCATCGTTCTCCTGGTCGTCGACGAGGCACACCGCGCAACCGGAGGATATGCCTATGTCGAGGTGGTTAAATTCCTTCGACGATTCAACCAGAGTTTCCGTGTGCTTGCCCTGACAGCAACCCCGGGGTCGACCGTTGAATCGGTTCAGGCAGTCATTGATGGGTTGGATATTGCAAAGGTTGAGATCCGTACCGAACAGTCTTTGGATATTAGAGAGTACGTTCACAGTCGAAACATTGAAATCGAAACATTTGAGAACTCAGAAGAAATGACCCTGTGCATGGACCTTTTCTCCTCAACTCTCCAGCCCCTTGTCGACCAACTCCGCAATCTCAATGCGTATTGGGGTCGAGACCCTATGGCGCTCACTGCTTTTGGCCTCACCAAAGCAAGACAGCAGTGGATGGCGTCTGATCCGGGTAGGAATGCGAATATGGGCCTAAAAGCCAAGCTGAATTCTATTTTCACCGTGCTTGCCAGCTTGGCACATGCAATCGATCTTCTGAAATACCATGGCATTACACCCTTCTACCGACACCTTGTTCATTTCCAGTCTGGCACAGGCGAAGGCCCCAAAAACGGCAAGTACCAACGCCAGATCGTGCAAGACGAGAGTTTCAAAAAACTAGTCAATCATCTCCAGACTTGGACTAAGCATCCCGAGTTCATTGGTCACCCGAAATTGGAGTACCTCAAATCTGTAGTTCTGAATCATTTTTTGGATAGAGGCGAGGGGACGGCAACTGAAAATGGCCAGACTGATTCCAAAACCAGGATAATGATCTTTGTGCATTTTCGAGACAGCGCAGAAGAGGTGACGAGAGTGCTTAAGAGGTACGAGCCCATGATTCGACCGCATGTATTTGTCGGTCAGAGCAGCGCCAAAGGGTCGGAGGGCATGGATCAGAAAAAACAGTTGGCTATAGTGGAGAAGTTCAAGAAGGGAACCTACAACACCATTGTTGCAACGTCCATTGGTGAAGAAGGTCTAGACATCGGAGAGGTTGATCTGATCGTGTGCTACGACTCCTCTGCTTCGCCAATCCGAATGCTGCAACGGATGGGCCGTACAGGCCGTAAGAGAGCAGGGAATATTACCTTGCTGCTTATGAAGGGCAAAGAAGAAGACTCCTACATGAAGGCAAAAGATAACTATGAGAAGATGCAGCAGATGATTGCCAGTGGCTCTCGCTTTACCTTTCATACCGACATATCTCCTCGAATATTACCTGCCGGTATCAAACCGGAGGCCGACAAAAGGGAGATCGAGATCCCACCCGAGAACTCCCAGCAGGAAGGCTTGCCTGAGCCAAAGAAGCGGAGACGCGCGCCAAAACGACCTCCGAAGAAGTTTCATATGCCCGACGACGTTGAGACAGGCTTCACGAAAGCATCACGACTGACAGGCACGAGCAAGAAGACCAAGAATGTCGAAAAGCCGAAAGAAATCAAGAGATCGAGAACGCCAATACCAGTGCCAGTTGATATACCGAGCCTTGAGGACGTCCTCCTCACCCCAACACAGCAGGAGGAGCTGGAGCGTCGCTATCAGAACGTCGGAGGCACCTCGCCCCAATTCATACAGCATCCCCGGAACGATGCCTTCCCTCGCTTGCAACTTGTCTCGAGACCAACGAAGATCGTTAAACATGGCTCATTGACGCAACGGATCATCAACACCCTTCAGAAAATGAACCAGACCGACGCCAACTGTGACAACCGCTACAAGCAAGTTTTAGCGCTAGAGGGCCGGAGACCCAAGAATCAGTCATTGATTCTTGACGACAACAAAGCCAAGAAAACAAAAGGCGCCCGACCCAAGACCCCTAAGCCAGCAACGGTCAATCGCCCCCAGAAGGCCGTTCTCTCGCCCGTGAAGGCTATATCAGGCGAAGGGATTAGCTATGTCCGTGATTTATCTCTGCAGCCTTTGGAGGGTCTAGAGATGCAACCTTTCTATAACTCCCAAGTCAGTGGGATAGATGACCTTGAAAGCCTTCCAGATATAACCACATTGATGGAAGGAAACCTTGCAGAGAAACCATTACGGGTCAAGAGGGCAGTGATCGAAGATGATAGCGATTACTGAGGCTGGTCAGCAGGCATCGAAGGATATGGACAGGTAGATCTGGTTTTTTTTCTTTTTTTGGAAAGCTACACCAAATTTCGGATTAACTTATAATTCTTTTTGGCAACGAGTAAATATTACATGAGAAATGACGATATGACGGTTTTAAGGACTTTCTGTCTCTCATCAAACGTAGACCCTAAATATGCCACGCCGTCAGCCCCATCCGCCCACGCACCTCTGGTCCCCTACGTAACTCCGCAAGAGAGGTTCCCCTCAAAGAGACCACAACAATCAGTTTTTAATTGTACAGCAACCAACACCAACATGGCTGACGCCCAATTTGACAGCGCGCTGTGAGTATACACATGGCCCTTTGAAGCAGTGATGAAAAACCGCCTTGAGTGTCCAATTCACTTGCATCCTCACATCGAGTTCCTGGCTATTTCAACCCCGCTTGGGAAAGGCTGACCATAACAATCTAATCGACAGTGACCTCCTGCGCCGCCTGAACCCCCGCGATACCAAGCAAAATCTTCAGGCGATCACCAGCCTTGTTCCCGATCTGACGGAAGATCTTCTCGCCTCGGTCGACCAGCCCCTCGAGGTCCGCCGCTGCGCGAAGACCAACCGTGACTACCTGCTCTGCGACTACAACCGTGACGGTGACAGCTACCGGTCACCCTGGAGCAATGAATTCGACCCGCCGATCGAGGATGGAACGGTTCCAAGCGAGCGGGTGCGCAAGCTTGAGGTTGCGGCTAACGAGGCCTTCGATGTCTACCGTGAGCTATACTACGAGGGTGGAACGGGCAGCGTTTATTTCTGGGATTTGGATGATGGATTCGCCGGTGTTGTCTTGTTGAAGAAGGGTAGGCAATTAAATCCCCCGCCTTCTTATTCCAATGCAAAACTGGTCAACACTTTATGATACTGATTCATCGGCTAGGGGTGACGCCGGGTTCGAAGAGCTCCGGGGCGTGGGATAGCATCCACGTGTTTGAAGCGACGGACCGTGCACGCATGTCCCACTATAAACTGACAAGCACTGTGATCCTCCATCTTGCCAGCGAGAGCAGCTCACTGGGCGAGCTGGACTTGAGCGGTAACATGACTCGCCAGGTAGAGGCTGATCTGCCCGTTGAGTCGGACGCCAGCCACGTCGCCAATGTCGGCAGGCTGGTCGAGGACATGGAATTGAAGATGAGGAACCTTCTGCGTAAGATGACCGATTGGCCCTGAAGATGATTTATGGCTAGACCGACTAATTTGATGATACAGAGGAAGTCTATTTTGGAAAGGCTAAGGATGTTGTGGGTGAGCTCAGAAGTAAGAGTTCTCCCCCCACCCCCTTCTTCCTCTGCTACTTTCTTTTCGTTCGGTGCTAATCAATGACGCTTAGGCCTTGCCTCTCTATCTGAGACGAACAGAGATAGAGCGACACACCGGGAGATGATCATGAGCATGCAAAGGTAGTCGGTCGGTATAGAATTCTGGAATCTTTCCTACTGCTTTGACCTTGTTATTGCTCTCGTTTGTTCACTTTGAGCGGTTTGTGATCTTAAAGAGCTGCAGGGAGACGCCTGTGCAATAGTCCCTGGTGCTTCCGCTTCGTATACAGAGCACTTTACAATAGTACATACATGGTTTCCTTTTTCTCGTCATGAAGCATGTCTTATAGGAGATGAGAAGAAAAGAGTCGTATATATTGCGGACTTGACTTCTATAGGAGGCTATTCCATTGACAATTCTTCAATGAAAAAAATCTATAAGATCTCCTCCAACTGCTTCCACTGAGATTGCGATAAATACACTTTGATCTTGGCTGGTCCGCATCCAGAAACCGATACGGACGGTATGCGAGAACTGTCTCGATTCTTAGTCCGGATCGTGGACTCGAGTCCAATTAATCATCGTGTCCTACAATGCTGCATGCTTTATCTCTTGTCGTCTCTGATGTGCACATAGGATAATTGTCATGTACTCTCCCTGACTTGGACAATACGTAGCTTGCGGCCTGCTAAGGAACCGCCGGCGAGACCTCAGCCAGTCTGGGGTGGGGAAACCTCCCCGAAGATAGTAAAGATGGACTCTTTGATTTCAGGCACTTGAGTAGGCCCATCTAGACGGCGTGGTCGATTCAATCGACTTCCATTTTCTGGTCGAGATTCTCACTCTTTACTGCAGGCGCATCTGTACCCGGTCGCTTATCGAAATTCTCAATGAACTCTCTCGCCGACTCCCACAGTTCGGCCTCCTTATCCTTCCCAACTGTATTTTTCCTGCTATTCAGCCAACTGATGTCTAGCGGATTGGCCGCCGCAGCAGCAGTCCCCGTCGAGGCGGCAGCTGTGTCACCACTTCTCGTCGAGACCGCTGGCTCCGGGGCGAGGATAGACGCTTCTTCTAGCGCGTAAACCTGACGGCGTAATCTCACATCGATGGATGAGAGGAGGGCAAAGTATTCCGAGGTTGCTTCCTTGAACCGCGTTTTGCGTGATGCGAGGGAGCTGTCCGGCGGGGAGGGTTCGTCCGTTGACTTGGCGTTGGTCAGGGCTTGGACAGCAAGGCCCGCTGATTGTATTAACTTTGCGACATCCTAGATAGTGAGTTAGCGTGTGAGTGGCCGAGATTTGTTGGTTTCGACCATGATCGATTTTCGACATCCGTCGTCTTCTCCTAGTACGGGAGATCTTACCTTGTCGATCTCATTAAGCTGGCGGATGCGGTCAGCAGACGTCAGGGTTCGAGGAGTCTGTGATTGATTCATATTGAGTCTCTTGTCCTAGGGAACTTGAGCTTCCTAGCCTCAATCTTCACGCAGTGAAGGGTTTAACAAAGCCACAAGTGAGAGGCTTCGATGAACTTGTGAAGAGGCAGGTGATGTCACGTGTTAAGCCGGAGAGCTTGAGCCTTGTGGAGGGAGATGCGCTAAACCAGAAAGGTGATAGTTCAATATCAGAAAGTGAGGTTCGAAACCTCCAGATCACCTTCAACCTAAGCACCTCCATCCTCTATACCCACATTTCTTCATTCCGAACTGCTGGCGAGCTTTGAATCATCGTCTAGGAGCCTGTCCTCGTTTCTATTTTGAGAATTATCACCACCATCTCAGAAGGGGCCATGTCTGCGCCAGGCGGGGCCCCCAGCCCAGCACCTCGAAGTGCCAATATTGCAGGTGGCGGTTCAATGCCCATGCAACAACAGCAACCCATGGCTTCAACAACGCCTGTTGGGGCTCCTCCACAGGGAACGCACCAGCCACCTCAAAGCAGCGCAATGTCGCAGCAGAATCTTAATCAAATAGTACGTATGGTCAGGTGCTCTCTATATGATCCTTTGCCCGTTGTTTCCCAACGGGTTATCCCTTTCATTTGAATCGAAGTTGCACCTTTTTTGGTTGAAAGCATTCTATTCCTGGGACTCTTCTCTCGAGTATTTGGACTGTGTTCTATTTGAACTTCCTCCACTTCCGATTCACTAGACGGCGGAACACTGTCTAGTGAATCCTTGGTCTAGACTTGAGAGAAAATATTCGATCATGTTTCAGAAACCCGTTACCCGGAAATATAGCCAGGCAAACCAGAAGGGGTTGAATGGATAGGAATTGGCTCAGCTCAAGAAAATCCTCTCCTGCGACTTCTATGGCAGCTTGATGTCCTATCAAAACTATCCTGCAACTCTCAGATTGCATCTCATATATTACTCTTGATGTTTCATCATTAATATGTTATGTTTGCATATTTGCATGTTTGCATGTCTATTCATCACTGGTAAATGAGGTATCTGTGCTTGTTCAACAGAAAGAACTTTTGTGACCTTTTCTTTTATAAAACCTGCTTCTCCTCCTTTATTTTTTTTTGACTCCCTGATATAATCACTCCTTCAGCACTTTCCACAGACAGTCAGCCACAATGGAAGCTGAGGGTGCATTATCAGGACCTAGTCTTGATGAGAGGCTTAGACAGAAAGCTGTTTCCAGGGTTCCTATTTCCTCGATACAAAACTCCTTTCACATGGTTTTTCTTTGCCTTGCCGTGGAATCCTCCTTTGCGTTTATATTTGCTAATCCTGTTGCTTTTCATTTCCCCATTTCCTCATCTTCACTTTCGTTGAACCTTGATATTAACATTTATCTTCATGCAGGTCATCGACTATCTTGCAAAGAAAGGCTACAGTCGAACTGAAGCTATGCTGCGCATGGAATCAGCAAACCAGGAGATTGATGGTCGCCCCTTGCCACCACTTGGAGAGGAAGCTAGACCCAAATACAGACTTGGCTTTGGTAAGTAGAATTTTTCGTAATCGAAGACAAGGCCTGACACTTTCTTTAGATCTATTGAAAGTCTGGGTGGAGGACAACCTGGACCTTTACAAGGTAAATTACAACCCAGGCTGTAAATGTGACTGTTCTGTCCACTTACAAACCAATAGCCGGAACTCAGACGAGTCCTGTGGCCGCTTTTTGTCTACTCATTCCTCAACATGGCTACTTCGTTCTACATGCACGATGCCAAACAGTTTTTTGAGACAAACAAAAACCTCTTTCTTCCAGAACACACAGACGACGTCCGCGCCCTCGAGCCTATCAGCCTCCCGGAGCATGTCCAGGATAATTCTGTCGCCAAATTGTACCGAGGCAACAAATATCGTATCGTTCTCAGTAATCCTGCTTTCTCTAATCTGATACAATTCTTGGAAAACAAGCAGAAGGAGGGAGGGTCAGTCATGTCCGCTATTTTAAGCAGTTTTTGCACGGTTATCACGAAAGAGCGTGCCGTGGATGATAGATTTAGCTTTGCTGCTATGCTTGGACAGGCTGGGTCGGATCAGTTCTTGCCTGCTGAAGACGAGGGTATTCCTGGACATCACCCTGGCTCCGCCTACACTGGTGATAATCCCGCCATGGCTGGTACTTTACCCAGACTAAAGCTTGGCAAGCTTGCTATGGAACCAACCCTCGAGAGTGATGTGAGGGGCGAGCTTGCCGAAAGCGATGAGAAGGAACCCCCCGCGCTTGGTCGTAATACTCTCGTCCAAGAATTCGAACAGATGATCAAGAAAGAAGAGGATGAGGAGGGTCCCTCGCGCGCAGATATACCTTACCCACCGGCAACTGCGCGAGATTTAGCTATGGAAGTTCAAAAGGTGAAAGAAAACCGTGACAGATTCCGCATCGAAGGCCGCACTGGTGGTGTTGGTCCTGCTGTGAGCGTTTGCATGTTCACCTTCCATAATACATATGATGGGTGAGTGGCTCTCTGGTTATGATTGATGAATACATGTACACAGCTAATAGAAACCAGTGTCAACTGTCTTGACTTTTCTGATGATAATATGCTAGTTGCTGCTGGTATGCAGGAATCATATATTCGCGTGTGGAGTGTCGATGGCAAGAAGATTCCTTCGACATATGATAATGTGGATGGTAAACAGCAGCAGCCATCAAACTCCCATCGGCTCATCGGACACTCAGGGCCTGTCTACGCGGTGGCATTTGCCCCCTCCACTACGCGCACGGATGATTCTATCGCACCCACAAATGCCCGTTGGCTCCTCTCATCTTCTGCGGACAAAACCATTAGACTCTGGTCTCTTGATTTGTGGCAGTGTATGGTCGTGTATAAAGGCCACGATCACCCTGTCTGGGATTTGAAATGGGGTCCGTATGGCCATTACTTTGTTTCTGGCGGTCATGACAAGACTGCTCGCCTCTGGGTAACGGATCATATTCGCCAACAGCGAATTTTTGTCGGACATGACCAAGATGTTGACTGTGTCTGCTTCCATCCTAATTCAGCCTATATCTTCACCGGAAGTTCAGATCACACTGTTAGAATGTGGGCCGTGACAACGGGCAATGCTGTGCGCATGTTCACTGGACATACTGGAAATATCACTGCACTTTCGTGTAGCCGGAATGGAAAGATCTTGGCGTCGGCTGATGACCAAGGATCGATCATCCTTTGGGACTTGGCCCCCGGGAGACTCCTCAAACGCATGCGTGGCCACGGGAAGGGTGGTATCTGGTCGCTCAGCTGGAGTGTGGAATCAAATGTGTTGGTATCTGGCGGTGCCGATGGAACGGTTCGCGTGTGGGACGTTTCAGGCCCTGCCCAGGATCCTGCCCAGGGCCGAGTCGTCGGTGAAGGCGGAGCCGGAACCAAGATCGATGCTGGAAACCCCGGGGCCGCGAGCGCACAAACCTCGACTTCAGGAATCGGCAAGAAGAAGGGGAAAGACGTGGTTGTGAGTCCCGACCAGATCAGTGCCTTTCCCACCAAGAAGAGCCCCGTCTACAAGGTCAAATTCACCAATATGAACCTCATTATCGCCGGAGGCGCTTACCTTCCTTGAACTGCCCTCTTATCTCCTCCTTCTCTGCTCCTTCACGCTGAAGCAATGATTGTACTACTGCCTGAAGTGTAGGACGAGATACCCACAGTTTTCAGCTGATGTTTTTATCTAATTATCTTCCTTTTTTTTTTTCGCCGTTTCACTTATTGCACTAGCGAATATCTCTGCAATCATGGCGGTAATGTCGATCTTCTGACGGCGTCTGGGGCACGGATCGGATCTATATCATTATCGATCCTCATGGTGTTCCGGGGGCTGCTCTGCGTTGTATTAATTTCGTTTTCCTCTTGGGAAGGAAGAGAGCTTGGTTCTGATGGCCTACCTATCATGCCCCATCTGATTTTGTTTTATTAGGTATCTATGTGATCAATACAATGAAGTTCTTTCTATTTTGATGAGCCATTTATTTACGAAAGGGCACGGACTTTACAGCCGAGAAGAGGGCGCCTTTTCTAATGTCTTTCTTTCTATAGAGCAGACTATTCCTTGAGACTGCCTAGGCCTCCTTGACTTGATACTTGACTTTGACCAGCACCCCCCTTCGGTAACCCCCCGTTCAGACCTTTTTTCATGGCTGATGAAGCCTGTATATCCGCGACTTTGGGCGGCAGTACCAGTGTGCTTCGATCATTGCGTTTGTAGAAGTCAACCAGAATCTGTGCTGTCTTGGCCGGTTGGTCTTCATGGATGAAGTGGCCAGCATCCGGAAGGACCTGAAGCTGATACTTGCCTGCCCGGATACCAGTAGACTTAGCTCGGTGACACCATAACCAATGAACAGTCAAAAGGTTGAAGAAAGATAGAACGAACCTTGCATTTGGCCGATCATTAGCTCCTTATCGAGCCGGTCCGTCCCCGCCAGAAGCAACAGTTTCCCACCACGAGCATCAAGAAATTTCCTACTCAGGCCAACAAACCAATTCTCCCAGAAGGGCTTGGTGGCACCGAGGTTTGTCTGCCACACCCATGGCTTCGATGGGTCAGTGGGCTCAGCTTCCTTGTGGAGTAGAGATGGTACGGAGATTCTGGCTGAGGTTCTATTTCGGATAGTGCGAGAACGGGTGCTACAATGCGTTTTTTAAATGGACGGCGTACCCAAAGTGATACTGCATAATGGACAACTTACTGCCATTCAATGCCCGAGGCGATAGAGGGAAACCTTGAGGGCCGCGTTGAAAGGTATCTTTCCATATTCTGGAGAGCATCCATAGCGGACCCTAAGCCAAGAACAAGACCAATTAGGGGATTTTCCATGTTTGAAGGTGTCAAAACAAGGTACGTTCGTGAACTAACCTTCGACGACATCGAGGACCGCATATGCCAGCAGTTTGGAGCCAAGCTCTCCCTTCTTAGCGACGTCGGTAATGACTGCGCCTCCAAGGCTGTGTCCCACCAGAACTATATCCGGAAGAGTCTCCCATCCCATCTTCGATTGTGTGTCTTTTATTACAAAGACAAGATCGCGGCTCAAGGTTTCCAGGCCGAGATCAAGCTCAGCTTGATCTCCTGCACCACCATTGACCTTGTTTAGAGTGGTGCTACCATGATTGCGCGCATCCAGGGAGAGTATACCGGCTTTCGGGAGAATCTTTCGAATCTCCTCGGCGCACACCGCGAACGAGAGACCCGAGGAACCTGCTCCATGGTGCATGACAAAGAGGGGTGCAGACTTCTCGGCCGGAGGGGTGAGGTAAACATGGTGTGTGACGCGGGTATCATGGACATCCTCGGAGAGGTATAGTTCTTGGGTGAAGTAATCTGTCCATTGTGAGGGTGATGTGCTCGACCTAGATTAGGACAGTCAAATGAGAGTTAATTAAGTGTTAAAACACAAATTGATATTCTCTCTACCTCTACACCTAGATCCACCGATAACAGCGCAGTGAGGGGGAGGGGCAGGGGGAGGGGAAAACCATTACACACCCCAGGCCAGCTTTAGCGAATAGATGTTTTGTTAGTGAGGGAATTATTGTGCCTGTAGACGATACAGACGACGCTGACGAAGAATCGTCATCGTGGTGGCTCTGCTCGTCTGTGGGATACGAACTCGATGCCTCTGCCTCGACGTTGTCGTCGTCGAAGATAATGGGAGCTTCGGGCGGGAGTTTGGCCAGACGAGACTTGGCAAACGATTTCTGGAAGTCACTCATCGAGCTGTGCTTTCGGGCCAGAAGGTGTCGATTTCTAGCTAGCCTTTGCCGACCCTCTCGATAATTAATACTGGCGTGTTCAGCTAATGCTGAAGAAGAAGCGAGCAGTCAGGTATGGGTTCATTGTGGTCGGAGCGCAGGCGTGGCAGCTCCCTTTGGTTCTCCACCAACCTCGCCAGCATCTCCTCCTCAGCGGCAAACAACAAGACGCAGCAGAATACACCCCTATCACTAATCGGATAGTACGGTACTTATTCAGTGTAATGAAGACGTTGACAGACACAGAGAGAGGGGGTACGAGGAAGAGACTGGGCATTTGAGTGCTATCCCTCCCTGCCTGGCTTCCCACCATGTAGAGCGAGACTAGCCAAATATTTACACTCACAATACATGGCCGAGAACTAATAGATCTCGATTCTGGCTCTCGCCAGCCGAGATCTGCTTCGATCTCCTGCTGTGGAACAGTCTGTCGACGACTCGATGAGCTCCTTGCGCATGACGTCATGTACTCTTTGCTAGAAATCAAGGCTGGTTGCGTCGCGAAAACACTCCGATAAACTCACCTGGGAGAGAGAACGATATAAGACTTTCCAACCACCTGGTTGCTCTGGCTGTTCGGAGAGCTCATATTCCACTCACAACCGTCGATATGGTGTCCCTTTGGGGTCGCAAACGGTCTGATTCCGAAACGGAACCGCATGAGCAGTATCATCAAGGCGAAGAGCAAGGGTATCGAGGACCCGATGAACGCACCAGACTTCTCCCTCCGGAAGCCTCTCGAGGCTATCTCGATCCAGATGATCCTGCCGTAAGAGAGATGGATGCCTGAATCTATACACCGGCGATGATGAGAGACTGACCTTGTGTTCTTTCCCAGGTATCCCCTTACAATCTGTGGAGCATACGGGCTCTGCGCGCCCTGTCTCTAGGTTTCCTCGCCATCAGCTTTGTGTGGTGGACGTTCCTCCTGGTATCGATCTTTGTGAGCCCGCCGTTGATGTACACTCGGGGATCTGGCTTCTTCGAATTCTCGTACACCACGTTGACCGTTGGCTACCTTCTCATTGGCCTATTGTTTTTCGCCATCCCATCGAAGCCCATGACCATTTGGGGGATCATCTTAGCCGTCCTCCTCCTGGTTGATATGTGCATCATTCTCGGGGTTCCACAGATCCGCGTCGAAGAAGGCTGGGTTGGGATTGCCTCGGTCGTGTGGGCGACCTTCATCTCCATCTACAACGTGGTACAGATCCGGTTTGTCGCCTGGGGCAAGAAAGAGGAGGAAGAGCGGCTCACCGGCCGAGAGGAGACTCGGCGCTCACTTCGCGAATGGGTCGCCGTGCTAGCAGAGACCATCATCATGGCCATCATGGTCATCATTGCCATTCTCCTCACCGCCACGCTGACTCTGCGCTCGCGAGATGCATCGCTGGCCCCTCCCGGGAAGAGATACTACGTCGACGGCGAGCGATATCAAGTCCACCTCGCCTGCGTCGGCAACTTCACAGGTCCCGCCGAAGATGGCAAGGGATCTGCCTTGCCCACCGTGCTCCTCGAAGGCGGAGAGGGTCCGGTCGAGCACTCCCTCCAGCCCTTCATCCACCAGGCCTACCGCAACGGCACCATCGACCGCTACTGCTACTGGGACCGCCCGGGGTTCGCATGGTCGGACAACGCCCCCTCGCCGCATTCCGCAGGGATGGCAGCCGACGCGCTTTCCGAAGCGCTCGCCCTCGCCGGCGAGGAAGGCCCCTGGGTCGTCGTCTCGGCAGGCATCGGCTCCATCTACAGCCGAATCTTTGCTAGCCGCCACCTCTTTGAAGTCCAGGGAATCTTCCTGATCGACCCCTTGCACGAAGACGAGCTGGGCGGCACTCGCATCGGCAACCCGGGCCGCGGGTTCACTCTGTGGGCGCGCGGGATCATCTCCCCGCTGGGGCTTGACCGACTGGCCGGCGCGATCTTCAAGGGCCGCACGCGCGAGGACCGCATCGTCGGCCGTAGCGCCTACCAGTCCGGAAAACTCATCAAGGCCCAGCTGCAGGAGAACCTGGTCGCGCCCTCAATGTCTGCCAGCGAGGTTCGCAGCGCGCGCAACATCCAGATGCCTCGCACGCCGCTCGTCGTCGTCAGCTCCGGCGTCGAGGTGCGTCGCAGCGAGAAGTGGGCCAACCAGCAACAGGACCTGTCGCGCATCACGGACAATCTCCTCGCCTGGGATACTGTCAAGGCGGCGCCGCATGAGGTCTGGAAAACCTTGCGTGGCCGTGAGGTGATCGAGAAAAGACTCGGTCAGTTGGTGAGATCCTAAATTGGTTTTGTTTTGTTTTTTTTTTTGAGTTGAAACGAATGTTCTTTCATACGATGTTACGATTTTGATCTGTTGACTTGATGTCCATGCTATTGAGTAATTATGTATCAACTATGCCATGTCCTTACTGTCTAATGTTCTGTCTTGAGCAGTGTCTTGTCTTTCCTCTGACCTCAGTTGGTAAAAATCTATGAATTTGTCATTTTGAACCACTGCTATATCTGCCTATAAATGCAATGCACCCGTCTTCCAAAGAATAACATCAGTACTGTGTGAATATGTAAGCCCAGCCCTACACAGCATCCGACAAGTGGTGGAGTGGTTCTAGTCGTGCTTCATCGTCGTGGCGGGAGAGGAATTAATAGGTTCCGAACAGTTGGTAGCTATAGGTGAACATCGGGGGCAGAGTAGGTAGGGTAAGATCATCGGCCGTCATTCTAGGCTAGCTCCCTTAAACCTCTTAGCAAGCTGTTCACTTTCAGATTTCGGAGATTCAGGCCTGGACGGGAAATTCCGTTTCTGAGGCTGAGAATGCCGGCGAGAATCCTGTGGCCAGGGGCGCTTGGGGGGGCGCTCACCGCTCTCCTGAAGTATTGTCACCAATGTGGCCCATCCAGGTGTATTCACCAGCTGTAGTCCTTCTGACGGGCTGTGGGACGTTGCAACGCGGCAGAGTAGTGCTTCCTCGTCCTATTGGAGTTGTGTTAATTTCTCATGCGGGTAAAGATGGATGTGCTTCCAACAAAGAAAAGAGAGAGGACAGAAATCGTTATTCTTTCGTTGGAACGCCTCCCACACTTACCTTGTTGAAAGTAGACAGCCCATGGAGAAAGCAGAGGAGGTGGAAGTCGGAAACACCGCGAATGGCCTTGTCCGGGTCACCATGAGAGACCAGTTTCTGGGCAATGTAACGAAGCTCTTGGCTCTCGCCGATGATTTCGCGGTTCGCGATGGGGAATGTACTGTCAACGAAAAGTGGCGCTGGCTCAGTCGGGAACCCGTGGGTTAAAGTGACCAGCAGATAGTCTACCGGAAAGCTGGGCTTCGCGTTCTCCTGAACAGTGACACCGTACTCGTTGATTCTCCGGTAGAAAACCTCTGGGATATATCGTGTTCTGCTCCCCTCGTCTTCATCATCCTCCGATTGGACAATCATCACAGACGGATCGGCCGAGGGCTCAATGATATCGGCTCTCACCATCTCCACGGCGGAGATGGAGGCCTGGTAGGAGCTGACTGTGATAGCGCCATCCTCGTCACCACTCAGCACACAGGTTACAAAGTCCGAACCAAAGCGGCCCGTGCGGCTCCATTTTGTTGCCTTGGGATTTTGGGCTTGTAAGCGGGCGGCAAATGCAATCTCCAGAGATGAAAGGTAGTAAGAGTCGATGTGTCGTTTGCAAAGAACAGATCCGTCTCCACGACCAGCGTCAAGCAGATCCGTAAATATGACCCCAACTTTGCGCAAACCGCACAGGCGTGCAACGTCGTCCACCTCCTCCTCATTTGGCCACTCATGAAGCGTCACGCCATCCACCTCGTTCACTTGAGGGGGCTCGTAGATCGCATGCACAACTGCCTTGATTCCGAGTGGGACTTCCGTATACTCCTCATAGGTGCCATATAGGAAACCCAAGCGCTGGGTACCCGACTTCCTCCAAAAGTCAAGCAACGAATTGATCAGGTCTGGTGTCGCAAACTCCACATGATCTACCATACGGAATTCCTGGGGCTGAAGGCTGATCGCACTCGGCTGACATTTCGTGCAAATCCCTTCCGGCCACTGCGGATGCCCAGACGGACAGTCGGGTCTCACCCGGTAATAGGGCTCGTTGAGCGGCGGCATGAAGGAGCTCTTGAGTTCTGATTTGTTTGTCGCAGCGTTGAGTTTGCATAGGTATGAGTGGAATGAAAGGTGTTTGATCTTCTTCTCCGCCAGATATTTGGCATCGTAGGGCTCGAGCGGCATGCAATAGTCGCACATACCCTTGGGCCCATGCTTGCAAAATCTCACATCAAGGCTCCTCTTGATCTTGCCATCCTTTTTATCCAGCAGGTCATCCAAGGGCGACTGTTGGATAACATCCCAAGGGTTCTTGATGGTGGTAGGGGTGGATGTAGGCTGCTGAGGGCGGAAAGTGACGGTTTCGCTTTGAGGCACGGGTGCTCCATTCAGACGGCGCGAGCTCTCCGGTAGCTGGCCATTTGAAGGTCCGTTGGTCGGCGACGTTCGTTCCTGATACCCAATAAAAAGCTTGTCTCCGTGTCTGATTACAGACAGGCACCAGGTTAGCGACCGTACTGCTCGAGGGAAACCGTATATATCCATCATCAAAACCCTCCCCGACTTACCTGAGGCCCACTCTTTCAATAGCCACCCCTTTCAGATCGCTCAGCTGTCTCTCCTCCCCCCCTGTCCCTATAGGCTTGTTGGAAAGCACGAGCGACGACGCCTCGACATCTTCGGGAAGGTTCTCCAGGATCTAAACAAACACAACCGCACGTCAGCACTCGAACGATACGAAATAAGTTGTACATCTTGCATCCCCTCGTTTGAAAAAAAAACCAAAGAAAAAAAAAACGAGAGCTCATACCTTGGCCTGGAGCGAGGGAAACAGTTCCTGGGGGCTGACGTTCAGCCGGAACTGGCCGTTCCGGCTCTCGAATCGAAGCACAATCGGTCTGGAAGACGCCATTTCTACAGGCAACGTGATAGTTCAGGAAGTGATCTCGACTCTAATAGCTGCTAGACCCGGCCTCCACTCGATCTCATGGCCCAGGTAGGTCTCGGGTGAGAGTTGACAGTTGTACTGGCCAGGTGGAATCGGAAGGTGCACAAAAGGCAGCGAAGCTCTATCGTCATGGATGCTAGAAAAGGGAAGGCGGTGTGGCTTACAGCTGGTACCCCGCGAAAAGTCCAAGAAGGCGGCGAATTTCAGTCACTTGAGAGTATTTTCTTATTATAAGATGGGTGAACTGCTCTAGATCTCTGGGTTTAGTCGCCTACAGTTGTTCAAGGGGAAAGATAAGGAGGGGTTTCGAGGGGTTCTGTCTTTTTTTCTAGTAGTAAGCCCCCCTCACTATATCCTGATGCTGCTTACAATGGTTGCTGTTTTAATAAAAGGACTAGCATTAGGCAACAATGTCATAGATATTAAACTTCATTTATTTATGGATGCCTATAAACGCCCACCATAATACCAGAGAAAAAAGAAAAGACAGGGTTCATTTCCAAAGACATAACAGGGGTATCAGAATCAGAGAATAGTGCACTTTTTAGGTAAGCCGCATGGCCCTTCCTTGTCCTGTTCTCTCTGTGCTTGGGTGGTATCTGTCTCTTGCGCTGGTTTGGGGGCCTCGGGCTTCGCCTGCTGCTGGGAGGCAGCAGCGGGGGCGGCAGGAGCCTCTGTCTTCTTCTCCTCCTCTTGGTCACTGCCATGTAGTCACGCGAAGTTGACCTTGGAGACGTGCTCGTAGAAGGCCTTGCCCTGAGCCTCGGCGATCTGGAGCTCGAGCTCGGTGGGCTGGCGAGAACCATCCGCACCGGCAAAGGTGCCGGCGCCCCAGGGGCTGCCACCGTGGATTTCAGACAGGTTGGCCAGCTGGGCGAAGGTGGTCTTGTAGCCGAGGGGCACGTAGATGAACCCGTGGTGAGCAAGGGTGCTCATGGAGGCAATGACGGTAGACTCCTGGCCACCACCCAGGGTGCCGGTGGAAACGAAGACACCGGCGTACTTGCCCCAGTAGCCACCGGAGGCCCAGATCCCGCCGCTCTTGTCCCAGAAGGTCTTCCACTGGGCAGGGAAGTTACCGTAACGGGTGGGGATACCGAAGAGGATGGCATCGTAGCTCAGCAGATCGGCCGGCTCGGCGACGGGGTAGGCAGACTTGGCAGGAGCGTGCATCTTCTCCAGAACCTCCCCAGAGAGGGTCTCGGCAATCCTGCAAAGGAAACCGACGTCAGCTAAGTCCCAAATCAACTCAGTGGCAGCCAATTCAGCCATTGCTTACTGGAAGATGTCGGCCTGGCCGCCAGCAGCCTCAATGCCCTTCTTCTCGGCCTCAGCCAGCTTCTGGATATGCCCATAAAGGGAGTACTAAACAGCATTAGAACCGCAGGCAAGTGCATCAGCCAAGTGCATCAGCCAAGTGTCCAAGGACACAGCAACTTACAAAGACGATCGCAACCTTGGGAGCCATTGTGATAAGCTATGAATTCGCGTAGACTTGATAGATGGAAAGCAGTTCTCAAGGGAGGGGGGAGAATCGAACTCTCTTTATACAGCAGAGAGCTCCAAGACCCCACCGGAAAGATCGGCGTGACGACTTCCGAATGCGACACTCCAGTACCCGTCTAGACCACGGGCAGCGGCTCTGATTGGCCCGAACTCCAGAATGGAGAATGTCATGCTTATTCCAGTCTGACTGATCATTGACAAATGCACCTGCTTTCCAATCTCTTATTCATGCTCAGTAACCACTAACCTGAATAGGAAAGTGGTGCTTGTACTCGCGATTAGTTTAGATTTATTATAAAAGTCTTAATGCTAAGATAATAGAATAAAATCTCATCTATATCTAGAATTCCGTGAGACCTCTAAGTTCTTGTACTGAAATAATAGTTACAACTACTTGCTAATCACTTCTGTCTAGCTATGTAGTATTTCTAGGTAGTCAAGTCTATTTAAATAGTACTGTCTATAGGCACAGACGTATGCTAGTAACTCTTTTATTACTATAGTAGAGACCTTGGCTCAGCTATCAATTTATCAGTGAATATGAAACAGAACTAGCGCTAGGGATATCATCATCAAACCATAACTAGAAGATAAAAAGCTAGAATTGATTAAGCACCAGTTGAACGCCACACGTGGGCCGCAGGCTCGTTTCTTCCCAAGTCTAAGAACGATGCACCTTGACGCTAATGCACTTCCGTATATAGTAGGTAGGTCCCTGTCGGAGGACGAGACGGGGGGAAGAGAGGGGAACATCCCAAGACAATACCAACAAAAAGAAAGAAGAAGAAGAAGAAGAAGAAGAAGAAAAAGAAGGTCATGCTCTGCCACGACCACGATATCTCCCGCGCATGAACCCACCTCCCCGGCCGCGCTCGCTCCTCCACTCCCGCTCCCGTTCCTTCTCCTTCTCCTGTTCCTCCAGAATTAGGGCCTTTTCTCGCTCCAGCTCCTCCTCCGTCTTCTCCACCCTCATCGTAGGTTTGGGGAGATTCTCTGTCCAGCGAGGATGTGCGTCCGGGCAAGCCTTGCCGTCCGGGCAAAAGCCAGCCAGGTAGAACCCGCAGATCCGCCGGCGGACATGCCGTTTCGAACACAAGGGCCCCAGCTCGCAGAACCCTCGGTCGTAGTTTTCGCACGGGGGTAGTCGGGCTTGTTCCCGGACATGTTGGTAGAGACAGTCGTCGCCGTTGGGGCAGTAGCCGGACCGCGAGAACGACTGGCACTCCGGCATACGGCGCAGGTTGTATTCGTGCAGATACTCGCATTTCATCCCTTTCTTGCACAGCCCTTTCAGAAAGTGTTTGCAGACCAGCGAGCCGTGCGTGGTCGAGGGCGCCAGGCCCGACGCGGTGGTGGTCGACGTCGTCACGCGCGACGGTGTGGGGTGTCGATCAGGACACGCAGGCCCCAGGGGGCAGTGGCCTTCACTGTACGCCTTGCACACCGGGACATCGCTGGCGAGGCCGAAGCCAAAGCTTTTGCGGAGAAAAGGGATGAACGAGAACTCGTCGTAGCTGGGATCGCGGTCACTCCTGCTTGATAGGATTTGCGCCGTTGCGCGCTGGACATCTGCGGTCATTGTGCTGGTTTGAATAGACACAGGTCACCAAAGACCATATCTGGGGCTTTCGCACGTCAAGACCAGATATTGTTAGCCTCTGGTAGAGAAAATAAATGAATGCTCGAGTCAAGCTCCAGAGACAGCGAGAAGAATATTGCCACCAGGACAAGCATCTTCTGTATGAGGCAGGCGGTGGCAATAGCTGACTAATTATTCTCTGTCTACTCCTTCTCCTACTTCCTCCTACTATCTCCAACTACCTACTAACAATCATATCCATTCCTTTCTCAAGCTAGGCTTAGACTAACCAGTGGCTCTCCGCAGTTTTGTTTCATCTGCAAATGGCTTGGGTCGAAGACTCGGAAGGTATTGGGCTCAGGAAGCCTGAAGCCTGGCTGAACACAATTCCAAGTTTAAGTCATTATAATCAACACCAAGAGCTTTACGAATTACCCCCATGGTCTTGTTGGGCTGGACATCTTTAATGATCTTCTTAGGAGTATACGCTCAGAGTCTTCAACTACACTTTGCGAGCTCTCTTACTTGTGTTAAAGAACTACCAACACGCGGAAGGGGTTTCAAGGTATAATATTTATTCAGAGAAATGGATTTCGATCTCTTTTTAAACCTGCCGAGCAAGGAATCTGGCTGAGGTATATTATCTAATACTTTCCTCTGCTTTTCAGCACTAAGTAGGCAGGACGCCTAAAGAAAGGATAGAGATTCTCTCACCGACAGTGAGGTTCTCGTCTAGTCAATTCGGTAATCTTGTTAAAATCCAAGTCCCAGCGTAACAATGCATATCTACAAGTTTCCTGTCCATCACTGCATCAATTTCGCTCTTGGGTCGGTCTGTGTCACCGTCTACTCACACCGTCTCCTTGCCTCTCCTCCCTTGCCTTTTATTCTCTCGCCCATGTCTTCTCTCACTCATGTCTTCTCATCTTATTCCTTCAAGCAATGCCGAAGAAGCAATCAGATCTTGCCAGCCTGGCTGCAGTAGTCGCTCTGCTGGCCCAGCTACCGGCTCTGGTCTCAAGCTCCTGCTACTTCCCCAATGGCGCGATCGAAAGCTCGATCATATACCAGCCATGCAGTGACATTTCTGGCCTTGACAGCATGTGCTGTGCGCTCAACCGCGAAAACCCGTCGAACGGGTCCGGGTTGGATGGATGGACAAAGGACATTTGTCTCTCGAATGGCCTCTGCCTCAACGTAATCCAGGAGCCGATTGGCAACAACCAAACGATCACCAATACCACCTACTGGCGAGATATGTGCACCAGCACCAGCTGGCCTAGCAGTGGGTGTATCAAGGTCTGCGACACTGGAGATGTAAGCCCACAATTTCAATTTTTAACATTGTGTGTGTGTGTGTGTGTGTGTGTGTGTGGCTCGTAACCATGTCTAGGATGCTGCCAACACGGTTGTCATGACTCCCTGCGATGGAAAGGAGGACTCGACCGAGTGGTGCTGTGGCTTCAACAATACCGCATGCTGCGGGACATCTGCGGCCATCACCCTGACTGCCCTCGGCGGCGGTTCCACGGCATCCGCAATGAAGGCGATGAGTTCGACGGCAAGCAGCTTAACAGCGAGTACCTCCTCAACTGCTTCCTCGCATAGCTCATCTAGCCTTTCAACCGGCGCAAAGGCTGGGATTGGCGTTGGGGTCGGTCTCGGCGGCCTATCCCTCCTTTCCCTTCTGGCCTTTCTCTTCCATCAACGTCGCAAGCCTCTACAGGCCTCTTTGCCATCACCAGGCGGTCCACCAGAAATGCCAGCAACTGCGACATCACAGCTATATGAGAAACCGGTTGTTACATCACAGCTACACGAGAAGCCGGCTGGTGCGAACTCCACACGACATGAACTTATGGACATGAGCACAGAGAATTGATGGAGCTGGTTGGATGGGATATATCCCCCTTTACTTTATGCCTTTGACGAAATTTTAAAATGAGAAGGCAATATACAGAATGAAGATATCAGAAGCAATATATTCTAACCTATTGCCATTCGAGTTGTCACAGATCGGCAACACTTCGAACCCTACAATCATTATGTATTAAACCAAGCAGACGAGCAGTCAAGACAGAAACGCTCTCTCGAATCGACTTGTCCGTTTACTACATCAACTAGCCAGTTGACAGACACGGTATTGACACGCCTTCACCGCTAACTATAAGCCATAAACCATAAGTAATACTACTATTATCAATCTATAAGCTAGCTATAAGCTAGCTATAACTATTCAACTAGCCCCTTTACTAAATGTGTCCCCCAGCTGTCATAACGGAAGCTCTCCGAGTACTGATGCACCTTGATAGACCCACCAGTCCAACGTCCTCCGTGCTCCGTACTACATGAAATCAGGCCATACTTACGGAGTAGTTACTACTACATGAATCTTGACCGTCTCATTCCGAGAGGTGGATTTACTATTGAGTAATGGATATACGGAACAGCGGAGGTCGGCTCTAAATGGTGATCATCCGAGCGCAATTGGTTTGAACCAGGGTGCCGGCTAGAGTAACCAAGATAAACATAAACTAGTTATTTAACTAGCTAGTAGTTAGGTGGTAGATACGATACCTAGGTAAAGAGTTATTATGACTACTCTGTAGTTAACTACGGCATCGGAAAACATATCCACCAGCAAGATAGTTTCTTGAGAGTAAACCCAGTTTACTACTACTAATTTGTTATCTAGACTGTGTAGATAGTTATCTAATATGTTCATTAGTGATCTAATCTTGTAATCAGTTACATTGATTATGCTTTACTTGCTTTTTCCTGTGGCTGTTAAACTCCCTCCGGTGAGGCACCCTGCCAGCGCTGCTTATGCTTTGCCCCCCTACAACCGGGTTGGGAATTACAGAGCTGATTCAAATGCTTTCCATTGCCCGCCTGATGATTCGATTCGGTCCCCTGTCGTGGCGGATCGTGTGATCAAGCCAGACAGCTCGACAATTCAGGTACTCCGTAATGATACCTCCTCCTCTCCCGGACTCCGGACTCCGTACCTTGCTGCGACCTGGTCAGCCATGCGGGGGTGCATGAGGACGGCTGCAATCCCCCACATCTTCCAATTGAGCAAGTCCTCCCAAGGGGACCAATGATCAACAGTTTTCTCGTCGCAGATTCGATTTTTTTTTCGCCCTTAGACCCAGTCTGGCCCTGAGCCACGAACGCCAAATGCTCTGTGAACGCATGGTTGCCCCCTCCCTCCCCCCCCCTAGTCTAGGATCTGCTCGGTATTATTTGCTGCCGTATGATTGATCCGTGTCGGCGTGTATGGTCGCAAGGAAAACTTTCTCTCTCTCTCTCTCTCTTTCTCTGCTATAACCGAAACACCTCTCAGGTGGTATAATTCGCGCAAAGAAAATGTGCGCGTGGGTAAGGGACCCACGTAAACACCGGGAATTCTCAGGAAATACCTTGAGACAAACACGTCTTGCCAACCAGGTATCCTGTATTCCGTAGTATCGGCCATCCAGGCGGAAATATCGCCCGAGTTCCCGCTGGTTCTTCCATCAAATCTGAGCGGTACTAGGTAGCTTCCGTCGTCACCGCAGTCGCACTAGGTGAAGACGCCCCGGATCCGTTAACTACTAGTTAGTTAGTTACTAAAGTATGTATAACTAGGTGGTTAGTAACTGGTTGACTAGATGGTTAGTTGCCATAGTCTGTATGTAGTAACCGTTTTTGGGCGTTGAGGCTTGGGCCCTCCTTGCTAGAGCATCCGGCGTGTCCACATCTTGCTATACCCCTACCTGTCTGCGTCTCCAGCGCTCCGCCGCGGGTGGGAGTTGTCCCTTCTCATAGGATACGCGCCTGATCGGGAATCTGCCGTGCTGCAACGCTAGGCGATGACCTGAACAAATAATGGGTGTTCGGACTGAGGCGGCGGGGGTGAGGGGGTCCTTGAGGATTCGTTGCAGCGTCAGTCCAGCGTTAAAATTTTCCACAGGCAGATGATGCTCACGAGACCTCTCTCTCTCCGTCTTCCATTCAACGCATCGCTTGCTACGTCAGCACAGAGCCGTGTGTGGTTCCATTGTCTGTCGCAGGGTGGCTGGACTTGTTCTTGTTTTGTGCTTTGGGAGAGAAAAATCGCCCTCTCCCCCCCCCCCCCCCCCCCCCCCTTCTGTCAGGCTGTCAGCTGGTGACAGCCACACGTGACTCAACTCTCTCTCTCTCTCTCTCTCTCTCTCTCTCTCTCTCGGTCTTGGATACCTTTAAGCTTCTTGTCTTCCTTTCCCCTTTCCTCCTTTTCACTTATGGTTTATTTTTCTTTTCTTGTTGAGAATCAAAGTGGACGTACCCAAATCCCATAGCCTGGATACTACTACTACTAGGGAAACTAGCGAGTAGTTTATCCGTATGTATTCCACCGCAGGCATCTTCTTCCCCCAGCAGTGGAATCATTCTCTGCTGTCACCGGTGGGAGCGTCCAATCCTGCCCCTGTACTCCCTAGCTGCTACGAGGTACCGTTCTTCGTGAATGCGGCGTATTACCCCAACTGGCGGGTGTATCGGAAACAACCGCCGTCAAGCCTCAGACTAGGGTTTATCTCGCATGTCTTCTACGCGTTTGCCTGGTAGTAGTCGACTTGTAACCGAAAGGATTTTGCCTGTCCAGACACACCTGTTAACCATCTTGAATGTTCTCTCTAGGGTTAAACCAGACGGCACAGTCTACGTGAGTTCTGACCGGGGCAGATTGATCTTTCAAACTGATCCAAATCTAACGCTATAGATCATAGCTCAGCGATGAGTGGGCAGATACGCAAATGCCAATCGATGGCACGCAGGGCTGTCTACGGGCGTTTACCCAACTGAAGCAGCAATACTCCAAGATGAAGGTCATCCTGTCCATTGGTGGCGGGGGCAAGGGAAGCGAGAACTTCGCTGCCGTGGCGAACGACGTCCAGCGGGTGGAAACGTTTGTGAAGACGGCCAAGGAGTTGGTCCATCAGTTTGGACTGGACGGATTAGACAGTATATGCGCCGTCTTTTTTTTTTCTTTCTTTCCTTCTATTGCCTCTCCGTCCTCTTTTTTTTCTTTTTCTTTTTTTTTTGTAACAACATGCAGACCAGGACTAATTTTGCACCATCTATTGTCTCTTTACAGTCGATTGGGAACACCCGTCTGACTCACAACAGGGGAAGGACTACCTGTATCTCCTAGCCCGGCTGAGACAAGGCCTCCCGTCGCCTCGATATGTTCTCTCGATATGCCTACCCGCTGGCGAGTGGGTGTTGCGGCACATCAACCTGACCGCAGCGCAGGAATACGTGGACCTGATCAACATCATGGCATACGATTTCACCGGCCCGTGGACCAGCGAAACAGGCCACCAGTCGCAGCTGTATAGTCCCATCACCGGAAGCGGAAGCGCGGGGGAGGCAGCGTCGCCCTCACCCTCATGCCACTCGGTTGTCTCGTACGTGTTAGGCCAGGGCGTCAACCCGAAAAAGCTCCTGTTGGGCATCCCCACGTACGGCCGGTCGTTCCTGGGCAGCACGAGCATCGGACAGCCCTACACCGCGCCCGGCGGCGAGGACGGCACGTTCGACTATCGCGACCTGCCTCGCCCGGGGGCCACGGAGCAGTACGACGAAGCTGCCGGGGCGGCGTATTGCACGGGCGGGGACGGCGGGTTCGTCAGCTACGATACCCCGCGCACAGTCTCTCAGAAGGCAAAGTTCGTCACCAAGTTGAAGATGGCCGGTCTGTTCTACTGGCACATTGGCGCCGATGCGCGCGGTCCTCGCAGTCTCATCGAGACGGGGTACAACACTTTACATGATATGTAGTCACTGTTTTTGGTATAGCAAAAGTTCATAACACTCAAACTGTCCTCGTAGACTTGTAAGGCATGACTTGTATATTGAATGACTCTTATATTGACTCATGTCATGCAAATATACGATTAGATCCTACCAGTATAAATATATGACTACGTTAATATTGTAGTAAATACCAATTAGGATAGTACTGTCTAGATAGTATACAAGTATACTCTACAATACCTAATCTAATTACCAGTGTCAATCATTATCACTTATATACCATCACTATTTCTCGTCACTCGTAGCCAAAGGATATCCAAAGAAATGAATCAAAAAAGAGAAGAAAGATTCAGCTTGATGTTCATCGTATTCTCCGCCAGCGCATGACTATAATACGACAAGACCTTTCCGTCGTAGACGCTCGCATTGGCCGCGTCCGCCGTGATGACGATGGGAACAATCCCATCCGGGTAAGGGGCATCCGTGCCGAACATCAGGTCGACGACAATGGTCTCGTTGACGGTCGAGGTCATGAAGACGGAGTTGTTGCCCGGTTTGACCACCAGGTCTTGCAGGTAGGACTCGCCGATGTGTGTTCCGTTGGCTGCTAGTTGGAGGGTGACGTTGCCCTGCTCATTAACATTACATACTTAAGAGAGAGAGGGAGGGAGGGGGTTCATACGAAAGAGAAGGTCGCAGGGGATGCGTTCGGGATGATGGCCGTGCCCTTGAAATTGGTTCCGTTGGAGTTCGCGGGGGCGACGAGCGAGTAGTCTGTTAGAGTGAATCCTTTGAACTTGTTCAGGCCTGAGTGATTATATGATTAGATATGATTCATTAGAGATACTAGAAGAAGAAGTACCCTTCATGGTGGCCGTCTTGTTGTAGGTAACAGTAATCTCAGGCAAACCACCCAGCTTGAGATGTGGCTTGCCGTAGATGTTCAAGCCAACCTCCTCGTTAAGCAGAAAGGCAGTGGTGAAGTCCGTAAAGGCCGAGAGACTGGTCACATCCAGTTCCTGGTTGACGGTCACCGTGGCGCCGTTGATGGCCTTGACGGCGGGGATCAGCGCCGAAGCAAACGAGGCGGCACCGGCCAGCGAGATGGAGGCGTTGAAGGCGTACAGCTGCGGGTGGTACGCGACATGGCTGCCGATGACTTGGACCTGGTCGATATGGAAGCTCTCCGGGGTCGGGTTGGTGACCACCATCGAGGTGACGTTCAGGGTTGATTTGTTGACGTCGCTCTGTGCAATGTGTGGATATCCGACGTAGACTCTATCGCACTGCATTAGAAATATAGAGTATCATTGCAATAGCATCCCCTATGATTGGACTTACACAGGCAACGCGATGATCAGAAACACCGCGACGAAGACGATGAGATGCACCCACCACCACTTCTTGTAGTGGGCGACGAAGCGGGCGCCGCAGCTGCGTTTGACAGGCGCAGGGACGTCGTCCACCTCGCTGACCTGAGGCTTATCCGACATTGTAGTCAATATTATTCATTCATGAGAGAGAAGAAAGGAGAGGAGAGGGAGGAGATGAGAGGAGGTGAGAGGGAGAAGAGAGAGAGAGAGAGAGAAGAAAGAGAGGAGAAGAGAGGCAACACTACGGACAAGGAATACAAGGAAAAAGACCAGGGAAACCTTCTATAATCCTCAAAGGGGCATGTCACATGCCAACCCCTCGAATAGTAAATTAAATCGTATTATTTAACTCAAGACAGTAACCGACTATCAAGTCTTACTCAGTAACCACCAGATACTCCATACCGAGAACCACGGAACGCTTACCCCGGTCCAAACTATTCATGCGGAGAAGAGAGCCTGAGGATCTTGAAAGACAATGTGTGCCTCGGGTGGGAGGCGAGTTTTTTCTTTTTTTTTTCTTCTTCTTCTTTTCTTAGGATTCATATGAAAGTGAGACTGGCCGAGGTATATAGGCTGATCTTCCCCTGCGATGATCCCTACAATATCCTGGCACTAGTTGACTAAGTTAGACCCTGTCGGTACGGAGTATAGGGGTTTTCTAAGGTAGAACTAATTGCCACATAAGTAGGTAATTGTAGAATGACTAATTCGTACATGAGAAGGATATTCACCTAGGTTTTAGTTAAGTACCGTACTCGCATCTCCATCTCCATTGTACTCCATACTCCGTACTCCGGATCGACTCTTTAGGCATGTCCTCCGTGATCGACAGCGGAGTAGAATTATGAATACGACGTTATCACATGAATAATAGAATACAGGTAATTAGTAATAAGGTATTACTAAACTGGTACTGTATTGGCTGGAGCAACTATGTGCTAGAACAGAATATCAATTCAGAATAGAGAGAAAAAAAAAAAAGAGAAGAAAAGAGAAGAAAAGCAAAGAGCATCTGCCCGAGAGCTTTCAGGTTCATAGCATCATCAATCAATGAAGAGCGGTAGACAATTAGACGAAGCGAAGCTGATACCTCGATTGGTAGATCGGTTGGTACAGCAGGAAATAGAAGGAACAAGCGCCAGTCCATCGGATGGAGTAGATATTTAACAGGGGTATCCAGAGAAACGAACCAGACCAGACACTTTATCTGGATTCTAAGCTCCTGTCAAGGAGATAAAGTAACAGAGGTGAAGAAAAGAGAAAAGGTGAAGAGAAAGAAAAGAAAAAAAAAAAAGGCAAAAGAAATGAAAAAGTAAAGAATGAATGTCAGGCAGTACAGATGATGTTTTTGTGTCAGTTAGATTAATTTAAGCACAATGAAAAGAGAGAAAAATAAGAAAAAAAATACAAGTGAAGGACCAACTATGGAAGAGGCGCATGTTCAGAGGCGGCCGACTTTTTGCGCTGGAAGATGCTGCGAGTGCGCGACTTGCTCCGGCCCTTCTTCTCGGGGGTGCCAGCCTGACGGCCACGAGAGCGAGGCGGAGTGTCGTCGTCGGACAAGTACTTGTCTTTGTAGATCCTAAAAGGGTCAGCATCCACCGTAAAGAACAAAGGTTGGCGCTACCACAGCAAACTCACCAGCTATTCCCCACCATGCTCATGCCCTTGGCCTCAGCCATGCGGTAGAACTTGGCGGCTTTCTTCAGGTCCTTTTTGGATCCGATCCCCTCGGCGTAGCAGAAGCCGGCCTCGGCCAGCGCGTCCGCGTCGCCCCATTGGCCTGCGATTTCGAAACACCGCAGCGCCAGGGACTTGTCCTGTTCGATGCCCCAGCCGTTGAGATGGCTGACGCCCAGCTCGTAGATGCTCAGCGCGAACTGCGCCCGGTACGCCTTTTGTTCCATCATCTCCTGCATTCGCTGGTTGTTGCCCGGTGCTGCTGCTTTGTTGGAGGCGGAAGCAGAAGCAGAAGCAGAAGCAGCAGAAGAAGAAGAAGAATCGTCGGAGAGTTCCAGACCGACGCTGTCTACGGCTTTGCGCAGCCACTGCACGCCTTCCCGCTGGTTTGCGCGCATCCCCCACCCGTGACGGCAGGCCAGGGCGTACAGCAGCATTCCCGTGGGATGGTTTTGCTTGGCGGCGATGCGAAGATGGTAGGTGGATTCGTTCAGTGACCCCCTCTCATGGCATTCAATGCCCAGCGCCAGATGTTCGTCTGCGTTCAGAGCCACCTTGGATGAGGCTCCCGTCTGCGCTGTCTGGGGCCGAATCGTGCTCGCCGATTCCGTAGACGAGGTGGTCTCGTCTTTCTCGTCGGGCTTGGGGATGGCAGCTGGAACTGGAGCCGGAGCTGGAACTGGAACTGGAGCGGTAGGGAGAGATGTCTGGTGCGGTAAAGTACGAGGGGGAACAGGAGATTCCTCTGTGACGAATTGTCGGTTAGTCGAGAGTGACTTGCGGGAAGGGGAAGGGGATGGGCTTCGGGCAGTCCGGTCGGTCTTGGAAGCACTGGGAGGAGGCGAGTTCTCGAACAAGGGCTCTGCCCATTCAAAATGTGGGGTTTGAAGACCAGAGAAGACCAGGGAGTCTCTTGAAAGCATGCGACCACGGGGAAGGGAGTACTTGGAGTAGGTGTAGGTGGATACGGCCGACGTGGGCGGCTCCGTATCATGGCGTTTGAGGCAGAGGTCTGAACGTGAAGGCACAAAAATCGGGTTGGGCTTATTACCTCGGTTGATCAAACTGGGTGGCGGGCTGACCATATTATCATCATGATCCTCCTCGTCCGGCGGCGCCAGAGGAGTGGGCGCGGACAGACTCGTGCTCGATCGGCTCAGGGGACGCGAGAAGTTAAAGGAGGGTCGCGGGAGAGGTCCCCCCGGGATCGAGGTCTCCGAACTGATCGAGGGCGAGCGGGGGTGCGATCGCACGGCGGGGGACATGGGCGAGTGTGGCACGGACATGGCGCTCCCGGACGACAACTTGCGGGCGGCAGAGAAGGTCGAGCCGGCGTTGGAGCTGCTGTAGTCGTCATCCGAGCTCTCCGGCTGATTTATCCTGGCGAAGTTGTTTGACGGCCGCGCCAGACCGTGGGGGACATGGAGACGGGATGAAGGCGAGTCGGCCGACGGGATTCCAGACAAGGCCATGCCAACGGGGCGGAGGGTCCATGAGGAGTCCTCTGGGGATTCGGCACGTGGCAGATGATAATCGTCAGCAACTTCGGGCAGCTGGGAAGAGGGCGGCTGCAGCTCCTCCTCGTCATAGTATGGGGATGATCCCTCCTCCAGACGGTCGACATCGCCGGCGACGCTGGCTATGCCGCTCAGACGCGGGTGTTCGGACTGGGGACGAAATCTGGGCTGCTCGACCTCCGGACTGGCCTTCTGGGTTGGTCGCCTTGCGATGCCCGGCTGCGAGTCGTTGGATGGGGGGCTGCGAAAGTAGCCTGGGCGGGGCTGGGACAGCGACCTGGCGACGCTCGCCGGGGGCAGTCTGCTCATGCGACGGTCCCTTCGGCGAGACTCATCCAGCTGTCTGGCCAGCAAGCGGCCCTGGGCGGCAAAGGCGTCGAGCGGCGATAAGGCGGGCGGGATTTCCCCATCAAAATGCTCGATGCGGGGAGATGGAAGCCCGCCTCGCGAGGCTTCGCGCGACGGCGAGTGCATATCACTGAAACTAGGCCTTGAGGCCATGATGGAGTGTTGTATCCCTTTGATTCTCTTCTAATACCGGTAAATGTGATGTCTGTTGTGTGTCCCGTTGCGCGCTGTTGGTACGGGTCGGTGTCCTCTACCCAGGATTCAAAGAATCGGAAGCTTGCATCGAGACGAGTGAATTATTCTAACAGGGGCGAGATAGATTGCCAACGGTTGGAACCAGTTCAGGACGAGGTTTTCCTATCGACGGTCGGGGGATGCTCAAAGGGGCGGAGACAGAAGGAGTGACAGCCCGGCTGAGAACAAAGGCGACGAGAGGGAGAGAGAGAGAGAGAGAGAGAGAGAGAGCGAGAGTGGGTGAGTGAGTGAGTGTATGTGAGTGAGTGTGTGTAGGAGCCGAGTGACGAAATTCTTCGATTCTGGAAGGAGAAAAGAGTCAACAAACACCGATGCACGATTGAGACAGGCAGAGGGAGGTCGTTCTCACCAGGCAAAAAAAAAGAGGGGGGGGGGGGATCCACGCGGAGACGGACGTGCGGGCGAGAAACACGAAGGCGAAGTCTAAGGCCGACCGGCTGTGGGAATGGCTCGTCAGCTACAGCTGGACGCAGGAGTCACTGGGCAGTCTGCAAGGCACCTGCAACTGATGCCATTGGCACAGTCGAGAGGAGGGAGGAAGAGTAGGTAGCACCTATAGTGATGGCTTGCCTGTGGCTGCAGGGCTCTTTAGGCGTGTACAGGTACGGAGGACGGAGGACCAGCAAGGGACGTTTCAGGGGGTTCAGGGGAAGGTTGTTACTAGGTACCTACCTAGTAGGTAGTTAGGTAATACAGAGTAACTAGTTAACTACTGTAGTTATTACTTTATATTAATAGGCTCACCTATAGTTATGGATAGATACTAGGATACTAGTTACATACTACTATACTTTTATGATTAAATAATTATTAAATAATAGAACATATAGAGTAAATATAAAATATTAGAGAATAAAATCAATAAAAAAAACAAGTCATAAAACAGAGTGAAACAGTACTCAGTACCAGTAACTATAGACTAGCAATAGTTAGAGTAAAACAACTCTTATAGCCTAGTTATAGCCTGCCTATACGTACTCCGTCCATCCACTCGGTCTGGCCAGGAGCTATAATTAACCATGGTTTTTCCGCGCCGGTAGTCTTTACTACTTTAGTACTAGTGAAGTAGTAAGAGTTGTTTTACTCTAACTATTGCTAGTACCGAGTCTAACTAATGCTGGTTACCTCAAAAGGTTAGCAAAGTGATCGGCGCTCCACTGTCTTGCTAAAGTCTTGTATAAGAACAAGTACGGAGTAGTTATCCAGGTACCTAGTAACTAGTTAACTAAATTAACTAACTGACTAGTTATGTACTCCATACTACTAGTAGACTGCTACGGAGGAAAGAAATAATGGATTTATTTACTTCAGTCTATTTAGATAGAGATGACTAGAGGATTAGTTTAACCCTCATCTAAGGTTGTATCTACTATATAACCAAGGTACCTAGTAAGATAATATTTCGGATACAATTATAAATAATAACACTTTATATTAGTTAATAGTTAATTGTTACCATCAACTCTACTACTACATATTTCTTGTGGAGCCACTAAGTCTTCATGGCTCCAGATTGAGTCTTGCTCCGTCCTCCGTCATTTCCTACGTACGCGCAGAGTTTTCTTATGGAGTCAAGCAATGAGTAGAGGACAGAGATTGTTGAATGTTGGGCTGGTTATCTGTATGCGTACTCTGTAGTCCGTATTGTCTCGGTGCTTATTCTTCTACTATTATACTACACTACTACACTACTACTTCTTTAATATTAATTTATATCCGTCTATATATTCATAAATACTTAATTCATCTCTATATTCAAAATGAAAAGAATTACGTTCAGCGACAATCCCCTCGCCTTCTCGACCTCCTGGCTGCTCCCCCCCGCCGCGCTGGCCGCCCTGCGCGGCCTCCTCTCGCTGTACATCTTCGTGACCATCATCTTCATCTGGGCGTGGTACGGCGCCCACGGCGAGAGCAGCGCCATCGGCGAGACCTTCAGCTACTTCACCTGGCTGACCTACTTCGGCCTGGGCTTCTACTTCCTCGTCGCCGCCCTCCACTCGGCCTACTACGCTCGCACCGGTCGTTCGCTGTTCACGCGCTGGCCACGTGCCCTGCTCGCCCTGCACAGTCTCTTCTACAGCACCGTCACCACGTTTCCCTTCCTCGTCACCATCGTCTACTGGGGGGCGATCTATTCGCCGCCGTGGTTTACGGAGAAGTTTGAAGCCTGGGCAAATGTATTCCAATACCTATACCTATATTCAACTCCTCTTGCTAATGTGCTTAGATCTCCCAACATGGCTTCAATTCGCTGTTCGCCCTCCTCGAGATCGGCCTGGCTACTACCCCCCCTCATCCCCTCATCAACCTGCCCTTCCTCGTCTTGATCCTCCTCCTATACCTCGCCCTCGCATATCTGACATACCACGACGAAGGATGGTATCCGTACTCTTTCCTCGACATCAAGACCAACGGTTCCGGCCTGGTGACAGGCTACTGCTTCGGCATTCTGGCTGCTATCCTCGTCATCTTCGCCATCTCCTGCGCTCTCATCTGGTTGCGGAGGAAACTCACCAAGGAGGTCGTGAAACGCTCGGCGCGTGACGTCTCGGATCGGGGTGAGGAGAATCTCGAGGCGGGTCAGGAAAAGTCTTATTTTTAATACCATGCATGTAATGATATCATATATATCATATCTCATGTTAACGTGATACATGCGTTGGCATACATCTACTATAATGTCGGATACCAAAAGAAGATCAATATTATAATAGCTATACTCTCTCCCAACTACCATCACTTTCACCATTCACACGGTGCCGCCCAAGCATCCATCCCACCAGTCCGTCCGGCACCCACTGCCCGATCAGACTGTACGTGCGCGAGCCCGTCCCCACGTACAGCACGGCCTGCTTGGCCTTTTTGCGCCCGAACAGGTTCTTCGCAGGCGGTTCCAGCGCGTCAAAGATCGCATAGTGTAGTGTCCGGGCCGACGAGCCCCGCACACTCTGCGGGCCTGCAGACGCCACGGGCCGCTGCTCAATGCTAGACAGGTACTGCGCCCCGTACAGGGCTCGTTGCTGCGTGCTCCAGGCGAGCACCTCCGTCCCCGCCACTTGATTCTGTAGCGGGCGGTACTGCGCGCCGAGGTCGACGTTGCCCAGCCGCACTTCTACCACGCTGACGTTCCCCTGCTGGACGAGACGGAGCTCCCGGCGCAGCGAGGCTGCGAAGCCCGACAGAGCCCGTGCGGTCGCCACTTCCGGTCCGGCAAAGGGGGCAGCCAGCGACGACGAGATGGACGGGTACGCGACGACGATGCTGCTGCTTGAGCTGCGTAGCGTGAGGAGCGGGAGAAACAGTTGCGTCGTCAGGATGGGAGAGAGGATCCGGGTGTTCACCGCGTCGGCCCAGCTGGAGGCTGGGACCGTCGCAACGGGGCCCGCGGCGTAGTGTGCCGAGGGAATAATGACCAGGCCGCTGAGTTGGCAGATGTGAGGCGGCACGCCGGGCATGGGTGACTGGGCTTGAGTGATGAGAGAGCGGATCCCGAGCAATGACGGATGGATTTCAGAAGGTGAGGGCGTCTACACATTAGATTTTGAGAAAGAGTAGGTGGGTAGAAGGATTTTTTACCTGCGTCAAATCAAGCCAGAGAGGACGGATATCCGCCCGGTTCTCTGCTTGCACCATGTGCTCTTCCTCCACGGACGACACAATCACATAGACGATATATCCTCGGCGCTCCAAGTCCGTCGCAATCGACCGTGTCATGGGTTCATGCGGCGACCCGGCGATGACTCGTAACGTCAGCGCATGCTTGCATAGTTCCCCGTCGACTGTGCTTACCGACAATCTCCTTCCGAGCGCCATTCCCGGCCTTCCTCGCCTTCCTTCGCTTCCCGTGCAGCTTCTTGCCTCCATAATATAGCACACACGTAGTTCCGAAGAAGGCAAAGATGGCGGCCGTCCACGCCCGATTCCGCAGAATCCACTCGTATACCCGATCCCCGAAATCCCGCGACCGAGACGATGGCCCGACTTGCCCGCACGTTCGCGGCGACGGTCGGATGGAAGACGGCAGCCAGCTCTGCTGCGAGAGCGTCTCGCGAACCACAGCAGCGGCGTGGTCGACCTGTCGATCGATCGAGTCCGCAACCTCCAGCGAGTAACGCCTTACGTCATGGGGGATCGAGGCAAGCTGCAGGCACACAAGGCCAGATGCATCAGCGCTTGATCGTTTGCCTTGCTGGCGATGGGCAGAAACTTAGAAACTCACGTAGTCGAAAAAGAACTGGTCGTCGCTCGTCATTTTGTCGATTTTGTCGCTCGATTCATTCGATGGCAGAGAGGAGACGGACGATAAGCAAAAGAAGTTGAAGATTGAAGATTATCGTGCCGGTCACATGAGCTGCAATTATTAGGGAGTTACAATCTGCCCCAGTATCTACTACATACTTCCTTGGAATAATTCTTTTGACTTGGATATATATCTTTTGATTGTTCTATATTCTATTAGACTGAGTATTCTTCTATATCTATTTGACTCGGTTGAATATAAGAAGTTCTACCATTATATCCTTCTACCTCTAGCTATTTAACCATTATATTAAGCTAGTCTTATTTATCTAGGTATATTCTACTTGGTATATCCTACTAAATATATTCGATTATTTACGTTAAACCTCCTAATAGACTATAGTTCTTCTATACTCTATACCGTATGTACAGAACTTCAAACCTGCCTCTCACATAACTAATAAAAATATACACGTGACCGAGACAATTGCTTATCAATACTGCAGTCCATCCAGCGTCGTCCTTACCACCGACAGTCATCGAAACTTCTCGACTCCTGGCAATTTCTCCTTTCTTTGCTGGTGTACTACTGTTGCCTGTTTCTAAAGGGTAGATGGTTCATGATGACTCCTTGAGGCTGGAGGCCGTGCCTTTCCAATCTGCTTTGCAAACGTCTAGCGCTCTCTTCTATCATTTACCAACCCTTCCTCTAATTTCTATTTAATTCGAAATGCGCGAGCTAGACCCGTTGGTCTTGGAGTACCAGCATGACAAGCGCCGACCGAGGGAGTCGGAGGCGCTTCTCATCCTGCGAAAGGTTGCTTCGCTGGTGAAGCCGATCATGCGGCAACGATGCTGGAGAGTGGGAACGCTGGCAGAATTCTATCCGCGAGAAAGGAACCTGCTTGGTATTAACATTAATGCTGGCCAGAAGATTTGTTTACGGCTACGGTACCCCTCGGACGAGACCCAGTTTCTGCCTGTGGAACAGGTAGTTGATACCATGCTCCATGAGTACGTCCAAGATACAAAATCTAGCTTCGGTGGATTTTCGACACGGCTAATACCGCGTGCAGGCTTTGCCATATTGTTCATGGGCCGCACAACCAGCAGTTTCATGCCTTGTGGAATCAACTGCGGGACGAACACGAAGAACTCGTGATGAAAGGCTACACGGGCGAAGGCTTCTTGTCCCATGGTAGGCGGCTCGGGGGCCAGAAAATGCCCTTGGATGAGGCCCGTCGTCGCGCGCGCGCCGCCGCCGAACAGCGACGGGTCCTTTCTGCTGGATCTGGTCGGAAACTCGGGGGCGCCCCCGTGCAGCGAGGCACCGATATCCGTAGGGTCATCGCCGATGCAGCGCAGAGGCGTATCGAGGTGACCCGGGGCTGCGCCTCTGGAACAGAACAAGGTGCCCAGCTCGCCGAAGAAGCGTCTCGAAATGGGTTCCGCACAAAGGCTGAAGAAGACGATGCCAATGAGCAAGCAATCCTACAAGCATATATTGAGCTGATTCAGGAGGAAGAGCGTGAGAAATACGGAGATTCATATATTCCTCCCAGCCAGGAAAATCCCGCAGGGCCTCGCTCGAATCTATCTTCCTCTGTCCTAGAGAACACTAAGCCAACAATGAAAACAGCAGCAGCAGCGGCGGCATCGGCGGCATCGGCGGCGCCGATTCTTTCTTCCCCTCGTGAGCCTGTTGATCTCACTTCCGATAATAACGAATCGTACAACTCCCCGTGGACGTGCCCGGTCTGCACCCTAGATAACCCGGCCACGTATCTCTGTTGCGATGCCTGCGCATCTGAACGACCACAGCCCGCCAACGTGGGATCCGCCCCAAGTCCGCCGCCGCCTGCCCGACCCCGATCGACGAACAAACGGCCGATCCAAGAGTCAACGCGCAAGATCGTGTCGCAGAGCACAGTCCGAGCCGTGGAAACCCTGGCGGCTATCGAGAATAAGTCCTCGAAGCGTCCGCTTGGCTGGGTATGCCGTTCTTGCGGAGCCTTTATGGAGACAGAATGGTGGACCTGTTCGAGTTGCGGTCTGATGAAGCAGGCTTCATAACCAACACTCTATATGTAGCAGATATGAATGAAATAATGATTTATGAGCATTGATTGAGGAGAGAATCCTGATTCGTTAGAGCTTAAGTGGAGTAGACTCACGTGACAGGCTTCGCGGATTTCTAGCCAATTTTTTTTCTTCGACTTCCAAACATTCCCACAACAAATGTTGTCGATGCTCCAAGAACCGTCAATGATTGACTGCAACAATAGACAGAGAATGTATTGTCTGTTGATGTACTTCCCACTCCAACTAACTACACAGGTATGCATCTGCAGTCACTCCTTTCCCCCCCATGTCTAGGTAGAAGAAATCCAAGCATTCCAGACCCGTCTCAGCTGCTCTCTGAAATGATGAGAACTTTATCGAACCGATTTTTTTTAGGAAGAGCCGGAAGAGGTATGACATGTTGGGAAGAAATAAAAATATCTTCGACCCCTTGTCGTCGGTGCTTATAAAGGTTCTGCTGAGAGGAGTTTTGCAAGCTGAGACGATGATCTGAAGGGTGTATTGGTGATCTCTGGACGTGCCTTGTTCTTGTCTTGACTTGAAGAACTGCCTTTTGATTATATGTCTACTGTGCTAATAGTTGCACTTAGGTTATTCGTTACTTGGGGACTTGCTATACGAAGAATGATGGTAGAGAACTCTTATATAGACTCGAATAAATTATACATGGATCTCGTATCTAAAAATATTTTCCGTCTCAAAATAAACTCCCAACAACCAGAGAGAGAAAAAGAGGATAGAGAATAAAAAAAGGAATCAGATTAAATCAACGCCAATAGATGCATATAGAGAAAGGTTTCAAGCCACGCTGACGAAAGTTCGCTTTTTACCCGATCCCATCTTCTGCTGTTGCTGGTCCTCCCAAGTGTCGACGTCGACGTAATCCTTGGTGCCCTGTTCCCGCACCTGGGTGCTAATGAACTGCAGCGCAGCCAGGTTGAAGCCCATTTCGTCTTGCTGGCGCGCGAGAACGCGGCGCAGCGACGCCCGGATGCTGTCCAGCATGGGTCGCATCATCTTGCTTGCGATGATCTGGCGGTGGTGCGTCTTGAGAATGAAGAACAGCACGCGGCAGGTGAGCGGAACGTCCCATTCGCGTCCGGCCCAGATCTCGAGGAAGGTGAAGAGCGAGGTCACTTTGGAAAAGGGCAGGACGAGCAGGGCATCCTGCAGAGATGCCGCGGGGATTTTCTGGATCACCTTCAAGACGTGGCGTTCGGCGGAGATGTTGCCTAGGGCGATGTAGAGCGGGTTCCGGCCCTGCGGTAGGGCGTTGGGCTGCGAAGCCTTGATTTCCTTCCACTCCTGCATGAGCTGGAGATCCTCCATACCCAAGTCCAAGGCTTCCATGATTTTTTCTCCGGCCATGAGGGTGTCGGCGGTCTGCTTGCTCGCATCCACGGCCTCGGCTTTCTCGCCCTCGCCATCCTCATCGTCTCCTAGGGAGTCTAGGAGATTCTTATCGTGCATCTCCTCTAATTCCTTTTCGCGTTCTTCTTCCAGGAAGATCTGCTCGTCGGTCTGTTCCCAGATCCGAATGCTCTTGTCGTGACTCGCACTGGCGATGAACTCGCCCGAATGACCGACGGCTAAGCACCAGATCTCACCATGGTGGGCCTCGAGTTTCTGGATCAGTTCGAATTTGTCGCCGTCCCAGTATTTGATCACACGGTCCTTGCTGGCACTGAAAAAGTTATGTCCGTTGCCTTCGTTGTTGTTAGGGACAAACGCAACGGCCATGATACTGTCTTCATGCGCCAAGAAGGACTTGTGACAATCACCAAAATCAAGACCCCACAGCCGCACCGTCTTGTCGGCTGAGCAAGTGACGATCAACTTACTGTCGTAAGATATGTCCATGTTCAAAACGGGCAGCTTGTGGCCATAGAGATTGAGGAATAGTTTGAGCGAGTCAACAAAGAACACCTTCACGGTATTATCTAAAAGAGACACCGCAAGAAGTCGAGCATCGGGTGAAAATCGCAGACTGAGGATGTCATCCGAGACTTTCAGTGTCCTTGTGTGAACAAGTTTCAGGCGAGGTGTAGTTCGTTTTGTTCCAGGAATCTCTTCCTGAACAATTTGGAAGGTCCAAAATTTGGCAGTCTTGTCAGCTCCACCACTGGCCATGGACTTTCCATCCGGATGAACGTGGAGTGACCACACAGGCCCATCGTGGGCCTTGATTGTGTCGAGAAGCGTAGAAGAGGCAATATCGAAAACCTCTAGCTCTCCGTTTTTATTGCCGACTACAACAATCTTGTCTCCAGGTAGGAATGCGGAGCAGAGAGAATAGCCGCACTCTAAAGTCCGCAGACAGCTCTGCGTCCGGACGTTCCAGATTTTGAGACTGCCATTGGAGGCTGAGGCAAGCATGCGGTCGTCAGAGCTCAATGCAATAGAACGGATGTCGGTTCGGTGGCCTGGTATTTCCACGGCAAGGTTTCGGGAGTATTCGTTATCCTCATCATCCTTGGCCTTTTTGTTTGAAGTCACAACGGTGTACGCTTCAAGCTGGTTGTTTGTTGTGGCCACAAGGAGCTGAAGGTTGTGGCTCGACTTGGTGGCAATCCAATCGAATGAACGAGCCTTACCACCGGTGCGAACAATAACATGAGGTACGAAGACCTCGGATACTGGGGCAGAGGCAGGGTCTTCCGATTTCTGATTGTCATTTTCCGCCGCAGCCTCCTCACCATCAGCAGCAGCACGTTGCGCCTCCTTCTGATTGCGCCTTTTGCGCTTTCTTGCCAAAGCCTTTTGAACTTCGGTCTGCGAACGAATGCGCCAGATTTCCACCGCTTTCTCCGAGCCATGAATACCGATGTAGTCTGACCGCGGATGGAAACAAATGCCGGTCGTCCGGTCCTTGCCGTTCCTGTACAGAGTCCCACGATCTGTCAGGATTTTGCGGCTTTCCGACCCGGTCCGTTCCTTGGCAACCTCTATCATGGCACTTTCGTCGATCGACCACACCTTGAGCTCGCCATCGTTACCTCCAGTAATGCAACCGCTTTGGTCAGGCGAGAGACCCAAACTCCAGCATTCGCCATTGGATTGCGCAACATGAGTCTCGATGCAGTGTTGCGTAGCAAGATCCCAGACCTTGATCAAGGAATCTTTGCTGGTCGTCAAGAGGAAACCTGCGTGCTCGGTTTGCCCAGCGGCCTGGAGCAGTTCCGCGGGGGGGAAGAGGAAGTGAAGCGAGGTGATTTGATCCGTATGCCCACGAAGCTTGAACAGTCCGACTTCCGATATCAAATCCCACACGATGATATCAGTATCCTTGGAACCGCTGGCAAGGCGCACACCAGCATTATCGAAGGCGAGTCGAGTGATCGCAGATTTGTGACCATTAAAGGAGATAATGACGGTTGAAGTTCGCGAGTCCCAAATTCTGATAGTGCCATCCTCGTAGCTATATGAAGGATCATATGAATCAATTGACTGGCCCACCAATTTTCTTTTTCTTTTTCTTTTTTTTTTTTTTGGCGCTCAACTTACCCGACAGCGAAAATATCCTCATCCGTTTTACTTTGGATGATGGCCGTGACCTGCGCCTTGCACGAACTGTCGCGCCATCTCCCGATTAATTCGCCCTTCTTCACATCCCAGCAAAGTACCTCTTCGCTCGCACCTACGACGGCTCGCCCTACGCCTGTACGGCGCGCAGTACCTGGGACATCGGCGTCTCTCGTCCAGATCGCATTCGACGACGCGGTGGCGACGAGGCCGAAGGTGTTCGAATGCTCGAATTTCCTGATAGAACTAATCAGCTGCAATGTACCACAGAACTCAAACCGCAGAGGTTCCTCACAAATAGGATTTGACCATCGTTGAACGCTCGATGAGACAAAAAAAAATTTGGAGCTTGCGGTGCGTATCGATAAGTCGGCGATTTGTCTACAGGCGGCCACAGCGACCGGTCAGGCAACTATTCACCGCCTTCACAAGATGACGCTCGCAGGCTCCGGTCCAACAACCCCAAACTCGTCTGCCAGGCACTCTTTCGAATCCCCGCGGCCACGAAGCCTTTAGTCAGTGTTGACTCTGTGTGATCGGATTATCTGAGCTAATTAGATTGAGGCCATCGCCATGCTTCTCCTAGACTACCAGAACGTGCTCATCCAGGCGCTCCTCACGGAGCGGTTCGCTGGGTACAACCCCACCCCCGAACATACACATGGCATACCCGGCACCCGCTAACTGTTGCCATTACTATAGGGGCAACCCCGTGTCAATCGACCAGGTTGTTTCGGACTTTGATGGCGTGACCTTCCATCTGTCTACTCCCGAGTCGAAAACGAAGATTCTCATCTCGATCAACCTGAAATGCTTCAAGGAGCTGGTGCAGTATGGGGCACAACAGGTGCTGGAGCGGGAGTACGGCCCGTACATCGTCTCTCCCGAGCCTGGATACGACTTCTCGGTGCAGATCGATCTGGAGAATCTCCCGGCGGAGCAGGAGGCCAAGGACGAGCTGATCATGCGCCTCGCCTTGTTGAAGCGGAACGTGATGGCTGCCCCGTTTGAGCGGGCGTTCGATGAATTCGCACAGCTTTCAGAGGAGGCTTCAAGGTACACCACGGAATCTGCGCCCCAGGGTGTGAAGGAAGGAGGGGAGGTCATGGCTATCCACTATCGTGAGGAAGAGGCAATCTACATCAAAGCCAGTCACGACCGAGTCACGGTGATCTTCAGCACTGTATTCCGCGAGGAGACGGACCGTATCTTTGGCAAGGTTTTCTTGCAGGTTTGTGATCACGTACCTGTTCTATCTTGCAATCAAATTCTCACTCGGACACAGGAATTCGTCGACGCCCGGAGACGTGTGTTAACCCTGCAGAACGCTCCCCAAGTGCTCTTCCGAAACGATCCCCCGCTTGAGTTGGCTGGCGTCCCTGGTCTCAAGGACTCGGGCGAAGGTGAAATCAGCTACGTGACTTTTGGTAAGCCGGAAATGTCGTGGTCTTTTTTTTTTCCCTCTCCGGTATTGACAATTCTCAGTTCTTTTCCCTCGTCACCTTACCCCTCAGCGTCGTTATGAAAATATCTCCCACATCCAGACCTTCCGTGATTACTTCCACTATCATATCAAGGCCTCGAAGGTAAGGTCCGCTTTCTCTCCAGATAGAACTTCGTAATGACATCTTTTCAGGCATACATCCATACCAGAATGCGCAAGAGGACAGCAGATTTCCTCCAGGGTCAGTGTTCATTTTCACCATGTATGTTGACAACATTTCTGACGTTGTACAGTCCTCAATCGTGCGCGACCAGAAAACGAGGAGCGGGAAAGGAAGACGGCCAGTGGACGTACCTTCCGGGTTCAGGGCTAGATCTTGCTTCTATCATTCTCATTCGTGTCCATACCATTACTTCACACAAGTCAGTCTCTATACTCGGATGCGGAGGACTTACGGTCAGCCCGCTACCTGTAGATTTACTCAATCCTATGTTCCTATTTTCTGTTGATATGTACTATCCTAGTCCGTTCTCAATATGTAGATAGGAGAGTAGAGCGACTCATCTGTTGAGTACAAAGTGCCAGTTGTGTCTTCTTCCTTACTAAAGGCTTGTGCAGGTAGTCTTTTCTCGCCTGACAGAGGGTCTGTATCCATAGCCGGCCTGTTTCAGTAACCATACAAGTCTCCAGAGCGAAAAGAGAGCACTAGAATGACGATAAACCGTTCACCGAGTGCCAGCATAGCTTAATTCAACCTCTCTGATGCTCTGTATCTGTAGGTCTATCATTGAATTTGTTGTCTGACAGTCTGAGCTGAGACGTTGATGACGATCAATAATCTAGGATGCCGATTTGAGGGAATATCTCAGTCCTTCACATGGCGAGTAGCTTCTCTATTCGGCAAGTGTTTTGTTCTTCCCTTTGCCAAACCAAGTCCTGTCTGTCTATTGGGCAATTGAATCAGCTAGGGCTGTTTGTGTAACATTTCCTTGCGGTTCGCTGAGCGACGCAACGATGAAAGAGAGCCACCGGTGGTTTCCGCGCGACTATCTCATGCACCGCGAGAAGCGAGAAAGAAGCCAGTCCATGAGATACCGTAGCAAATGGGCAAAAGACATCTTTCGCGACCGCTGAAAAACTCGAGGAATGGTCAGGTATGCCGTACAAAAGCCACGGCACGAATCGAAACTGTCCAGATGGCGTCACATCCAGAGCAGACGGTGAATAGGAAGCACATCCTGGACACAAATCCTTCAGAGCATCAGTTAGTTAGTCCTGGGCGACTAGCAACGCACAATTAAGCGCCTAGACGACAGCTGCAGTCTTTGAAGGCAGACTGGGCCGCAAAAGCAAAAAAAAACTGATAGATCAGTACAAAGCACAAAGTACCTACTCCGTACGGGAGTAGGTGCTCCCTCAAAGAGTACTAACGTACCGAGTACGGAGATCTTTCCTCGACAAGGATCGTCACCCCTGTAATCGCCAGGCATGAGTGCCTCAAGCATTTCGTTTTTCTTTTCTTTTTCTCTCCCCCTGGACTGTTTCGATCGCTTTACCGCCTCCGCTGTACACGACTTTCTCCCTCTCGCTGCTGGTCGAAATCACGGCGGTTTGACCGCTCATCCTCGATGCACTGGGCAGTCGGGAGCACCAGCCCTGTCTGCATTGACGTTACGATGCGTCAAACTTCATATCGCGGCCGTGTGAGACGTCAAGTGGCTGCTGATCCGCCAGACGATCCCGATAACCCGGGTCGCCAGGCTGCATGACTGGGGTTTTGAGCAACCTGGGTGAAACACCACCGCAGCCGTATGTACTTTGTAACTTTCACCCCCAGCCCCATGCAGATGCTTTTATTTCAATCTTTTTTCTTTATCTACTCCGTATTATCACTTTTTTTGTCGACTTGGCCCGAAGTGGAATCTGACGTATCTCATCACTGGACTCAATAGACAGGGATATTCGCCCCCGAGTGATCGCTCCGAGCTCGTCATCTGCTCTTGTCCCATGCCTCGTATCACGCACGGATCTATTCCAGTACCCAGGTCAGGCCTCAACGCCACTGGACTGAGAAGCAAACAAAGGTGTCGCTTCTATGATGTTTCCAGAACCAGAGCATTCCGGTTCTGCCCATAGGGGGGGGGGGGGTCGGTCGGACAGCCACTATCACAAAAAACTTCCCACACTGGTTTCGCGTGCCCGATATCCGAAAATAACCAATGCTATGGATGCTGCGTGTCTGCAGCATGACTGCCGCCACTCGGTTTGGAGTCTGACGTCGTGTCCTCCTGCCTCCGTTTTGGGAGACCATCGCAATTGCGACGTATGAAGCATGGGAGTACTCCGTGCTCCGTACAGATCTTTCGGTGAGATGGCTTGTCCACTCGCTCGCGCGTTTGTGGGCGATAGATATAAGTAGCCAAAATCGACGTGTTAGATTCAGGGGGTTAAGATCCTCGGGTTTGACTAGCCAAGCAAAATCCTACTATTAACCATCCCAAGGACTCTTCTTCGTCGAGTCTACAATATAGATTGATAGCATCGTGGGGAAGATTGGCACATTCCCAAATGCCGTCTTGTCATCTCTTCGATTTCCTCCTTGCATGAACAAATCGGCAACAATCTTCCAATTGGAGAACCCTACGGGCATTCGTACTCCGTTTGTTGAATACTTGCATTCTTGTGTAAGATTCAGAATTGGTTTTCAAGGAAGTAGGCTAACCTAATTCCAATTATACAGTTGTTGTGGATGATTCTTCCGTTTATATAGGATTTGACATACCCAGCATTTTTGTGGTAAGTGATGGGAGTAATTTTGTCGGCTCTGGGATGTCTGTTAATATGATGATAGCCATGATAGAAGTCAAACTCTAGCTCTTTATTTATTCATCTCATCTCCAGATTCCTGTCTTCTAAAAACAAGAAAGGTACTGTACCTGGACCTATATAGCTCTCTTCATCTTCGTCGGCTAATTTCAGATTGCAGGATAATAAAGTGACGATTCAATTCCAGATGCAGATGCAAGTTTCAATTGAAATAGTCCTCAAGAGCTGACATTTAGTCAGCCAACGCGTGGTTAGTAGTTCTTTTTTTCCCCTGTGACTTATTGACCATCTGTTTTTGACCCTTGTTTAGTGTTGGTTGACAACTAATCTTGTGTCTGAGAACCTTGCAGGCGATGTTGTTCTGACGCTTGGAGAACACGACTATAAGATGCTATTTCAGCAACTATCCCAGAAGATTCAGAGAACTCGACATTCTGTCATTGGCGTGAAAACGAAACTCGAATAACGAGCAGCAACAAAAAGTGACGAAGTAACGGCAGATCTTTCGAAGGCACCGTAGACTATACTCGACTTATTGGTAAACCACAGTGGAGCAAGATATATTCGGCATGGCGAAGCCCAACACTGTCGAAAAGGACAGAATCAGTACTTTGCCACTGGAGATAGTGCTGATGATCCTGTCTTATTTGCCTCTTCAATCTCTCCTTCACTTTGGAGAAACATCGCGCACCAACCACCTCTACCATATTTTGTCTCTCAAGCGACTCCGATTAGCGGTCTTCCAAAGGCGAATCCACTCTCTCATCTCCTTTGTCCAAGCCGGCTGGCCTACAACAGGTCACTATGATAAGGGCAAAGAAATAATATATGCCGATGAAGCTGTTGGATATACTATCTCCGTCCTGCAACCACAAGCTTTGCGCACACGAAAGCGCAAGATGTATATATCTGACCTCGAAGATGCATCTTGGGAGATAGATTCTTTTCGCAAAGATGAAACCGGCCTTCCCACGACGTTTGAACAGATGGTCTGCATGCAAAACGACATACTCTCGAGTCTGCTAGGTCGATATGGAAAATCGCTTGTACAGCTCGAATTCATGGCGTACGACATGGACATGGAGGGCGCCCTTGCCCTCGCTACCAACTGTCGGAGCAAATTGCGACACCTTGCCCTCCGGTTCGAACACCCCCACGTTCGGGACGGGTCGATGAGGCCTCGCGCGTGGCTTCAGCCCGCGCCCAGCAGTACGTGCTGGAATGCTCTCATTGGCATTGGCCCGTACAAGCAAATTGGGCTGACTGGTCTTCAAACCCTGATACTCGAACGAGCCGGCATCACACCGTGGCAGCTCATGGTGCTTGTGAGAAACAACCCGAACCTCACAACCCTGAAGCTGCGGACCTGCACTGGGGTGCATCCTGATTTTTTGAGCTGGCTGGGGGGCATGAGCAATGCGCTCGATATGGACGCCGCCGGGGATACCAATTGTGTCGCCCCAGGTGCCAAACTGCAGGTTCTGTGGCTTGAAAACTGCCCGAACGTCAGCGACGAGCCTGCCGATGCTCTCGAGGAGCTACAGGAGAAGGAAGACCCTGATGCCGGCCTTCGGTGGGTGAAGAAACTCAAGTGTCTCAAGGTAAGTAGCTACGGCATGAACCCTTGTTTTTAAAAGGAGAATTTGCAAATACTTACCAATAACGTCCATCATTCAGTCTCTCTCTTTTAGAGAGTGCATGTCTCTCCCACCCACGCATGTCGATCAAGCAAACAAATTGATTTGGAACATCCCCGAGGTGATACTGCCATATACTATCACTAGCGGAGACCAAGTTGAGGTCGACCCCGAGCTGGCCTGAATACGGGGGGGGAAGAAAGCATGCCATTGGAGATGTTCGAGGATACCTAGGTTGTGTTTTCCCCTATATTTTCTTGTCTCTCATTGTTTCTTCTTTCCTTTCTTCTTTTCTTTTTCTTTCTGTGATGAGCTCAATGATGATGTCCTGGTCCTTTACTTTACAGCCTTTTACAAATTTCATCTTCTTAGTAAGTGTAAGCTAGATCGTTTATAATACCACTATTAGCTACTATGATGAACAGAACCTATATAAACTCTCTTTACTTATAGAGAGAATCTTTGGGCATAGAATTTTCTGTAGAGCAAAGTGAATCTCTTAGTGAGAGAAGGGGGGGGGGTCTTATTCACCAGTGTACACAACATAATCATCACCACTAACTTTTTAATCGACACTTTCTCCTCCCCAACTTCTTTTTTATTCTGGTTTGCTAGTTAGAGTCTAAAGGCGTCACCATGCCCCTCCATGCACTTCTCCAGTCTCTCATTCCTCTCAAGATCCCTCACCCCCGTCTTTGGAAATCCAGGAAGAAAAAGCGCAAGGAGCTCGAAGCTGAAGGTGATCCAGAAGAGGCTCTTGAAGAGTGCTCTGAAGGTCTCTACGAAGGAGTTCCTGAAGAGTGTTCTAACGAGGCGTATTCTGGCGAGTTCCCTGACGAGTTCCCTGAAGAAGAGTTCCCTGAAGAAGAGTTCCCTGAAGAAGAGTTCCCTGAAGAAGAGTTCCCTGAAGAAGTTCCTGAAGAAGACCCCGAAGACTCTGAAGGAGAGTTCCCTCAAGAAGACGAAGGCTTTGAAAATAGTTCTGAAGGATACCCCCACGCGTCTTCCGAAGTGTCCCAAAACGAGCCTGTCCCATTTTCACCTTCTTCTTCCTCTTTGAACCAGTCTGAACAGTTCGACATGCCTGGCTCTGAGGCTTCTCAGGTAAGTGTTTCCTTGACCTAGCGCTCACTTTCTCCCACATGGACATACGAAAAGCATTTGCTCACCAAAACCTCACAGGACGAGCAGGGCAGCCAGGCGGGTTTTATCCCCTTTAGAGTCGGCCTGCGTGACTGGCTCGGTACCGAAAGATTGGCAGACAAAAACATTGGCGATATCCTGGATGAAATGGGTGAGGAAAAGCTCACGGGAATGTTTACTTCGGCGCTGGAAGTGTTCTCCAAGGTCTACGCCGTGGGCAAGATTATCTTAATCATATTCCAGAATTATGGGATCAAGGTTAGCCCTGGCCTGTCTGCGAGTATCCTAGAGAAGGTGCTTTTACTGAAAAATCTTGGAATAGTTTGACGACGAGTCACTCTGGGACTTGCCCTTTCATCTCCGCAGCACCGAAAATGTTGTGACCTCTGACCTTCTGAATGAACTGTCTGAAGTGATTGAACCCTTGTTTTACTGCGTCTATGCCCGGATCGTCCAGGAGGTTGCCAAAGCTGAACTCTGCTCGTTCTTTCCCTGGAAACCCACGCGTACCCCCAACAACCGCACCTTTGTCCTACCCGAGCCAGCTCATCTGTACAGGGTCTTACTGTCACTCAAGGAAATACTGGATTCCGACGACGTGAGCCATATCATTGACATCCAGCAGCTCGGTGAGTACCAGGAAGCCCTCATCGGTTTTGGGGAAGCGGAACTGGAAGAGTTCGGCTATGCCTCCGACGATCTGCTTGGCTTCCGTTCCTTTATCCAACTCAAGCTGCACGATGAGAAAGACGAGTGGGTTGTCAAATGGAAGGGTCTGGTACCGATTTATAAACTGCCCTCCCCAGAGGCTCTAGTGACTGGGTCTGAGCGGTTTCTTTGCCAAACCCCTCGTAATATCAACAAGACTGACATCTCGGACCGCAGTCTTCCATGGGTAAACCTGAAAACCATGCCCAAAGCCACCTACGAGAACGAGAACAAGCTGGATCACCGCCTGGCAACTCTGGCCAAGCTCGAGGGCAAGGTCGTTGGAGCGCTGCGTCGCGAAGAGGGCCGTCGCAAGGTGATGGATTTCGCGAGAGAACGCAAGTGTACCTGTACCGCAGTCTGCAAGTGTGCCCGTCACTGTACTAATGACGTTGAGCTGCCCTGCCCCTGTGCGGAGCGCAGCATGCGTATCGCATTCACCAGGCGCAGCCGCGAACGAGGCCGCCAGGATTTCACGGAGCGCTGCGACAACATGTGCAAGCTCATCTTCGAGGGGTTCGCTTACCTCAGGCGCAACCTGGCTGACAAGGAGCTGGATCTCCAAGTCGCCCAGGCCCTCACCATGATCAATGTCGAGATTATGAAGGAGCGGCGAGTTATTCTTCCTCTCTAGGCATTGGCCCGGCAGGCTACCTCCAGGCGGACTGGTTTGTATTTTTGACTTTGGATTCCTTTGAATTCGGCGCATTGAAGACGTCTGTCGAAGAACTACCCGCCCTCCTTTTGTCCCTTTAATGATAGCCGGTTTGTCGTTTTGACATTTCTTTCTCAGTCTTGAATCTAGTACTTTCACTATGATAATGAAGACCTACTGGCTAGGGAGACATGTTCATAGCTAGGAAATAATTGACTGGACCTGCAAAGACCACACAGTACCGAGATAAACCATTGTAGAAGATAAGCCAACAGCTTAGAAGCACAGTGACCACCATGGCGCCAGCATGCAATCTGTTCTAATGAAGACCTCCACCTCCTCTGTCCGACGGATCGTTGAGGCACACAGTTAAATTCTCCAACTCCTGCAGAAGCAAGTTCCGATCGTCACATTTCTGAGCCGTGTCGAAATCGATCAACGTAGCCTTCGAATCGCATACAAGGAAATTGAATCGATTCGTATCCCCGTGTCGTACTCCTACATCATGTAGTCGAGTCAATACCTCCCTGCAGGCTTCGAGATCTTCAGGGCTAGCATGCTGTGTATCGGTTATGCGTTCCATCAAGAACCCAATCACTCGACCGTTTTCAGTCAAGTGACCAAGGAATCGAGGCCCGATTGTATGGCCGGATATCCATTGATATGCTGTGGTCTCATTCTCCATGTATTGGATCTCCCAGGGAAAGCGAGCGAATTTGGCGATGACAATCTCATTGAATAACGAACATCTGGCTTCATAAATGCCCGTTCGTAACTTCCGTCCGATCGAAAGCTCCAAGTAGTCGACATAGGTTTCATGCCAGGTGTTCTGAACGCCAGGCAATTCGGTCAGGTTGGAGCTCGCAAAATAGGGCCGACCGTCCTTTCCATCCTTGGCCACGAGACCATCGTTCCAGTTTCCTGGGGGGAATTCTGGCAAGAGGGAGACGAGGGAAGGACCGAATAAACATATCTTCAGCGATGTAGATGCCTGGTTCCACGGTGATATATTTAACAGAAACACCATCAACCAGAAGACGGAAAAAGCTTTCGTCGTTTTCGTCCACCTCGGCTTGGAGTAATTCGACTTTTGGCTGGTTATCCATTTTGATGACAGAAGTTGGTATCCAGCGGAAAACTCCACGAGCACGGTAGAAGCCTTAGGACCACATTCAAACCCTTTGTGCTATTTATGTGTTAAATGTTAAGCGAGAAACCAAGTAAGCAAGATGATCTAGTGAACTCGCAACATTGAAGTATCTACAAAACTCATGTCTGAAACAAAGAGATGGTTATCCCGGACTTTCGTGGACTTTAATCGCATCGAGAGCCGACTGAGGCAAGATCTCGTTTAAATAAGTAAGGAGAGAAACAAAAATCAAGTGAGAGATGTCCATAAGTGCAGAAGCGAGGGAGGTTGTGTGGTTGGCAAGTTCTGCTCAGGTTTGAAGTTGCTTGAAGTTGAACGACGTCAATAGCAATAATATCTGCAGCCTGAGGCAGAAACTACCACATTTTTGTTGACTACCCCAGAGTTTTAATAGCGTAGATCAGGACGATCACTACCTAGTAGTTAGTTCTAATAGTTATTGGTAACTATTGCTACCTTTTAATGGAGCAGCACTCCATAGTCTAGTAGATCCTAGTCCATGTTCTATATCTAGGACAGTGGCTTTTTTCAAGTTCAATAGTGAGGTTATCCTATAAACTAGTACTCCGTAGTCAGAACTACAGTAAATAGTAGCAAGTGGAGGAAATAGATTCAACATTATTACCTAGGTATGTAGTATTACGAAAGAAGGGCGACGATCCAAACAAAAAAGCCATGCCCAGCTAACTCTTACGAGCAGCCGGTCAGACCTGTTGGGATTTCTCGCCGCTGAGTGGCCTGGCCCGTATTCTCATTGAGTCACGGACGGTCGCTCTGGCTCTTCTTCCTCTCCTTCCGGCTCCTCCGGGTGATGAAATCGCCAAAAAGGCCTCTGTTCCCCCATATTCCTAGAGCGCCTGCGAGCGAGGTGTTCTCTTTAGTATCTACTGTTGGAATGGGTGCGGTTTTCAAGGGTTCTTCTGCACGCAGCCCACTGTGGATCACACCCTGGAGACGGCGCCTGGTGCGACGGCATTATTCTCACGCGGTGCTGCCCTCGTATGGCATCACGACTCCCACGCCGGAGCCTCAGCAACGGCCTCAGACGCCATCTCCCGTCTTCCGATCCCCCTACCGCTTCGAAACGGGGTACGCTTGCTGCGCCAAACGGCCGTCTCGACCCTTCCCCCCACCGTTCCTGTCTCCGCCGTCCTCCTCGTTTTCGGACCCTTTGACCACCCACGGCCAGAGCCTGGATAAGAGATTATCCGTCAAGGGGGAGCTGATCCGCGGCTTGAACAACGGCGACGATGCGGTGCTAGTTGCAGAGAACTTTATCGGCGTGAATGATGGGGTAGGCGCCTGGGCGACCAAGTCCCAGGGCCATGCTGCGTGAGTCTGGCCATTTCTTTTGTGTGTGGTGTGGGAAAAGAGAAGAAGAAAAAAAGAAATAGCTACTGACACTCGGACGTACGGAAGGCTTTGGTCGCGGTTACTACTCCATTTCTGGGCCCTCGAGGTCGAGCGGCAGGTTGACAACGTGTCTGACCCAGATCCGGTCGAGTTCCTTCAGCGTGCCTACGAGGAAACTGTGCGGGCGACAAGAACACCCAACGAATGGCTGGGCACTTCGACTTCGGTCACCGCGCTCCTTCATTGGTCTGCCGATGATGGATGTTCGAAGCCGTTGCTCTACGTCACAAACCTAGGGGACTGCAAGATTCTGGTCATCCGACCGAGAGAGAGAGAGGTCTTGTTTCGGACCCAGGAACAATGGCATTGGTTTGATTGCCCAGTGCAGTTGGGAACAAACAGTGTCGATACGCCGCGCAAGGATGCAGTCATGTCCAAGGTCGAGCTTGAGGAGGACGACATCGTCCTGGCTCTTTCCGACGGCGTGGTCGACAACCTGTGGGAACATGAGGTGGTGACCATAGCTCTGGATAGCTTCAACAAATGGGAAGCAGACAAAGAATGCCTCCCCCACTCCTATGGCCATAAGACCGACCAACGGATGGTCTTTGTCGCTCGTGAGCTACTGAAGGCGGCCCTTGACATTGCGCAGGACCCTCACGCGGAGAGTCCGTATATGGAAAAAGCAATCGATGAGGGTCTGGCCATTGAAGGAGGTATATCTTCTCTTTTTCCTTCTTCTTTCTTTTCATTCGAATGTGCTAATATGTTGGGCTATAGGCAAACTGGACGATATCTCCGTTGTTGCCGCCTCATGCAGAAAGAGGGTTACCTGATCCATCTGCTGCCCAAACATCGATAGAATTTCTTTTCTCGGCATCGTTTCGTCTTCAGAGCAGGCGCTAGATTCGATTTATACCCATGTCCAGCCTTTTCGGCTTTTCCCCATAAAATGATACCAACCTAATATGCTCCTGGCATCCTCACCAGAATCAGGTCGCGCCCAATAAAGGTCGTCCACGACAACCATCAATCCAGGGAACGCACAACCTTGTGATACTTTGGGGATTTTACGATTTGAAAGACTCATCGCTCATCTAATCTATCTCACTAGGGATAGTCCCTCGGCTAGAGGCTCTGGCTTATATCACCTTGCTCAATTGCTCATGATGGCCTGGCTTACAGGTAATTAATTAGACTAATAGGTGCATCTTGCAACTTCTTAGAGACATTATTATCTTAATGACATTATTACCAATTCTTATGGATTTAGAGTAATTCGCAGACAAGTAGTGGATTTCTACAGTATTTCTCTACTATAGAGTCACAGACTACCTATAGTAGGTACTACCAGTTATACAGAGACAGGTACTAGTACACTTAAGTATGTATTCTTCCATAGAGATACCTATGGCTGTCCCTATCTGGTTAGCTCAGTATGCACAGGCCACACCTAATCCAGTTGTGTTTCCGCCCGGCAAAAAAAGTTTCTGAGGCGGTCCACGCTATCTACGGAACTGGCGAAGAACACTCTCGAGGCCAAGATAGCAATTGTCAGCCGTTCACAATGAGGGCCAAGCGGTCAAAGAAGTATCGTAAGCTCATGCATCAGTATGAGCTTACCTTTGGCTTTCGCGAGCCGTATCAAGTCCTAGGTACGATCTACCGCAGATGCAATGATAGGCCGAAACCTACTGATACAAGAAACACAGTCGACTCGAATTTTCTACGGGCGGTCCATGGATTCAAGATGGAGTTGATTCCGGCGCTGGAGCGGACGCTTCAGGGGAAAGCCAAGCCACGTAAGTACTGTGTATTCACAAGAAGAAGAAGAAGAAGGTACATGACTGATCTCTGTTAGTCCTGACGAAATGTTCGCTGGCCGCGATCATGGCCGCACAACCGATCAACCCGAAGACCAACAACCCGTACCGGCCGCACCATCTGCCGCCGCCTACCGAGCTACCGCTCCGCCACTGCTCGCACAACGAAGACTCGACGCCGATCGACGAGGTGGAGTGCCTGCTCTCCCTGCTTTCTCCGACAGGATTAGGCGCCGGCAAGAAGAATAAAGAGCACTATATCCTCGCGACAGCGGACCCGACGACGGACAAGGCCGCCGCGGCGGCGTCGTCTAGCGGTGGGGATGCAAAGAAGCGGAAACGCGGGGACGCAGACGGCATCGCGCAGCTCCGCCAGGCGCAGGCTCTCCGACGGGCTGCACGGTCAATCCCCGGCGTGCCGATCGTGTATGTCAAACGGTCAGTCATGGTTCTCGAGCCGATGAGTTCGCCGTCGGATACCGTGCGAGAGGACACGGAGCGGGGCAAGTTCCGGGCCGGGCTGGACGGGGATTCTTCCTCGCTGGGGAAACGGAAGCGAGCCGAGGAAGGGGACGACAAGAATAAAAAGAATAAGAAGCAGGGACCCAAAAAAGCCAAGGCGCCGAACCCGTTGAGCATGAAAAAACCGAAGAAGAGGGCGGAAGCAGCAGGTTCAAGGCCGACCTCCACCACGGCAGAGACGGACAGTCATAACGAGCCCCGCGAGCGGACAACAGAGGAGGGCGAGAATGCTGCGCCAAAGGCCAAGAGGCGGAGGCGGCATCACAAGGGAGGCAAGGGAGATGAAGCCGGAGAGGAAGCTTCAGGTCCAGCCGTCGAGGCTGACGATTAGACATGTTCCGACTTATTTCATGGGTGGCGTTAGGCTTATTTTTTAAGTGAATTAACATAACTAGTATATAAAGATATATATTTTTTTTAAAAAGTAGAGAGTAGTGTACAGGATATCTCAAATGATATTACAAAACGCCAGCTCCTGTCGTATATACCCAACATAGGCCCCATTCATCCGTCTCCAACTATAAGATGAAGACTGAAGGGCTCAGGAGCTCTTGTCCCCCGATTCAATTGCCCTCTCGTCCGCCCAGATCTGCTCGATCCGCTTGCGGTTCCCGCGCGCCTCGTCCCGGTTCTTCTTGGCCCGCTGGAACCGCTCCGCTGCCAGACAGCGGTTCACCTCGCGCTTGATCTCGTTGCAGTTTCCCAGCGCTTTCCACAGGAAGCCACGGGCGTGGCATTCGTCTAGGGCGGTCATGATTTCTTCGCAGTCTATGCATGTCAGTTATCCTTCTTGACGTGAGGTAGGTCAAGTGGGGGGGCAAGTGTTGGGTCGTACTGGCATTGTATGGTGTGTGGAGATGAGAATGCATTTTGGAAGACTCAAGAAGAGCAAGAAGAAGGAGGAATGGAAGCACAAACAAGAGAAGGAGACCGGAATGTTGAAGAACAGAATGTTGGTATCTCTTCTTGTCTGTCGTTGATCAGACGATAAAATGAGACGGGCGGTGAAGCTGTCGGGCTGATTCTGCCGGGCGGAGATGGAGGGAAGAAAAAATAATTTTGATCGTCTTTATCAAATGAGGGGACATTAATTATCACTATTAGTGAGGTCTTGCTTAGGACTTCTACAGACTCACTTGTGAGTCAGTTGAGGTTGCGTTTATTATAGACTATTTATTTATTCTTGATTATCTATTTTTTTATTTTTGTTCTTTACGATGTCGATGATCACGACGACGGCCTGGGTGCGGCGTGGTGTCGCCGCCCAGTTCCCGACGAAATATGAGATCGATGAAGAGGAAATGGGTCGCATATCTAAACTGGCGAGGATGCAGTTGGAGGAGGCCAAGAGTGATTTGAAGGCCGCGACTGAAGGGGCTGCAGACGGCGACGAGGCAATGGAAGAAGATGACAAAGCGGATGCCCAGGATGCGATGGAGGACGATACTAAAGCGGCCGAGTCCGCGAAAGAGACCAAGTTAAAGTGCGTGCGATCTTTTTTTTGGGTGGGGGGACAGTGAGGTCACTAACAATGCAGCAGCGACGATGACGATCTGAAAGAGTACGATCTGGACCACTACGATAGCGACGAGGTCGATGAAGATGGCGAGAAAATCACCATGTTCGGCAACGTGAAGTCCTTAGCTTACCATCAACCGAACGAGGAGGATCCGTACCTGATCATTCCGGAGGAGGAAGCCGACGAGGAGAGAGAAGAGCTGCAGATCATGCCTATGGATAACCTGCTACTTGCCGGGAAGCTAGAGGACGAGGTTGCACACCTCGAGGTCTACGTCTATGAGGATGCCGCCGACAACCTGTACGTCCACCACGACATCATGCTGCCCGCCATTCCCCTCTGTCTGGAGTGGCTGGATATGCCCGTGGGCGGCAAGAACGCCGAGGGCCGGACAACGGGTAATTTTGTGGCGGTGGGCACGATGGAGCCCGACATTGAGATCTGGGACCTGGACGTGGTAGACTGCATGTACCCGAACGCCATCCTGGGCCAGGGGGGCGAAGAGTCCAGCAACAAGAAAAAGAATAAGAAGAAGAAGACCAAGGCCAACGATGCGTACCACGTCGACTCCATCCTGGCGCTGGCGGCCAACCGCCAGCACCGCAATCTGCTTGCCTCGGCGTCGGCGGATAAGACGGTGAAGCTGTGGGACCTCAACACGAGCAAGTGCGCCAAGTCGTACGCGCACCACACGGACAAGGTGTGCGCGCTGGACTGGCACCCGCAGGAGTCGACGGTGTTGCTGAGCGGGAGCTACGACCGGACGGTGGTGGCGGCGGACATGCGGGCCCCGGACGTCAAGGCGCGCTGGGGCGTGGATGCGGACGTGGAGAACGTGCGCTGGGACCCGCACGACGCCAACTACTTCTACGTGACGACGGACAGCGGCATTGTGTACCGGTACGACGCCAGACAGATCCCCGCGAGCCCGCAGGAGTCGAAGCCCGTGTGGACGCTGCAGGCGCACGACTCGTCGGTCTCGTCGTTTGACATCCACGGCACCATCCCGGGCTTCCTGGTGACGGGCTCGACGGACAAGCAGGTCAAGCTGTGGAACGTCGAGAATGGGAAACCCAGCATGGTGGTCTCGCGCAAGCTGGAGGTCGGCAAGGTCTTCTCGACCACCTTTGCGCCCGACGCGGAGGTTGGTTTCCGCCTGGCGGTCGCGGGGAGCAAGGGTGTCGTGCAGATCTGGGACACGTCCACCAACGGGGCGGTGCGCCGCGCCTTTGTCTCGCGCCTACCCTCTCTGGCGGGCGAGGTGGCGGAGCGGATGGTTGGAGTCGATGCCGACGGCAATGAGTCGGACGACGACGAGGAGGGTGCGGCCGATGAGGTCGTGGCTCAGGGCGGCGATGGCTGGGAATCAATGGAGGAGGATGATTGACGGATCCACGGTGTATAGCGAACATGGCAGGGCGATGCAGTCGGAAAAGTAAATAATTTCATAGATCGTCTGTTTAAGAATTCGTCATCCTGCTACAGAGTGCTCCGTACTCCGAACTTGGTCCGGAGTATGACGGAGTATGAACCTCCTAGGTACCTTAGTAGGTACATAGTAATGGAATGACTCGATACTACAGTAACTACCAACAAGTCACTAGCTAACTCATTAACTAATTACTAAGGTAACTACTAGTTACTCCGTACCTTACTTGGATCGTGATAATGATGTGACTCATTCTTGACCGACTATCCTATTACTAGAAATCGGTGCCTGACAGGATGCCATCATTGCCATGTGGATAAGACAGCAAATCGCCAAGTCAGCAGTACTAACTCCATACTCCATACTCCATCTAATTAACTGTCTGTTAATTAATAGACGACAGCGTGTGACGTACGGAATACTACCTGGTTATCAAGTAGTTCCTACCTAGTTCCTAGTTCCTAGTCCTAGTAGTTCCTTAGGTAGTTCCTATTCGAACTGCAGCTGGAGTGTGATGAACTGCGTCAAATCTAATGCATAACAAGACTATTATATCCCAATAATATGCCTGTTCAGATTCGAATTCGTACTCGTAAGAATAATAATTACCTCTCTGTATTGTGTTTCGGAAAGAGGGTGAGGCGGACGTACCTGGCGCTAAAACCACGCCGTTGTCCCAGACGGAAGAGGGCAGATAGACTTATTGGCTGTGAGGCTGTCGGTGGACGGTGGAATTTTAATTACCGTATTTCGTACCAGGTAGCTAAAAATTGAGCCTGCTGTAGGATGAACAGGTAATACTACTACTAGGTACCTAAGGTATGGGTATGGACGGGAGGGTATGGAGTAAATACTGTAGCCGTCGGAGGCCGTTATCTATCACTAGTACTATCTAGTAGTTATGTAGTACTCACATAGGGAACTACTCAGAGAACTATTCTCATTTTTACTGTAGAATTTGATAAAGTTTATGAACCAGTTCTAGCCAGACAACTTAGGTTAAGATCAAAAATCTCTGTAAAGGCTGGCTCCATCCGACCCAGCGGGAAAATCGCCCCTCACCGGTCCCTGGAGCCACCGCAGAGACATGGACAGTGGACAGTGGAAAGACCGGCGAGGCCCTTGTGAGGCCCTTGTTAAGGCCCTTGTGAGGTGCCACCGCCCACTGCCTGTCCACTGCCTGTCCACTGCCTGTCCACTGCCTGTCCACTGCCTGTCCACTGCCTGTCCACTGCCTGTCCACGGCCAGTGCCTGCCCACTGCCTGCTCCATAAGCGCCCTGTGGCTCACCCAGCCAACTCCCTATCCGTAGAACAATTCCTGGTCGAGCCATTCCATCCGCCCCCCTCTTCTTTCACTCTCCCTTCGCTCGCCTCTTTGCAGCGTCATTTCCATTCATTTCTTTCCCCCCCCCTCGCCATCGGGTGAGCCAGTTCTTGCTACTTCCTTCCTTCCTTTTTTTTCCAACCCGCTTCACTCTCCTCAACAGAGTCTTGATCGGTCTCCAGCGTTCCTGGCTGTTCGCTCCTTTTGAAACAATCCCGGTCGAAACCGCTATCCACTTGAAAACCCACGACCGACTCTTTGTTCGAGAAACAAAAGAAAAATCGAATCGAACCCATTTTGCAGTGCAGAAATTCCTTCGGTTCGAGCATTCCTTCCAATCCATCTTCGACTCACCTGGCAGTGCCACTGGGTGTTTTCTTGTTCGAACGATCGAAAGCGAACATTCCGTCTCGCTCTTCCATTCCTTCTTTGACCCCATCCGCGACCGTCAACCACGCATTCCTCGCTCCGCAAAAAAAGCGACTGGATCTTTTTTTCGCACGCGGAGTTTTTAAAAAAGAAAAAGATATAAAAATAGATTACTTGAACTGAACAAATATATACCAAACGGGCAGATCTCGGTGGAGTCACCGCAACACAACAACAACAACAACAACAACAACCTCAGATCAATACTTTTGCTTCGACTCCCACCATGTCCACTTTAACCCGAGCGTTCACCAAGCGCAGCAAGCGTCCCGAAGTGTCGGCGCCGATGCCATATCGTGAAGGCCAGATTAAGTTTTCCTCCGGCACGATCAAGCGTGGCAAGATCTCCGGTCCGGTTCAACTGCTGTCGACCACCAACATGCTCGTCTACAATGCCCCAGACCTGCAACCCATGTCCGCCTCCTCCTCCTCGTCCCTGCAGTCGTCCCATGACGGATCGGAGGATTCGGCCTCGCCGAGCAGCCTCGTCTCGCCCGCCACCACTCCGGACACATGGTCGAACGAAGCCTCGCCCGTCTCTCCCAACCACCTCTCCGGTTACTTTCCTAAACGCTCGGCGACCATCACCAGCCACCCACGCTCCTCGTCCTCGTCCACCGACTCGGCACCGCTGGTCCCCAAGCGTGCGTTGTCGCACACCAAGCGATCGCACCAGGAGCTGGCGCGCCAGCGCTCCATCTCCCGCACGTCGCCCCCCGCGCTTAACTCGCTCCGCAGCAGCCCGTCGATGCGGATGCCCCCCAATGACGCTGCCTCTGCCGCCGCCATCCAACCCCACCCGTTTGGCAAGGAGCTGGAGCAGGTGAACGAGGTTGCTGAAGAGTTTGGTGGCGGCAGACATGTCCTCGACGAGGAAGAACGCATCCTCCAGCACAAGGGCCTGATGAAATTCACCGCGAACGACTACCTGGTCGAGATCCAAGACCTGTACAGCAGCATCTTCGACGACCAGCTCGGCCCGATATCCACACCGTGGGTTTAGTGCGATGTTTTTCTCTTTGCAAGTGTCTTCTTATTGCTCTCAATCCTTTTGGGGGGGGAACTGGTTTTCCCTCCCCACTGAGCCCCTTTTATTACTATTACGACCGACTACCATTCTCTCTTTACGACCGATATTCCTAATTTCTACTCAGCTATATACCACGGGGTTCTTTTGTCTAATCTACTTGTTTTTTGTCGACTTGTCCTTCGACCTGTTTGACCTGTTCTGTGTCTTGCCTAGTATAGGTATGGGAGGATTCTGATGCGATTACTGCTGGTATTTCTATGGCGTTATGACTGTAGTAACTAAATCTACATACGAGTACAATTTGTCATGGGAATGCTCACAGTACGGAGTAGTCAAGGTAAATCAAGAAGAATAAATAATAGTAAGTAGGTAGTAGGTACTAAACTAAGGTAGGGAGTAGGTAGTACAGGTCTCATGTTTTATTCAGTTACCAATTTTTTTAAGGGAAAAAAAAAAGTCGGCCCGGGCTGGAATTCGAATCCAGGACCTCATCGAGTTCAGATTTTACCCGAACGATGAATCATACCACTAGACCACACGGGCGACGGTGACGCACGGACAGTCGGTTTTACGAGTTGTAAAAGGTGAATATTGTAGACATGTCCAGCAAGTACTCTCCGTATTTGCATATAGATAGACCATAGAGTATAGGTACCTAGAGGTAGTTAGAGAGGACTGACTTGGTATAAATTCTCCTGATTTGTATTGCTTCGGTTTGTTTATTACTAATAGACATCAGTCTACCTAGGTAGTTAGGCTGCTCCATGCCGACTTATACGGAATTCTCTGAGTATTCTATACAGAGTATCATGTACTCTATTTACTGCTAGCTACTAGTCAATAGGTAAGGTACCTAGGTAATAAGCTGTACATGGATGATAGAACTAAATACTGCGTAGTATTAGGTACTAATATAGAAGTCGGTGCATCACGTGCAATTCTGCCTGAGGCATCTCCCCACAACAGCAAAGAGAAAAAAAAAACCCACTTGGGGCATCCGTGCGTTGGTCGCTCAAATTCTTGTTACACCTCCGCTTCTACCTGCGAGGAACCAGCGTCGTGTTTGACCACTCCACGCCATCGAACGGGGAATGAGAGTTTGACGGAGAGGTCTTTCTATCTTGTAGATTTATCCCCCCCCCCAATTTAGCGTCTCTGCAGCTCATGCGTCCGGGCTTCCGGTGCAGACAGATGCAGTTCTGGTCTCGACATCTCGCCTGGTGTCGTGTGTCAAGAGACTTTGCTTTCGATTAAGCGGGGGTGGAAGAGCAAAAGAACAAGCCGGATCATTATTATTGTTATTATTGATATTGTTACTATTTATTGTTGTTGAGATGGTTTCCGTTATCACCTCTTCAGTCTCGCAGTCCAAGATGTTGACGAGCCCGGCGCCGATCCTGAAAACCTCCAAGCTGAAGACGACCGGAGTAAAACGCAAAATGTCGGAGATGGAGGAGCTTTCGCTTTCGCCGCCCTCGTCCGTCGCCTCGGATGCCAGTGACGGGGCCCCCAGCCCGAAGAAGCGGGCCCGCGTGCAGTTCGAACCCAACGTCGAGATGCGCCAGTTACCCTTACCCCGGGATGAGATGGTCAAGAGTGCCGCTGTGGTGCGGGAGGAAGTGCGTCGCGCCATTCAACGACACATCTCGGGCACAGACAGCGAGGCGTACGACCGGGTCAAGGAGATCTTCTCGGCGGATCCCAAGCAGACGAACACCAACAACAGCAACGAAGATCATCATCATTCCTACAATCTACCCTCGCATACAACCTTGAAACACCACCTGATGGGCCTGCTGGCGAATGTGGCCTCGCTGGACCGCAGCTGCAACGGGCTGGTCAACGCCGTGCTGAACAGTGACTGGCTCGGCCGGGACGAGTCGTATATCAAGCTGTACATTCGGTTCCTGGGTAACCTGGCGGCCGCCCAGGGGACGTACCTGGGCTCGGTGCTGAAGATGCTGGTGGGATATTTGGCCGAGGTGCCCCGGGCGACGGGCAAGCTTCCGGGATACCCTCTCGTGCGACTATCGGACATCTACACCCGCACCCACATGGCGCTCCGCTACGTGATCCAGCTGATTCCCGCGGGCAGCGGGGCACTGTCGCCCATCCTATCGATGCAATTCCCCTTTGAAACGGACTCGGCCAAGACGAACATCGCGTACACTCGTAATCTGGTCAAGATCATCACCTATGCGCCGGAACTGCAGGCGGATATCTTGGCGCTCATCACGGAGAAGATCGTCAAGGTGGACGTGCAGATCCAGGTGGACATGGAAGACTTTGAAGAAGAGATCGACGAGGATGTCCTGCACGATGCTGCTGGCGAGGATGAGGACGACGCCGACGCCGACGCCGACGCCGATGACAATGCGTCGGTGATGAGTGACGACTCGGTCGATGACGACACGAAACGCATCCGCACGATCAAAGACAACATTTGCAAGCTGGACGGGATGATCGACGTGCTGTTTGAATACTACTCGCCGCCCTTTACGACGGGCACGCTCGCGGACAAGGAGAACGCGCTCGACCTGCTACTGAGTCACTTCCAGAGCATCATCCTGCCGACGTATCGCTCGCGGCATACGCAGTTCCTGCTGTTCCACTTCTCGCAGACGTCGCCCATCCTGGTGGACCGGTTCGCGACCACGTGCGTCCAGCTGATCTTCAGCAAGCTGCAGCCGGGGATCATCCGGCAATCTGCGGCGGCGTACCTGGCCAGTTTTGTGGCTCGCGGCGCGCACGTCTCGGGCGAAGTGGTCCGGGACGTCTTCGACCTGCTGGGCATGCACCTGACGAACCTGCGGACAGACTACGAGGCTACGTGCCGGGGCCCCGATCTGCGGCGGTACGGCCCATTCTACTCGACGGCGCAGGCGCTGCTGTACATCTTCTGTTTCCGATGGCGAGACCTGACGACGGCGGCGACCGAGGGCGCGACTCTAGACGAGGACGAAGACATGGAACCCGTCACTTTCCCCCCCGCGATCAAGGAGGTGCTCTTCAACGCGATCACGTCGAAACTGAACCCGCTCAAGGTATGCTCGCCGGCCATCGTGGCGGAGTTTGCGCGCATCGCGCACCATCTAGACTTCATCTACGCGTACAGCATCATCGAGACGAACAAGAAGCTGCGCGTCTCGTCCTTTCGCAGCCTCGCCGCGTTTGCAGACCCGCGCTTCAGCCAGGTCGAGCGCGAGACCCGCGCAGGCGACGATCTGGGCTACCAGCTTGACGCCTACTTTCCCTTTGATCCGTACCAGCTGCCACGCAGCCGACGGTGGCTGGAGGGCGACTATGTGGAGTGGCGGGGGATTCCTGGGTTAGACGACGACGACGAGGAGGATGAAGACGATGATGAGGGGGATGAGGGGGATGAAGGGGATGAAGACGAGGATGATCTAGGGGAGTCAGAGTCTGATTTTGACGATTAATACCCAAAAGTATCTAGCGCGGTGTACGGTGTTATTGAAACAATAGGAAGATTAAGAACAATATGAACATGAACAATATGAACATGAACAATAGGAACAATAGGAAGAATCTCAGAACAATACTAGCCACCACATACATACTATACCCAAGGTATATATATACCTTATCTATACCTACTCAATAGTAAAGACGACTGTTAATTCCCTCTATGAATCTAGAAAAATACTACTCCGCCAAAGAAACCCGCTGGGGCAACCGGGTGTTCTTCGGCGGACGCGCCCATCTACCCTACTACGCTTCATCATGTATATGGCCGTTTCCGATCCGGCCAGCTCTGCTCGCCATGGAAGACAAACTATTCACCTCGTTGAAGTTGAGGGAAGAAGAAGAGATAGTCTTGGATGCAGGATGCGGCGACGCGAGTGTAGCGATCTACCTCGCCGGGAAGATGAAGGGGGGAAGACTACATGCCATGGATGTCTTAGAGGGACAAGTTTCTGCTGCGAGAAAACGTGTTACTGAAGAAATGTTGAAGAAGAACGATGAAGAAAGAACGGAGGTGATTGTCCGACAGGGCGATTATCATCAGCTTCCATTCGAGGATTCCTCCCTGACAGCGATATATACGATCGAAACCCTCGTGCATGCGACCGACCTGAAACGCGTCCTGGGCGAATTCTACCGGGTTCTTCGGCCTGGGGGACGGGTTGCCCTCTACGAATACGATCATTGGAGTGGATCACGGGAGGCCGAGGGGATGGACAAAGTGAGGCTTTACGGGGCGATCAGTGGGAACGAAGCGATCAGTGGAAACGACAGGAAGAATGGTGATGGCCAAGGACTGGGTGGGATGCTTGGGAAGGTAGGGTTTGTCGAGATCCAGGAAGAAGACATCACGGCGAATGTGAAGCCGCTGCTTCGCTTCTTCTGCTATTGTCTCTATCTCCCTTATTTACTTGTTGTTGGGCTTGGGCTGGAGCACTTTTTCATCAATACGGTTGCTGTCGTGGTGAATTATCGGAATCCATGGCGCTATGTTGCTGTTACTGCTGTGAAGGGATAGTAGTTATAAGTACATAGAGTACTGGTTATGGTTATCAACCAGTCAAGTGTAGTATATAACAACTAGATATGTACATTTCCAACGCCCGCTAATAAAACAATAGGGAAGGGAGAGAATTATTTCTCAAAAATGACCTTCATGTCGGCACAGGCATCGCGGTACAGAACATTGACGCGGTCCTGGTCGCGGAAGGGATTGGGCGACTTGTCCCAGGCATGGGGCGCCTTCTCGATCATCATGGCGCGGACCTTCTTGCCCAGGCGTTGCAGGCGGCGTACAAACTGCTGGCCCTCGTTGAGCAGCATGTCCCACTCACACACATACAGGAAGACCTCTGGCGGCAGGGAGTCGGCGAGCATGTCGTCCTGGGCGAGGGCAGGCGAGGCGAAGGGCGACGTGCGATCTTGATGGTCTGGTAGATACGAGTCGTCGAAGAGCGTGGTGAGGAAGGCGGGCAGCGTCTTGTCCGGCATGATGCTCATCGCGCGGCGGTGGTCGCGCGACTGCTCAAAGTCCAGGATTGGGTACCAGGAGAAGATGGCGACGATGCGCAGGCTGTCGACGTCGACCGAGGAGGAGGAGGAGGAGTCGACCAGCCGCTGCGACGAGTCTGCCCGGCCGAGCTCAGTCGACGACGACGCAGGCGATGGTGTCGAGATGGTCTTTTCGACATGAGACACACTCGGTCCGAGACTGTGTAGGCGTAGGGGCACCGTGACGGCCAGATTGCCTCCCGCTGAGAACCCGCTGAGGGCAACCCGCGACACATCCAGTCCCAGCTCGGCCGCATGCTCGGCCAGGTATAGCAGGGCATCGACCCCGTCGTCGACGGCCGCAGGGAACGGGTGCTCAGGAGCACGGCGGTAACCCACGCTGACGACCACGGCGGCGGTCTCGTTGAGGATACACATGGCCCAGCGGCTGTCGTCGGTCGGACTGCCCAGCGTGAAGCCCCCGCCATGGAAGTTGACGACCACGGGGAATCGGTGGCCCTCCTGCACGCGCTTCTGGTACTCTGGCGGGCAGTAGAAGTGCAGGACGACCCGGCGGGAGCAGGAGGAGGCAAACGGAATCGTACGGGTAAAGGCCGGGCGAGGCGGGCGAGGGGATGTCAGGTCGTGCAGCAGCATGCCCACACGCATCAGGGCGCGCCAGACAACGGCCTGAACAAGCAGCCAGGTGCGGTACATGTTGAGAGAATCGGAATTATTGACACAGTTGCCTAAGTTTGTTGGAAGTTGGAAGTGCGGTGATCTACTATCAGGCATGAGATGTGACGAAGAGATGAGTAAGCGATCACATGGTCGAAGTTGGCAGGTAATGTAATTACCGTATCATGGTAATTACACTGTATTGGCAGAACAGTAATATCAGAGTGAGGCCACCCTCTTGATTTGGTTATTGATACGAGGCAGAATAGAGGAGTTATTGGTAGATTCTGGTGAAGGTAGTAAATAACTATGTAGTATATTCCGTTGAATAGGTGTACCAATGGCTGGGTACCCAAGTCTGAGAGAAAAATAATGGCTACCAAAGTCTAGGTAATTGGAATGCTTCTAGGTACCTGGCATAGATGTAACTACTTGGATGTACCTGGTACCTAACTTCCTAGTAACTACCTAGGTATCTAGGTGCAAGGTACCTAAGCAACGAGGGCTTCCCTTTTGGGCAGAAGAAACACTCCCGGAACTTCGTACTCGGAACACCCTGAAACACACACATCACACCGTCACGACGACAACACCGCCACTCTCATCTTCCTGGATCTACAACTCGATGAGGCAACTCTCGCACTGACATGGTTTCCAGCAGTGCTGTGGTTCTGGTTCTATGATGCGGATGGCTGGTGTGGTGGTCGTTTTGGCTTGGCCAGATTCACGGTGAAGTCAAGGTCAGGGAATGGGTATCCTGCAAATACTCTGTACCTAGTGGAAGACTAGAAGCTCTAACTTGAATTACCTATAGCAGGATTGTGGCTGAATTTCCCTGCCGTCTCTGTCTAGTTCTCGGGTCGCTCATCGTTCCAACTGACCGACACCAATACCAATCGCCGACCTCTTCGCTCGCTCCTCGTATAGCAATCAGCAATGCCGGCAAATTCCCTGCCGCCACAGACAAGCATTGAGGGCCGTCTGCTTCCCCGCCTTGCTTGGCGAGAGGCACGTCACTCTGCTGTATTGAATGCCAGGCAGGCTACACCGAAACCAAGAGACTCTTCTGCGAGAAGAGAGTTGGGCAAAAGCTGCGGCGCAAATCGTCTGTCGATCAGGCTCAGCATTGCGGGGGTCTCCTTCATACTCGGGAACAAATCCGGGAAGAGGAGTCAGGGAAGCAGGTTTGAAAGATGAAGAAGGGGTTGAGAATGAGTTACCATCTCCCAAGTGCCAATTTTATATTGTCTGAAAGTCAATGCTTACTGGAGTTTATCAACTTTAGGTGCATTTTACGGTCAAACGGACCAGCGAATAACAAAATTACTACAATATAGGGTACCCTGGTCTGTCTAATATAGGTACCGCTACTTCGGTTTATCGCATGGTACACCAGTATTTACACAGAACCACCATCTACCTACTAGGTACCTAGTAATCTACTACGAAGTACATAGGAAGATACAAAGAACCTGCGATCATTCAGCACCTCGGTACTACTGGTATACAGAGTACTAGCTAACACTAGGTGGCTTCAACTGAACCAACAATCCTTCTCGCACTGACTCAGGGCCGAATCCCCGACTCAAAGAACAAAGAACCGATGGTATTGGTAAGTAACCGCCAAGCCGCGCTCTCACGTACTAGTTATTTAGTGAGCTGGGTCCAGCCGCTGACTGAGCATGCAGGGAACTTGATATGCGACACCGAGGGCCGAGGACAATTCTACATAGGTCAATAAAATAGATGTGTGGCCATCGACAACATGGAGGAAATACAATGCAGAGAGACAGGACAGCCTGTGACCCCATCTCGCATCCAGGAGCCCACATTCCTCGTCGTGTCTGCAGATTCAACGCCGTCCAGCGTACATGATGCCATCTTTGGTACTTCGGACTGGATGACATCATCACGAGAATCCCACCATCCAGACTCTCTCGTACGACTGTGCAGGGCGACTTGTGTATTCCCAGTTCTCGGTATTATTTCTCCAGTATCCCAGACAGACTAGATCGTTTTGTCATCACACTAGTAATCGCCCTTTTGGCGATGCTGCGGCGTTTCCTTTGATCAGACTCTCTTCTCTGCCCCTCTCACTCTCCCCCCCCCCCCACCATATATACGGAGGACCGCCTCCTTAACCGCTCTGGCTCTTATCTCCCTCTCTCCCTCTCTCCCTCTCCCTCTCTCCCTCCCTCTCTCCTTCTCCCCCTTTCCCCTCCCCCTTCAATTCTCTCTCCCTCTCTTTCTCTCTCTATCCGAGTTCATCATGTCTATTAAACGTGCCATATCGAAAATCAGACACACAAAAACCGACGACGAAGATGGCGGCAGCCCCGCGTCTCCGGCCTCGACCTCCTCGCCCATCCGGCGTCGAGTCCTCAGCAACTTCCTGCGCGACCGGGACTCGGTTTCGTCGTCCGAGGAGCTGTCGGATGATTCGTCCACCAGCGGCTCGTTGAGCAAGAACCAGCAGAAGCGCCTGGCCCGCCAGCAGCGCCGCCAGGAGCGTAGCCGCCTCAGCGAGGAGCACCACCGCTCCTCCTCCGAGTCCCGCCAGAAGGAGGAGGCCATCGCTCTCGCCCTACGCCAGGAGACCCCCGAGATGAAGGCGAGATATGGCGAGCTGCCGCTGCTCCAGTCGCGGACCCGCACTGGGGAGGAGCGCTTCCACTTTGACGACATCTCCAAGGACCTGGTCGGTCGCCAGATCACCTTCACCGCGCGTCTGCATATCATCCGCCGCATGAGCGCCAAGCTCGTGTTTCTCGTCTTTCGTCAGCAGTTGACGACCTTCCAGGGTGTCCTGCACGAGAAGCCTGGGGTCAGCAGCATCGCCATGGTCCAGTGGGCCGAGCACCTGCGCCTCGGCGCCATTGTGCGCATCCGCGGCACCATCCAGGCTCCCGACGTGCCCGTCCTCGGCTGCACCATCCACGAGGTCGAGCTGAGCATCGAAGAGGTCCACCAGGTCGTTCAGCGCGACGAGCCCGTCCCCTTCAGCGTCTACGAGGCCGAGATCCGCACCGCCGAGGAGGATCGCGTCGAGGGCCGCCGCAGCCACATCCCCGACCGCACCCGTCTCACCAACCGCATCCTCGACCTCCGCACCCCAACCTCACAGTCCATCTTCCGCATCCAGTCCGGCGTCACGGGCGCCTTCCGCAGTGCCCTCGACGAGCGCGGCTTTATCGAAATCCACAGCCCCAAACTGCAGGGCGCCGCCACCGAATCCGGCGCCAGCGTCTTCGAGGTCAAGTACTTTGACCGCAGCGCCTTCCTCGCCCAGAGCCCCCAGCTGGCCAAGCAGATGGCCATCGCCGCCGATTTCGGCCGCGTCTATGAGGTCGGCGCCGTCTTCCGCGCCGAGAACTCCAACACCCACCGCCACCTGACCGAGTACACGGGGCTCGACCTCGAGATGGCCATTGACGAGCACTACCACGAGATGCAGGAGACCATCGACGCCGCCATCAAGAACATCCTCTCCGTCGTCTACAGCCGCTTCCGCCGCGAGGTCGAGATCATCAAGCACCAGTTCCCCTCCGACGACGTCGTCTGGCTCGACAAGACCCCCGTCATCCGCTTCACCGACGGCATCCGCATGCTCAACGAGTCCGGCTGGCGCGACGAGGACGGCAACCTGCTGCCAGATGGTGAGGACCTCCACACCCGCGACGAGATCCGCCTGGGGGAGTTGGTCAAGGAGCAATACGGCACCGACTACTACATCCTCGACAAGTTCCCGCGCGACGCCCGTCCCTTCTACACCATGCCCGACCCGGACGACCCGCGCTTCACCAACTCCTTTGACATGTTCATCCGCGGGCAGGAGATCGTCTCCGGGGGACAGCGCATCCACGACGCCAAGATGCTGGAGGAGAACATGCTCCGGGCCGGCATCAACCCGGAGGACATGGAGGAGTACCTGGAGGGCTTCCGGTGGGGGGCCCCGCCGCACGCCGGGGCGGGCATCGGCCTCGAGCGCATCGTCATGCTCATCCTGAAGCTGGGCAACATCCGTCTCGCCTCGCTCTTCTACCGAGACCCCAAGAGTCTGCCCGCCAAGCCGCCCGTCGTGCAGCTGCGGCACCCGGAATCGTCGACCATCGAGCCGCCGTGGCAGCGGGACGGCAGGTCGCAAAAGTTTGCCACCACCAAGGAGGAGCTGCAGCCGATCGAGCACCTGATCGCCAACTACGGCGACGCGACGGCCACCTCGTGGGGCGACGATCGGTTCAAGATCTGGCGCGACATGGCGACGGGCGCCGCGGTGGCCTACGTGCCCAGCTCGAACAACTACGCGGTCATCCCCGGCGACCCGCTGTGCGATCCGAAGCAGTTCGACCGCACCATCTCCCAGTTCCTGCAGTGGATGAAGCGAGACACCAAGCTCAAGCCCGTCTGGCTGCTGTGTTCGCCCGAGGTGGAGACGGTGCTGGGCGAGAAGCTGGGCTGGCGCAGTCTGTCCTGCATCGCCGAGGAACGCGTGGACCCGAGCCACAACCAGGCGGCGGTGGACGGCGACGTTGCGCGTAAGATCCGGCACGCCGAGGCCGAGGGCGTCAAGCTGGTCACTGTGCCGCAGGGCCAGTTGCCCGACGAGGAGAGCCAGCGCAAGATCGACACCCGCATCCAGGACTGGAAGGCGAACCGCAAGGGCACGCAGATCCACCTGTCAGAGATCTTCCCCTGGCGCGACCACGAGCACCGCTGGTACCATTACGCGGTGGACAAGGCCGGCGAGGTGTGCGCCCTGGTGGTGCTGTGCACTCTCTCCCCGCGCAACGGCATGCAGGTGAAATACAGCTTTGATTTCCCGGGGGCCCCCAGCGGCGTCATCGAGCACATCGTCACGCACGCCATCCAGACGGCGGCCAAAACGGGCGTCAAGTCGCTGACTTTCGGGGCGGGCGCCACCGCCCAGCTCACCCCGGGCCACAACCTGCACGGCACCAAGGTCAAGATGCTGCAGCACACGTACGAGACGATCGCCAAGCAGTTCCACCTGGTGCGCAAGAGCGAGTTCCGCGCCAAGCTGGGCGCGCGCGACGAACCCTTGTACATCGCCTATCCTCCGCACGGGCTGGGGTCGCGAGGCATCAAGGCCGTCCTGAACTTTTTCGAAGATTAACCAGGATTAAGTAAGATTAACCAGGATTGACCACCAAGACATGGTATTGAAATATACTGAGATGAGAGGGATCTCTGTCTGGTATAGATGTGAGAAGATATATATTGCTTATTCCCTTTGTGATTTAGATGAACAGTTATGAAGCCACTTGATGATTATTCTAATTACCCTAGCCTAGTAGATTATGACTGCCTAGTTATAGCAGTAATACTATTGACTCTTTGACTCTTTCTCATCTTTAATCAAAATCTCGACTTGCCTGCCGATAAACCCGGAGATCCAAACAGCCAACCCGGAAATAACAACCAAGTAGAGCAGGGTAGGAAGCAAAGAGCGAGGAAGCACATTCATAAGAAAAGGATCCAGGATGAGATCTACCCCGACGGGGGGCACATTCTGCATCAACGTATCGTTGAGAGAGAAGTAGTCTGCCTGGTTTTGAACGCGAAGAAGCCTTTTCCCGGCATCGGCGAGGGCAAATGTCTCCAGAGTGAAGGAAGTAGGTTGCTCGATTAATTAGCTTAAAAAAAAGAAAGAAAGAAAGAAAGAAAGAAAGAAAGAAAGAAAGAAAGAAAATTACAGAAAAGAAGAAGTAGAAGAAGAGCTTACAGTGGCTAGCCAGCAGATCCGGACTTCATAGCGTTGCCCTCTATTCAGATTCTGGAGGAGGAACCATGCCTCTCCCTCTATGAAAGAGGCGTTGATCTCCGTTCGGAGCGGGAGGGAGGGGAAGATCGAGAGCAGAGGAGATGGAAGAGGGGATGGGAAGGAGTCTGTTGGACTGCTTGCTAGGAAGATTGTCTTTTCCACGTTGGCAACTGCAGAGAGGATGAAGAGGGAGAGGAGGGAGAGGAGGGAGAGGAGGGGGAGGTATTTCATGGTAGCAGCACTTGGTAGGCTATGAAGATAGATACATATCTAGGTGAATAGACAATAAGATTGGTTGAATCGGCTTATTGCCATGATGGAATTGTAGGTGATGGTATCACTCGGTTGGTGGTCATAGGCAGAATGAGGCTATCAACAGTGGCTGATAGAGCCCGCTTAGTAATATCTTAGTAATAAAGCTTACTAATACCTTAATCATATGATGCCACGTGACCAAGCACAGGACTGCCAGGCGGTGTGAAGCAGCCAATCAACACGCGTTGGGCGCCAACCGCCCCGCGGCCTTCCCAAGAGGGACAAGACAACATCCCAAAAGCAAAACGCGAACCAACGAACGGTCAACAGAGAGAGAGAGAGACCCGACCAGGGCTTCCACAACGTGACAACACCTCAGTCCTGAGTCCTCCAGTCCAGTCCCTGCCTGAACTTGTCTTCTCCGTTTACAAATTCGATCTATCCATCCTCCCTTCTTGAATTATTCTTTCCTGACGAATCCTCTGTCTCTTTTTGTTTATTGTTTCTTGTACGAGGACACACCCCTGACCCCGACCGTGCGACCCGTTTTTTTTTCTTTCGTGCTTATCTTGTGCCAGACGCCCAATCCCCCTGCGACCCGACCACCATGAGAGAAATCATCAGTTTGAACGGTGGGGAAAAGAAAAAAGAAATGCCGTTTATTTCGACCGTTCTTCTAACTCGTTAACAGTCGGCCAGGCTGGTTGCCAGATCGCCAACTCCTGCTGGGAGGTACGTTTCTTTGTTGTTACTCGAGAAAGAAAGGGAAGTGGGATGAATCGTGCCTGTGCTGATGTCTTTGATTTTCGAACAGCTCTACTGCCTTGAGCACGGTATTCAGGTGTGTGATACGTGGAACGAACGAACGAACGAACCTCGTCGTGGTCGTGGGGGGGGGGGCGACGATGTTTCCTGGTTTCCCCTATTCTGACCGTCTTATCACTAGCCCGATGGTTACCTGACTGAGGAACGCAAAGCCGCCGATCCGGATACCGGGTTCAGCACTTTCTTCTCTGAGACCGGTATGGAATAAATTTGGAATCGAAAATGAAGAAGAAGGGAAGAAGAAGAAGAAGAACAGTGCTGATTACGTCTAGGCCAGGGCAAGTATGTCCCCCGTACCATCTACTGCGATCTCGAGCCCAATGTCGTCGACGAGGTCCGCACCGGCACCTACCGCAGCCTGTTCCACCCCGAACAGATGATCACCGGCAAGGAGGATGCCTCGAACAACTATGCCCGTGGTCACTACACCGTCGGCAAGGAGATGATCGACCAGGTCCTCGACAAGGTCCGCCGTGTCGCCGATAACTGCTCGGGTCTCCAGGGCTTCCTCGTCTTCCACTCCTTTGGCGGTGGTACCGGTTCCGGCTTCGGCGCCCTGCTCATGGAGCGCCTCTCGGTCGACTATGGAAAGAAGTCCAAGCTCGAGTTCTGCGTGTACCCGGCCCCCCAGAACGGCACCTCGGTCGTCGAGCCCTACAACTCCATCCTCACGACCCACACCACCCTCGAGCACTCCGACTGCAGCTTCATGGTCGACAACGAGGCCATCTATGACATCTGCCGCCGCAACCTCGGCATCGAGCGCCCCGGCTACGAGAACCTGAACCGCCTCATCGCCCAGGTGGTCTCCTCCATCACGGCCTCCCTCCGCTTCGATGGCTCCCTCAACGTCGACCTGAACGAGTTCCAGACCAACCTGGTCCCCTACCCGCGCATCCACTTCCCCCTGGTCGCCTACGCCCCCGTCGTCTCCCAGGCCAAGTCCGCCCACGAGGCCAACTCGGTCAGCGAGATCACCATGTCCTGCTTCGAGCCCCACAACCAGATGGTCAAGTGTGACCCCCGCAACGGCAAGTACATGGCCACCTGCCTGCTCTACCGCGGTGCGGTCGTCCCCCAGGAGGCCCACGCTGCCGTCGCCCAGCTCAAGACCAAGCGCACCGTCCATTTCGTCGACTGGTGCCCGACCGGCTTCAAGATCGGTATCTGCTACCAGCCCCCCCAGATGGTCCCCAACGGCGACCTCGCCAAGGTTGACCGCGCCGTGTAAGTTCTCTCCTTTTTCTTTTTTTTCTCTGTATTCCCCCACCCTCGCTTCCACATACTCATCATATCAGGTGCATGCTCTCCAACACCACCGCCATCGCCGAGGCCTGGTCCGCTCTCGACCACAAGTTCGACCTCATGTACTCCAAGCGTGCTTTCGTTCACTGGTATGTTGGTGAGGGTATGGAGGAGGGTGAATTCTCCGAGGCCCGTGAGGATCTTGCCGCTCTGGAGCGCGACTACGAGGAGGTCGCCAGCGACTCGGTCGAGGACGAGGAGGAGATGGGCGAGTACTAAGCGTGTGGTGGCGGCGTGCAGTCAAGTAAGTGTATTCTGGGGGGGTTGGGGGGGGTTCGTATATGTTGCCTTGGAGACGAGGCGAATGGAAAATGTTACGAGTGACCCTGGTCCTGTTGCAAATAGATGAGATTGGGTTAGCACTGCCTATAATCCTTTTGTGATATATTTTTTTTTAATATTGTTAAAGCGTGATGATCACTCTTAATCATGGTTTAATGTAGTTAGTATAGTAGACTGGAAGCAGCACTACCACCTATCTTTATTAAGACAATTTATACTTGATATAATCTCTAAAATAATAGAAAAAACAATCTACAATTTACTCAAAATTACTAATTCTTAAATACTAGCCAAGGTTTATTTATGGCTTGGAGCTCTACGGACAGTTCAGGCAGTGAGTGAGCATCACATAAGCAGGCTTCCCTCTCTCTCTCCTCTTTCCCCCCTCCCCGAAAGCCCCGGCCGCATCCTGGACCTGACACCGTCGAGCTTCCTGCTCATTCCATTCCGGTCGCAATCCACCCTCAATTCGCCAGAGTTCTCCAGCAGACGTCTACAAAAAACACCCGTATCCTCGTTCCTCCGCCTCCTGCTGCCAGAAGCACTGCAGCTGTGCAAGGCCGTCCCAACCGACCGGGACCCTACACCCTGACCCTCCTCTGGCGCTAAACTACAGAGCAAACCCCCCAAACAAGGCGCCTGTTCGTGGCCTCTTCAGGGTACCCAGCGGGGGAAATTTTTTTTTTATTGATAATACCTACATAATTCCACTCTGTTTTTTTCGAAAGGAGGCATTTCTTTTACAGAGCGAAACAATCGGGAAGCTCGCTTTGAAGCGGAGGGTTGGCGTCACCAGGCTGTAAACAGTGGGAAATACCATGGCGAGTGGTGAGTATTTAAATGACCGGATCAATTTTTTTCTCTCTCTCTCTATTCTGTTCTTTTTTCTTCTTCTTCTTCTTCTTCTTCTTCTTCTTCTTAAATCTGAGATGCTGATTTGTATCTTTATCTATAGCAACACAGCATCCGAATCTCAACCTGACGGCGGAGGAGAAGCGCGTCTTCTACCAGCTCTTCCAGGCGGCCGACACGACGAACTTGGGCGTTATCACGGGCGAGATCGCCGTGCCTTTCTTCGAGAAGACGAAGCTGCCGCCGGAGACCCTCGGTTTGGTACGTTCTATATCGTTGGGGCAATACAGAGACAAACAGAGAAAGAAAGACAGACAAGGGAACAAGGGTGGAGGGAAAGAGAGAGACTGATGCTGATGATTGGTAGATCTGGCAGATCGCCGATAGAGAAAACAGGGGCCTGTTGACTCCTTCCGGGTTCAGCGTTGTCTTGCGCCTGATCGGACATGCACAAGCCGGTCGTCCGCCGACAGAGCAGTTGGCGCTGCAGTGTGAGTTGATTGATGAAGGGGGCGTTTGGAACGCAAAGCCAGAGCTGACGCAGGTTCTTGACAAAATAAACAGCCGGCCCGCTACCTCGCTTCGATGGCGTCTTGGTCGATGCGACGCCCGCTGCCCCGAGTTCTCGCGCGTCCGAGGGCGCAACCAGCCCTCCGCCCCCCCCGGCTGGTTCGGTTCGAGTCCCCCCCTTGAATCCCGACGATGTGAACAAGTTCTCCTCGCTCTTTGACAAGTCGGACATCAAGAATGGCTTGATTTCAGGTAAAAACATGAATCCGTTGGCCTTCGAGATCTTTTTTTTTTTTTTTTTTTTTTGGAGACATGGGTCACTGATTCACCGTCCTCAAAAATCACAGGCGAAATCGCCAAGCAGATCTTCGAGCGTGCAAGGCTGCCAAATGAGATCCTAGGTCGGATCTGGTACCTGGCGGATACTAAACAGCGCGGCGCTCTGGATGCAACAGAGTTCATCATCGCCATGCACCTGTTGACCGCGTACAAGTCCGGTGCCATGCGAGGCATCCCACAGATACTCCCGCCGGGCCTGTATGACGCGGCTACGAGGCGAGGCAACCTTCGCTCGTCCGTCGGTTCCCGCTCGGGACTGGATGTCCCTCCAGTGCCCGCTATTCCCAAGCAATTTACCGGCCCGACTCCGCAACGGACGCAAAGCCCCATCAGCCGGCAGCCGTTCACGTCACCCTTGTCGGCGCAGTCGACAGGTGGCGGAGACTTTTGGTTGATCACTCCGCAGGAAAAGGCTCAGTTCGATACCATCTTCGCCACGGTAGACACGGCCAAAGCCGGAATGATCAATGGCGAACAGGCGGTTGGCTTTTTCATGAATGCACAGCTGCCGGAGGAAACCCTGGCCCAGATCTGGGATCTGGCAGATATCGACGCCGACGGTCAGCTAACCAGAGATGAATTCGCTGTCGCCATGTATCTGGTGCGACAGCAACGTACTGGAAAGGAGCCTCTCCCTCAAGCCATCCCTTCTGCCTTGGTGCCTCCCAGCATGCGCCGCCAGACCCTCGCGCAGAGGGCGGTACCAGCCCCAGCAGCTGCTGCTCCAGCCCCAGTTCCAGCGCCTGCTGCTGCTCCTCCTCCCCCTCGCTCGGCCGCTGAGGATCTTTTCGGTCTTGATGCGTTCACTGCGCCGGCTCCGGCTCCTGCAGCGCCCTCACAGATTCCTCAATCGACGGGAGGCTCCAACACGCCTTTCCAGGTCCCAAGCTCTCCCACGTCTAGAGTCTCCCCCCAGGCTGTTTCGACCACCTTCAAGCCCTTCGTGCCCAGTTCATCTTTTGGACAAAGTCTGCAACCTCAATTCACCGGTGTATCTTCCGTCGCCTCTCCCCTGCAAGCGAGGTCGCCTCCTCTGCCTTCAGATGACCTTCTCGGGGATAACGACCCGGAGGAATCCAATAAGCTCACCCAAGAGACCACGGAGCTGGCCAATCTCTCGAACCAGATCGGTTCGCTCGCGAAGGAGATGCAGAACGTCCAGGAGAAGCGGACGTCTGTAGAGCAGAACCTCTCTCAGACGTCGCAGCAGAAGCGCGACTTTGAGATGCGCCTGGCGCAGGCGCGCGCGATGTACGAACAAGAAGTCAAAAGCTTCAAGGTGCTCGAGGAACAGCTGAATGCTTCTCGTGCCGAGACCACAAAGCTCCAGTCAGAATACGCTCTCATCGATGGAAGCCGACACGATCTTCAGACGCAGTACAACCAGGTGGCTGCTGCCCTGGCTGCCGACCAACAGGAGAATGCCAGTTTGAAGGAGAAGATCAGTCTGGTCAATGCCCAAGTCGCCCAGCTCAAGCCCGCCCTCGAAAAGGCACGCTCCGAAGCGCGTCAGCAGAAGGGCTTGGTGGCCATCAACAAGAAACAGCTCTCCACCCAGGAAGCCGAACGGGACAAGGTTCAGGGCCAGATTGACGAACTGGCCAGGCCGGCTCCAGCAGAGACCGAAGAGGCTGCCGTGGCTTCTCCAGTGAATCTCGCCAGCCCCGCTGCATCAACTACTAGTCAGAACACCAACCCGTTCTTCCGCCGGGCACCGACTGCGTCAAGTGAGAATGTTGTCTCGCCCGATACAGCGGCATCGGCGGACCAGCAGCGAACCTTTGATAGCCTCTTCGGGCCATCCTTTGGGTCGCCGTCGACCGCCACTCCGCCGCCGCCGACTTCATTCCGAGCCGAATCTCCTTTAGCGCAGAGGCCTGTCACCTCGGGGGCTCCATCCCCGTCCGTCTCTCCTCCTCCCCCGCCCCTGTCCAGGCAGGCTACCCCGGGCTTCCTCCCCTTTGGTGAACAACAATCGGCCACTTCCTCGACCCAAGTCTCTCCGCCTGCCAGTCGGTTTGGAGGTGGAGGAGGAGGAGGAGGAGGAGCTGATACCTCTGGCTTTGGAACGCCGATGCAAGCTAGTACCATCAATCTTGAGTCCCAATCACTACCAGCAGCAGCAGCATCAGCTGCCGCTACTTCTCCATTCGACGAGCTGCTGCAGGACGACGCCACAATGCGATTCCCTGAAGTCCCTGGCGGGTTTCCCGAGTCTGGAACCCCCCCACCCATCACCACCACTCAAGCCGCCCCTGCCCCTGCCTTGAGCACTCAAGCGACAGGGGACCAGCAGGTGGAGAAGAAGGACCTCAGCTTTGACGAACTCTTCGGTGGACCGGCGCGGCAAAGGTCGCAGTCGCAGCAAGCGAATGACTTCCACGAAGCCTTTGCCGTCATGAAGCATAACACGGGGCCCTCCAGTCAACCTAACGGGACGATGGCGACGACGGCGGCAGCCGCAGTAAATGGCGGGGACACTGAATTCCCGCCAATTCAGGAGTTGGACGACGGCTTGGACGCGGACGATGACAGTTCCGATAGTGACACCCATCTGGGATTCGATGATGACTTCGCCCCTACCTCCCCCCCTCGCGATGAAGACGGGGCGAAAGTCAATAGCCTCGACCTCTCCCAGCTGAATGCATTCCCCGCCCCCGGCACGTCTCTGCCCCTAACCTCCCCTACCAAGACACCTCCTGCTCCGGACGCTCAGCCCAGCCCGCCCAACTACGACCAGAGCGTATCCGCACAGCAGCCCGGCGATTTCCCCCCGGAGTTCACCGGCCTGTTGCCGAGCCGTGCCGACCCCACGGCTGCCCCGGACGCCCCTCACTCAGTTGATTCAACAACGGGAGTTCCTGTGGTTGGTGGCGAACCTCAGCACAACGAGACTTCGACGAAGGCTAATGCCGCCGCGCCGGATTTTGATGCCGCCTTCGCCGGCTTGGATCTCGCCCCCGCCAAGGAAGCCGAAGACGACGAGGACGAGGAGGAGGAGGAGGACGACGACGAGGACGCCCAGTACACCAAGAACACGTCCGATTTTGACTTCACCTTCGACTCGCCCTCCCAGCCGAAACCGGTGACTGCCTCTACCGCCGCGTCTGATTTCTTCGCCTTTGACCAAACCGTCGTCCCTTCTGCCTCCACCGCCGCCGCGGATCCTAGCACCGCCGCCTCCAAACCCGCCGCGCATGACTGGGATGCTCTGTTCGCGCCCCTCGAGACTGCCAACGGGGCTGCCCAGCCCGAGGCCTCCGAACAGGGCGACAGCAAGGTCCCTGGGTGGGCGCTCGCTGCCGACCCTGGCGAAGACGACATGATTCTGCAGAAGCTCACCGGCATGGGCTTCTCGCGGGATGACGCTGTCGCGGCCCTAGAGAAGTTCGACTACAACATTGACAAGGTGAGATAACCCGATACCCAGATTTCATCTTGCGTCCGGACATACTAACA